AACTATATATTCTTGTCCCCTTCCACTAACCCTCCTAAACCTACCCATCACACACACACAGCTTTATTCTGTCAAAACTCTTGGAAAATTATGTAAGTGAAATGAACAACTGATATGGTATTCAAATATTCATTAAATTGTCTATCAATCAATCGATCAGGATTCTATAAAAAGCATCATTTTGACTGTTTTAAAAGTTTTAAATAATATTGTGAAGTCTTTACACTCTCAGAAAAAAAGGTACAAAAGCTGTCACTGGGGCTGTACCTTTTCAAAAGGTACACTTTTGTACCCAAAGGCTGCATATTGGTACCTTAGTGGTACATATTACCACCTAAAATGGACATATTACCACCTAAAATGTACATATTACCACCTAAAATGGACATATTAGCACCCAAAATGTACATATTAACACTTAAAATGTACATATTACCACCTAAAATGTACATATTACCACCTAAAATGGACATATTAGCACCCAAAATGTACATATTAACACTTAAAATGTACATATTACCACCTAAAATGGACATATTACCACCTAAAATGGACATATTAGCACCCAAAATGTACATATTACCACCTAAAATGGACATATTACCACCTAAAATGGACATATTACCACCTAAAATGGACATATTAGCACCCAAAATGTACATATTAACACTTAAAATGTACATATTACCACCTAAAATGTACATATTACCACCTAAAATGGACATATTAGCACCCAAAATGTACATATTACCACTTAAAATGTACATATTACCACCTAAAATGTACATATTACCACCTAAAATGGACATATTAGCACCCAAAATGTACATATTACCACCTAAAATGGACATATTACCACCTAAAATGTACATATTACCACCTAAAATGGACATATTAGCACCCAAAATGTACATATTAACACTTAAAATGTACATATTACCACCTAAAATGGACATATTACCACCTAATGGACATATTAGCACCCAAAATGTACATATTAGCACCCAAAATGTACATATTAACACTTAAAATGTACATATTAGCACCCATAATGTGCATAACACCTAAAATGTACTTCTTAGCTCATGAAATGGACAAAAGTTTACCTTTTGAAAAGGTACAGCCCCAGTGACAACTTTTGTACCTGTTTTTCTGAGAGCGTAGATGAAAATAATCATTGTGCATGTCTCTATATTGATTTAACTAAGGCTTTAGATCATGATATAGACAGGTGTTGTGTTATCAGATCATGTAGTCCTGTGGTTTGCTGCTCATTTAAAGGCCAGAACTGCGAGTGTTCGTCAGATTTAGTGGAGGTGGTTGAGGGAGTCCCACAAGGGTCTGTGTTGGGGCCGTTATCATTTACTTCATACATAAATTGTCTTAATTCAGGTACCCACGGTTTAATTTCTACACAGACGAGACTGTTATGTACAGTTCGGAGCGACATTCATTGAGCTGATGTCTGTGTAACCGAGAGCAAAGCATGTCTGGAAGTGTGTTGATCCCCATACAGGCTGTAAAATATGATATACTGATACAGATGCATCACTTCATCATGTCTGATGGATGTCGAGATCCTCAGAGAAAGAGCTCATGATAATCGTGACATTCATTCCAGTGGATTTACTGAATATGAGTAAATTAATCACATTTAATTTCTCTAATCATGACTGAAAACATCTTTAGTTTAATAACCTTCACAAATGAACAGAATGCGTTACTTTACAAATCAATGATAAGGTTTTTTAATATATGAACCTTGGACGTTTCTTAGGTATTAAGAGGGCAGGTTTATAGAGAGCTAAAATGCATTTCTAAAACACTCCAAGGCTGCTTTTAATATATGTCCTCATATGTTTAATAAGTGGAGATACTTGAGCAGAAATATAAAATTATGGCCTTGTAATGATAAAGCATTTTTTTTCAGGTTATGAACCGCAGGTTTCTATTGGGATGGGAATAAAATGCTCAGTTTGGGCCTGAGCTGTTTTTCCTCCATATTCTCACTATATCAGACTAATAATTATATACTTCTGAGTGACAGTCATGAGCTGCACTGCAGAGCTTGTACAGACAGGGGGCGCTAGAGCAACAGCGCTCGAGTCTCATTCACACACTGAAAGAGAGAGAGAAGCTCTTACAGAGACATTGATATAAATAAATATTAAGATGTCTCCTTTTATACATTGTAAAAAAATGACATAATCAATAAGTCTTAACAAAAAATTAAACTTCATTTTTAAGTTATTAAAACTAGTCAATATATTAGTTGAAATTACAAAACAATTTGATTATACTTAAATTGTACATTTACCAGACGCTTTTTATCCAAAGTGACTTACATTCTTATCAACTGTTGCTTTCCCTGGGAATCGAACCCATGACCATGGCGTTGCAAGCGCTCTACTGTTTTTAGATAAACTGTAAAAGTATCTGTTTTCAAGTTGTAAAAAAACATTAACAGTCACCAACCAGTTACTATACTGACAAAAAATAATATATACTGTATACACACACACACACACATATATATATATATATATGCAAAGAATTCAACTTCATTTTAAGTTATTAAAACTAGTAAATATTTTAGTTGAAATTACAAAACAATTTGATTATACTTAAATTGTACATTTAGCAGATGCTTTTTATCCAAAGTGACTTACATTGCATTTCACGGTACACACTTACATTCTTATCAACTGTTGCTTTCCCTGGGAATCGAACCCATGACCATAGCGTTGCAAGCGCTCTACTGTTTGAGATAAACTGTAAAAGTAACTGTAACATTAACAGTCACCAACCAGTTACTATACTGTAAAAAAATAATATATATATATATATATATATATATATATACATGTATACATATATATATGGCTTTTGCACAATGGTAATTACACCTTAACACAAAAATTTTATATCGAGCATTTACAGTATTTTTAATATTGAGCATTAGTTAGCCACATGGATTTCTATGTGTGTGTGTGTGTGTGTGTTAAGCTGAAGAAACCCACAGCGCTGAGGTCTCCAGGCTGACCTTCTCTCAGTAATGGATGTGTGTGTTTGTTCTCGTGTGTTTGCCTTCAGTCGAGGAGAACGAGGTGAGAAACATGATCAGCGAGTCAAAGGCCGAGGAATCGAGTGCTTGTTTAGCAGGTTTAACAAGCCTCATCTCACACACACACACACACACACACACACACATAACCAGCGGAAGATTTCAGTACGACTGACCTTCACCGGCTCAGAGACGCTGCTGACCTTCGACCTTTGACCCTCTCCACACATCCGTTCACTGCAGTGTCTCTGAGCTTGAGTTATTTTGAAGAAAACACACAACTCTTCCACCACTCACTACACACACACACACACACACACACTGTGTTTATGGATGAACACACATTCTTCTACTCTTACTTCTGCTGTTAATCATGAGTTGAAACATTGAATACAAACAAAAATCACTTAATTTCTGAGATTGCAACGACCAGTGTTGGGTGTGACTAATCACTAAGTAATTAGTTACTGTAATTTAATTACTTTTCCCTTGAAAATGTAAAGTAAGGGATTACTCTTCATTTATCTGTAATTTAATTACTGATGTAATTGATGTAAATACTGTGTATAGATCAATCCGATCTCACAGTGATTCATATGCATTTTATGAGGTGTCTAAATATTACGTACAAATTTGTGTAAAATATGTATAATATGATAAAAGTGTGAAATGTCTTGAGATCAGACATAAAACAATAGTGGGTTTAACACCAAAATGTATTGTCTGATGCTAAAAAGTATGTTTTTATAATGTAACCGTCTCCACCTTGGTCAGTTTAACCACTTAACTGTCACTGTCCCACAGGTGGGACGTTTGCCACTATATTTTTAAAACAATAATATCTTAGTAAATACCTTAAATAATATTGACAAACTATATATCATTTGAAAGCTTACAATCTCTAGTTTCCATATTTGGTGACTGATTTTCAAAATATATTACAGAGGAGCCATAATTTATCAATATAAAACAAGAATATTTTCATACTCATAAGGCGTGTTCAGACCTTTATTTTAAAATAGCAGTAAACATGAAAAATCATGAAAAAATGGTAGATACCTCAGTTTGTTTTCATGCCAAAAGTTCAAAAGATAGAATCCATTCAACTATTTTGGGAAAAAAAGGTCTGAAAAGTTTGAAATATCAAGAAAAAAATAATAAATTCACCATTTGTGACGTGGCAGCTAGCTATGACTTACATGCGTGTTCTTTGTATGTGTTTCTTAGAGGTTCAATTCATATCAAAATCTGCCAAACTTCCCATGCTACTTCTGAATAGGATCTCTACTTCAGAAATTGTATGAAAAATGTGAAAATAATGGTTCATATCACTCAAAACACGAATGGAAATGCAGGCGCTCTTATATGGGCAGTAATGGAGTCTGATTGTGCCCTAGTGAAAAAGTTTGGTACTGCACTCAAACAAAATCTTACTGAAAGCTCATTTTTTGAGATATCAACCTCAAATTTGAAACACAACTTGTTCAGATTTTTGGCTTTGATCTTTCTGCCATTTTAGAGTAGCCCAGGTTTTGAAAATATATATTTTATGTAAAATATGAATAATTAATATTTTTATATTGTACATTTTCATAAACTCAAACTTCTATAACTTTTTTTCTGTTTCACTTTCTTAATTTATTTCACTTCTACAAAAATCTGCCAAATGTCTTCTTTAAAACAAGACCAATCACATGTCTATATTCCAAAGCATTCTTGAATTACAACCATTTAAGTTCGAAATGTGCATTTTCATGTCTATTCAAAAAAGGGGGGGTGACAGTTAACAGGTTAAGGATAATTCATGCAATTTTATAGTATTTATTTGAAAGAATTAAAACAGATTCATGTCTATCCTTGTATTATTCAGCTGGTTGAGATTGATTTAAAAGTAATTAGTAATTAAAAGTAATTAAATACTTTTTAGAGAGAGTAATTAGTACAGTAATCTAATTACACTGTTGAAGAGGTAATTAGAAAGTAGTAATTAATTACTTTTTTAAAGTAACTCACCCAACACTGGCAACGACGGGATTCATTTAAATAAACATGGTAGTGTGTGTGTGTGTGTGTGTGTGTGTGTGTGTTATGAGTTCCTCAGGTAACTGTAGAGCGCTTGCAGACCCCCGTCCAGAACCTCTTTGATGGGTTTCAGCAGGGGATTGTGCACGATGTGAAGGCCTTTATCCAGCGGATGGCACGCTAACTTCTCCAGGCGTCTCAGCCGATGCATCTCCGCCGGGACGCTCTGGATGTCGTTGAAGTCCACATTCAGGAGCTCCAGCTTGGTCAGGCAGCAGAGCATCTTGGGAAGCGTGTGGATGCAGTTTCCCTCGACGATGAGGATCTTTAAAGGGAACATATCATGAAAATCAGACTTTTTCCGTGTTTAAAGGGTTAGTTCACCCAAAAATGAAAATTCTGTCAGTATTTACTCGCCCTCATGTTGTTCCAACCCCGTAAGACCGTCGTTCATCTTCGCAACACAAATTAAGATATTTAAGATATTAAGATCGCTCCTGCATACTAGTCCATAGGCTTCTTGAGGGAATGACTCGAAAAGTCATTAAAGACATCGTTAAAATAGTCCAAGTGACTATTTTAAGTTTATCAGACGACGAGAACACTTTTTGTGCGCAAAAAACCCCAACAAAAAAACGACTTTATTTCAACTATTGGTTTATTTCTCCCTCTGCGCGAGTCAGGTTACTAGTTTAATAGCGTAAGCTTCTGTTATTGTACGTCACACGCATCACACACACATGACCAATAGTGAGCCTTCGTGTGACGTAGCTTTACGCAGTGTTGTAGTACTCGAGACTCGGACTCGTCTCGGACTCGGTCTCGAGACCATATTTTAATGGTCTTGGTCTTGTCATGGACTCGTGTGCATTTGGACTCGGAATTGACTCGTACTCGAACATTTTTTTTTTAGGACTCGGAATTATTCCCGAGTCCACTCGAGTTCAATTAAAAATATTTTTCATGATTATTAATGTATGTTAATAAAATATTTCTTTAAATTGATTGACACGCCCAGTGATTGGTGATTTTCTAGTGTGCAACTGCGCATGACAAATTGTAATAAAATTACTTTTAAGACCACCTACTATGTGGCCTTTTTACCCTAAACTGATCATATTTTTTAAACTCTAAGTAAATTCAGTAAAAAAAAAAAAAAGATTTCTCTAAGTAAATAAAAGTAAATTAGGTAATCAACCCTCACTGGTCTCGGTCTCGACTCGGACTCGACCGTCTCTGGTCTCGGTCTCGACTCGGACTCGACTCTCTCTGGTCTCGGTCTTGACTCGGACTCGAGTGAGGTGGTCTCGACTACAACACTTTACGCAATCACACTACGTTAACTGACTACAGGCCCATGGAGAAGGAAGTGAATAGTTGAAATAAAGTCGTTATTTTTGTTGTTTTTTTGCGCACAAAAGTGTTCTCGTCGTTTGATAAAGTTAAAATTGAGCCCCTGTAGTCACTTGGACTATTTTAACGATGTCTTTAATGACTTTTCGAGTCATTCCCTCAAGAAGCCTATGAACTAGTATACAGGAGCGATCTTAATATCTTAAATATCTTAATTTGTGTTGCGAAGATGAACGAAGGTCTTACGGGGTTGGAACAACATGAGGGCGAGTAAATACTGACAGAATTTTAATTTTTGGGTCAACTAACCCTTTAAGTGCTATAATCAGACCGCAGAGAACGTGACAAATGAAACCCAGTTTGTTTTGAAGAGCCTTTCTCTGCAAGCATGTAAAAAAATAAATCAGATTTAGCAGATTTCCTTCTGAAGAGGATCTTATTATGATATCCCCGGCCCTTAATCTGCACGTTCACACACACACACACCAGCGACATTGGGTTCAGAGCCCAGTTCTAACGCACTGGAGACGATCCAGCTGAGCCTGAAACTGTTCTGTGGTCAGCACAGACAACACTGAACACTATTCCACTATAACACTAATATTGACCAGTGGACACCAGTTCAACATGATGATAAGATGATCAGTGTAACTCCACAAACGTCTCCGCTAACATTCAGAAGTGCGTAAAAGTGAAGCTCTCCCTGAGTCTCTCCGTAAAGCTGCTGTTACTCCTGATCCTGGATCAGTGAGATCCGCCTGTGCTGTTATTGCCGGAGTCTCTGAAGCTTGTGTGAAGGCCCCGCCCTCTTCTGAACAGAGGCGGAGCTAACGCTCATTTGCATTTAAAGGGACACACACAAAAACGGTGCAAATTTGACGAGCGATAATAACTGATCTGGGGGCATTTCAGAAACACATTCTGGGACACCATAGATTGAAAAGAGGCATAATATGTCACCTTTAAGTCGGCCAGGGCTTGGATCTGATCCGCGATGTTTTCCAATCTGTTGCAGGCCAGCTGCAGGAACACCAGGCTCTTCATGGCGTAAACGCATCCGGGGATGTGGCTGATGTGATTGTGGCTCAGGTTGAGCTTCTTGAGTCCGTCGAGGGATGAAAGTGTCGACGGGAGGCCGGTGAGAAGGTTATTAGCCAGACTTAAAACTTCCAGTTTAGCGCAGCATCCCAGTTCCTCGGGAACGTCACTTAACCGATTGCGATACGCGAAAAGCACCTTCAGGTTTCGGAGACGCCCGATCTCAGGCGGTAAACTGGTCAGCTGGTTCCCCCACAGATTCAACACCACTAGGTTTTCCAGCGATCCCAGAGACGAGGGAATGGATCGTAGAGAGTTGAGTGACAGGTTGAGCTTCTGTAGATCCGTCAGATCCCACAGACCCTCCGGAGGATCCCGAATCCCACGCCGAGCCAGGCTGAGGACGCTGTAGCCGAAGTGTGTGGTCATGTGTTTGCGAATGCGTTCGGCGCTGGGAAGGTTTTCCTCGGGGGTCTTTCTTGCCGATTGCGTCGTGTCGTTGTCGTTGTCGTCTGCCGAGACCTTGGATTTCTTTCCGCCCATGTCGTCTTCTCATCTGCTAGAGCACATTTCCTTCACGTCACTCACAAACACAGTCCGGAGACACACTGAGGATTGGAAACTTATCTTGGCAACTCCTACTGAGTTTCACGACCCTCTGGTCCAGTTGCTGCTGTCACTTGCGGGCGAGCGTTGGCGATAACTACCCTTGATTGTGGGCAGAAAGACGAGGACAGACATTTCTGGGGTGAAATATGATGGCGTTGAACTTTCATGCCTCCCGTGACCCGAAATACAGTCAAGCGTGTAATGGACAACTGTTAATGATAAAGTTAGACTCCTTTCAGGGTTAACTAACACTAAAACGAAAATTCTCTCACACAAACACACACATACACATCTTTGGGTTAACTAAAACTAAAATACTTAAACATGCATGCTTTCAGCAGACGCTCTTACAAGAGAGGAACAATATAAGAGCCGGCATTGAATAAATCTTTAAAGACTCCAGTAATCTTTTTATTTACGACTTCTAATAATTTTTTACGGTGTAGTATATCGACGATACTAAAATAACCCTGCCTGCGTCACTACTACTCTTTATCAGCACAAACGGAGGAGCTTTGACAGATATTAATAGATCAGATGAACACACTTCTATCCCGCGTATGTAAACAAACACTCCAATGGCTGGTCAGAACTAGACGTGAAACGCCATGCTTGTTATTTAAAGATTTAAAGCTAAAGTTCAGTTGAAGCCTGTAACTTTCCTCATCTTCTCTCAGCATAGTAAATAGCCACAGATGTTGATTAACGGGTTATAAATGGTGTCGAGGTTCAATATTAAGTGGGACATCTGTCGGAGGATCTTGGCTTTGTTTCTCGGCATCTCTGCCAAATAATCGGAAATGGGCAACGTTCCACCCTGAATAGAAATGCACGGAGAGGGAAATCAGTAATGCATCTCATTCAGTGGCTAAAGTGTGTTTATTTCAAGTGGAAATCTCTCAAGAACTCGTATCGTTTGGATGATCCATCATTAAGGGCATCAAACATGAGTTTAGTAGTCTACGTGTTTGCGTTTCACCACCTGCTCAGACTGGGTTTCATAACGTCATCCTCAGGGTGTTAGAGAGAAGGATATTAGAGAATTAAAGCATATTGAGATTGATGATCAAGACATATTTATGGAAGCTTGTTTCTGACACTGAATAAAACAAATATAATAATTGAGGCTTTCATTACGACTTTATATCTCAGAGTTGTGAGAGAAAAGTCCATCATGTCACATTTATCTTGATCACTTCCATCAAAATCATGTTAAAATGTACATTTAATTTCTAAATGCAGCTCTTCACCACCCATTTTTTACTCTCATACTGTTCTTTCTGTGTGAAAACGGGATATTTGATTAGAAATTTGCTGATTTAAGTAATTCCCTCCTTTTTCAGTCACTTTTTAACCAGAAATGCAACAGAATACCGTTTGATATGGTTACTAACTAACTTGTGAGAGTCTTGCCCTTTTCATGCAGCTCTTTGAGTGTGATTTGTAAGCGCTTGTGGGCAAGCGTTGCGTAATGGATGAAGTGTTCACCAGAGACAGTTTAATATCGCAGCTATAATTTCTTCATCGAGTTCTCCAGCGAGAGGGAGAGTGGAAGTGTGTGAGAGTAAAGGGAGATAAAATGGGAGATGAAGTGGCTAAGGATGATGAATCGATGGGGAGGAAACACACTATTACACACTATAAAGAAGCCATTTGTAATGTGTGGGGAATGAGAGCGCGACAGAAGAACTACTAATGCATTTACACACACTAATAACCAGAGCACATGCTAATAACCAGAGCACATGCTAACCAGCAGAGCGCACGCTAATAACCAGAGCACTTGCTAACCAGAGCACATGCTAACCAGAGCACATGCTAATAACCAGAGCACATGCTAACCAGCAGAGCACACGCTAATAACCAGAGCACATGCTAACCAGAGCACATGCTAACCAGAGCACATGCTAATAACCAGAGCACATGCTAACCAGCAGAGCACACGCTAATAACCAGAGCACATGCTAACCAGAGCACACGCTAATAACCAGACCACATGCTAATAACCAGAGCACATGCTAACCAGAGCACATGGTAACCAGAGCACATGCTAATAACCAGAGCACATGCTAACCAGCAGAGCACACGCTAATAACCAGACCACATGCTAATAACCAGAGCACATGCTAACCAGAGCACATGCTAACCAGAGCACATGCTAATAACCAGAGCACATGCTAACCAGCAGAGTATATGCTAATAACCAGAGCACATGCTAACCAGAGCACACGCTAATAACCAGACCACATGCTAATACCAAAGCACACGCTAACCTGCAGAGCGCACACTAATAACCAGAGCACATGCTAACCAGAGCACATGCAAATAACCAGAGCACATGCTAACCAGCAGAGCGCACGCTAATAACCAGAGCACATGCTAACCAGAGCACATGCTAATAACCAGAGCACATGCTAACCAGAGCACATGCTAATAACCAAAGCACACGCTAACCTGCAGAGCGCACACTAATAACCAGAGCACATGCTAACCAGAGCACATGCAAATAACCAGAGCACATGCTAACCAGCAGAGCGCACGCTAATAACCAGAGCACATGCTAATAACCCGAGCACATGCTAATAACCAGAGCACATGCTAACCTGCAGAGCGCACGCTAATAACCAGAGCACATGCTAATAACCCGAGCACATGCTAACCAGAGCACATGCTAATAACCAGAGCACATGTTAACCAGCAGAGCGCACGCTAATAACCAGAGCACATGCTAATAACCAGAGCACATGCTAATAACCAGAGCACATGCTAACCAGCAGAGCGCACGCTAATAACCAGAGCACATGCTAATAACCAGAGCACATGCTAATAACCAGAGCACATGCTAACCAGCAGAGCGCACGCTAATAACCAGAGCACATGCTAATAACCAGAGCACATGCTAATAACCAGAGCACATGCTAACCAGCAGAGCGCACGCTAATAACCAGAGCACATGCTAACCAGAGCACATGCTAACCAGCAGAGCGCACGCTAATAACCAGAGCGCACGCTAATAACCAGAGCACATGCTAACCAGAGCACATGCTAACCAGAGCACATGCTAACCAGCAGAGTATATGCTAATAACCAGAGCACATGCTAACCAGAGCACATGCTAATAACCAGAGCACATGCTAACCAGCAGAGCACACGCTAATAACCAGAGCACATGCTAACCAGAGCACATGCTAACCAGAGCACATGCTAATAACCAGAGCACATGCTAACCAGCAGAGCACACGCTAATAACCAGACCACATGCTAATAACCAAAGCACACGCTAACCTGCAGAGCGCACACTAATAACCAGAGCACATGCTAACCAGAGCACATGCAAATAACCAGAGCACATGCTAATAACCAGAGCACATGCTAATAACCAGAGCACATGCTAACCAGCAGAGTATATGCTAATAACCAGAGCACATGCTAACCAGAGCACACGCTAATAACCAGACCACATGCTAATAACCAAAGCACACGCTAACCTGCAGAGCGCACACTAATAACCAGAGCACATGCTAACCAGAGCACATGCAAATAACCAGAGCACATGCTAACCAGCAGAGCGCACGCTAATAACCAGAGCACATGCTAACCAGAGCACATGCTAATAACCAGAGCACATGCTAACCAGAGCACATGCTAATAACCAAAGCACACGCTAACCTGCAGAGCGCACACTAATAACCAGAGCACATGCTAACCAGAGCACATGCAAATAACCAGAGCACATGCTAACCAGCAGAGCGCACGCTAATAACCAGAGCACATGCTAATAACCCGAGCACATGCTAATAACCAGAGCACATGCTAACCTGCAGAGCGCACGCTAATAACCAGAGCACATGCTAATAACCCGAGCACATGCTAACCAGAGCACATGCTAATAACCAGAGCACATGTTAACCAGCAGAGCGCACGCTAATAACCAGAGCACATGCTAATAACCAGAGCACATGCTAATAACCAGAGCACATGCTAACCAGCAGAGCGCACGCTAATAACCAGAGCGCACGCTAATAACCAGAGCACATGCTAACCAGAGCACATGCTAACCAGCAGAGCGCACGCTAATAACCAGAGCGCACGCTAATAACCAGAGCACATGCTAACCAGAGCACATGCTAACCAGCAGAGCGCATGCTAATAACCAGAGCACATGCTAACCAGAGCACACGCTAATAACCAGACCACACGCTAATAACCAGACCACACGCTAATAACAAGAGCACATGCTAACCAGCAGAGCGCACACTAATAACCAGAGCACATGCTAACCAGACCACACGCTAATAACCAGACCACATGCTAATAACAAGAGCACAAGCTAATAACAAGAGCACATGCTAATAACCAGAGCACATGCTAACCAGAGCACACGCTAATAACCAGAACACACGATAATAACAAGAGCACATGCTAACCACAGCACACGCTAATATTGAGGCACCGAACCACTGACATAACAAGACCTGCAGAACAACATCACAAAACCTGTTCTAGACTACAACTACAGAGAGTTGAGTATACAGAGAGTATAATAGACAGACAGACAGACAGACAAACAGAGAGATAGATAGATAGATAGATAGATAGATAGATAGATAGATAGATAGATAGATAGATAGATAGATAGATAGATAGATAGATAGATAGATAGATAGATAGATTCACTGAAGCCAAACCATTGATGAGAGGAGGAGGAGGAGGAGAAATGGGGCCAAAACAGTTCGATCTTCATCTAATCAGCTGGTCTGGAGTGCTCAAATTTATTCTGAGAGGGAATGAACCTCCCAGCCTAATCGGAGTCAGATCCTGCTATAATGATGCTTGCAAACAAAAAGCATTATATTTTTATAGCTGTATGTTCCCGGCTAGCAGACAGTAATGGACATGGCACAAATGGCAGGATGTTTATCATTCATTAGAGACTCTTTTCTTCCAAATGTAAACGACTGGCCATGAAAACACTTAATGTGCATCATGTGTCTCAGTGCAGCGTTTAGTCTGTTAGTGGAGCAGTCATAACATTCCTCTCAGCGTTGCTAAGCACTGAAACACAAACTACGAACGTCTCAGTGAGTGTGTGAGACATCACTGACCCCTGCTGGACACACTCTCACACTGACCCCTGCTGGACAAACTATCACACTGACCCCTGCTGGACACACTCTCACACTGACCCCTGCTGGACAAACTATCACACTGACCCCTGCTGGACACACTCTCACACTGACCCTGCTGGACACACTCTCACACTGACCCCTGCTGGACACACTCTCACACTGACCCCTGCTGGACACACTCTCACACTGACCCCTGCTGGACACACTCTCACACTGACCCCTGCTGACAAACTATCACACTGACCCCTGCTGGACACACTCTCACACTGACCCCTGCTGGACAAACTATCACACTGACCCCTGCTGGACACACTATCACACTGACCCCTGCTGGACACACTCTCACACTGACCCCTGCTGGACACACTCTCACACTGACCCCTGCTGGACACACTATCACACTGACCCCTGCTGGACACACTCTCACACTGACCCCTGCTAGACAAACTATCACACTGACCCCTGCTGGACAAACTATCACACTGACCCCTGCTGGACAAACTATCACACTGACCCCTGCTGGACAAACTATCACACTGACCCCTGCTGGACACACTCTCACACTGACCCCTGCTGGACACACTCTCACACTGACCCCTGCTAGACAAACTATCACACTGACCCCTCCTGGACAAACTATCACACTGACCCCTGCTGGACACACTATCACACTGACCCTGCTGGACACACTCTCACACTGACCCCTGCTGGACAAACCCTCACACTGACCCCTGCTGGACACACTCTCACACTGACCCCTGCTGGACACACTCTCACACTGACCCCTGCTGGAAAAACCCTCACACTGACCCCTGCTGGACACACTCTCACACTGACCCCTGCTGGACACACTCTCACACTGACCCCTGCTGGACACACTCTCACACTGACCCCTGCTGGAAAAACCCTCACACTGACCCCTGCTGGACACACTCTCACACTGACCCCTGCTGGACAAACCCTCACACTGACCCCTGCTGGACACACTCTCACACTGACCCTGCTGGACACACTCTCACACTGACCCCTGCTGGACACACTCTCACACTGACCCCTGCTGGACAAACCCTCACACTGACCCCTGCTGGACAAACCTCACACTGACCCCTGCTGGACACACTCTCACACTGACCCCTGCTGGACACACTATCACACTGACCCCTGCTGGACACACTCTCACACTGACCCTGCTGGACACACTCTCACACTGACCCCTGCTGGACAAACCCTCACACTGACCCCTGCTGGACACACTCTCACACTGACCCCTGCTGGACACACTCTCACACTGACCCCTGCTGGACACACTCTCACACTGACCCCTGCTGGACACACTATCACACTGACCCCTGCTGGACAAACTATCACACTGACCCCTGCTGGACACACTCTCACACTGACCCCTGCTGGACACACTCTCACACTGACCCCTGCTAGACAAAACTATCACACTGACCCCTCCTGGACAAACTATCACACTGACCCCTGCTGGACACACTATCACACTGACCCCTGCTGGACACACTCTCACACTGACCCTGCTGGACAAACCCTCACACTGACCCCTGCTGGACACACTCTCACACTGACCCCTGCTGGACACACTCTCACACTGACCCCTGCTGGACACACTCTCACACTGACCCCTGCTGGAAAAACCCTCACACTGACCCCTGCTGGACAAACCCTCACACTGACCCCTGCTGGACAAACCCTCACACTGACCCCTGCTGGACACACTCTCACACTGACCCCTGCTGGACACACTCTCACACTGACCCCTGCTGGACACACTCTCACACTGACCCCTGCTGGACACACTCTCACACTGACCCCTGCTGGACACACTCTCACACTGACCCCTGCTGGACACACTCTCACACTGACCCCTGCTGGACACACTCTCACACTGACCCCTGCTGGAAAAACCCTCACACTGACCCCTGCTGGAACAAACCCTCACACTGACCCCTGCTGGACACACTCTCACACTGACCCTGCTGGACACACTCTCACACTGACCCTTGCTGGACACACTCTCACACTGACCCCTGCTGGACAAACCCTCACACTGACCCCTGCTGGACAAAACCCTCACACTGACCCCTGCTGGACACACTCTCACACTGACCCCTGCTGGACACACTATCACACTGACCCCTGCTGGACACACTCTCACACTGACCCCTGCTGGACACACTCTCACACTGACCCCTGCTGGACACACTCTCACACTGACCCCTGCTGGACACACTATCACACTGACCCCTGCTGGACAAACTATCACACTGACCTCTGCTGGACAAACCCTCACACTGACCCCTGCTGGACACACTCTCACACTGACCCCTGCTGGACACACTCTCACACTGACTAACGTTTAACGTGTGGTGAAATCCACGATTTCACCACATCAAATTCTCTTTATTTAGGGATCTGCCAACGTCAACTGCACTGTCTGACAACTACGTTGTCCTCATTGGCAATTAGGCAGGACATTAAGATCAACAAATCAACTTTTGCTGACAGTCCAAAAAGTAAGACAAAGGGTAAGCTCACACAATACAAATACATATAATTACATATAATATAATTTTAATTTAATTAATTTTAAGTGACTTGTGTAGTTGCTCTTTCAAAGCACACGCACACACACACCTTAAATGAGGTTCAGCTTCAAGAGTTCATTTGAGGTGAGATCTCAACACATCCAGAAGATGGCAGCAAAACACACACAAAGAGCACAAATGATGATCATTCATGAGGTTCATATATTCATATTTGACTTTCCTTAAAGACCTTAGAAGCGTTAAACCACGAGATGTAACGATGTAGGAATGTATTAATGTAATGTAATGAAAGATATAGAAACTACATGGGGCGTAGAATTTAGTAGGGATCCCAGGGAGGTGTCCCAAAATATCCAGTGACACTATATCCCTAGCAATAATTTATATAAAAACTTAAAATATAATTATATATTGATGTCCCAGTCCCCACCGATTTCAAAATCAAACCTACGCCATGTTCAAGCTACGAGATAGTTAGAGAAGTACAACATGAAAGGACAGAAACCAATGATAATAGTGATAATATGATTTCATTGCAATAACCAATAAAACTCGTTGTATAAAGTATCCAGTCGTCATACTTGAGCAAACAGTAAAATTTTGATTATGGAAATTTCCTCAAGTAGCTCATGAGGAATAAATAAGTAAAGGTATTAAGGAAACTGATATTAAACTGGGTGGGCTGATTTTTAACAACCTTTTGGCCAGAATGTCACAACCTAGCAACACCCTACCAGCAGGATAGCAACACGCTGAAACACAGAAAACAGCAATTAAAGTGCAACTCCCTAGAAACCACCTAGAACGAACTAGCAACAAAACTAGCGGGAAGCTGGGAACACCACAAATAGCAACTGCATAGCAACGCCTTGGCAACCTCTGTCATTTCCTTCCGAAATAACATTATTTCATTAAGATACTGTTAATAATGTTTTAAGTGCATCTGATTATTAATGGTTTATAAATGGCACTTTGATGAAATGCTAACGACAGATTAGTTGACTTGTTTGTATACTCATTAAATACAAACGACTCTGGGAAAGACGGGATTGTTCGCATACAAAACTCCACACATCGTAAATAATTCTTAAGCCAAAACGCATTACAGTATTAAAATCCATAACTTGTTTTAAATTAATAAACAAGGAATGGAACTTACACGAGCTTGTCTTAACATTTCGCAGTGGAGATTAATTGCACCTGGTCATCATGATTCACGAAATGAGGATTCGACTCAGTCGCGAATCGGATCACTCACTCGCGGCACTTTCCCTCAGATCTTTCTTGTTATTTTTTTTGCGGGTTCCAGTCGCAAATGTTACGAAACGACCTGCAGAAATTATTCGAAATAAAAGTGTTTATTAAAAATCAACAGAAATATACTCGAGTAAAGTATAAACATCGCTAAAGGTAGGCTAAAGTAACGATTCAAGGCAGGCGTGCAGATGTAAATGTCTGATATCATAACAACTAACGTTAATAATAATAATACTTACTTTATATATTATTTATACTGTGGCGTTGATTATTAAAATACAGTCATAGCTGAAAGCAAGCAGTGACTTTTAGTGCGTTGCTATGGAGTCGCTAGTGGGGCCTGCTAGGCTATTTCGCGCCACGGCTTTTAATGTTGTTGTGATAAGTTATTTACTAGAATATCTGTAGGATTATTTCACCCTGTTTTCGTCCAGCAGATAAAATAGTCTCATAGCGAAACTTTCCTTAACAAAGTTTGAGGCGAAAATAGGTTAAACCGAAATGACCCCTCGCATGAACACATGGTACATTCCAGCGGGACCCCCTCCTCCCCCTTTTAAACTCATGGTACATTCCAGTGGAATACAATGCAGCGGGACTGAATGAAAGAGGCTAAAGTTTGAATGAGAGAGAGAGAGAGAGGGGAGCAGAACCAATGTACATCTAAACAAAACTCTGATGATTTCAGTTCGATATAATAGTTTATTAGTTGAGTTATTTTAGATAAAATGAAGATGAAGATGCTGTGTCCGTTGGCTGTGGTTTTCGCATCACTGATCTGCGGTCAGGCTCAGCAGAGAGGTGAGCTCAACAATACCAGTTTACATTCATCTACAGATAAAACTGAGTAAATAACAATGCTGAAAACATACGATTTTAGATTTGAGCATAGACCAATTTATACTGCTGCTCGAATGTGTTCAGATTTAGTATTAATGTCCTTTAAAATATTTTACTTTTTGGTGAAATGGTAAAATGATGGTAATACCGTGAAATTTCCAGAATAGATGTGCAAAACAGTATTTCCATCGTACATGTCCATGAAATGCTGGTAAAGCTATAGTATTGTTTGGTTAGTGGTAGTAAATGTTACAGGGGTCGTGACTCGTGAGTGTTTTACTTGTGTTATAGATATGTGAACGCACTGATGAATTAAATGGGCTTAAGTGTTAATAGTTGTATTAGTAGCAAAAGCCAGCACTTAATTATACAGTGTGTTGCATATATATTACACTTATTTACCATTGTAATAACATTAGATCATGCATGGATGCACCGATATGACAATTTTGGCCGATACCGATAACCGATAATTCTTTATATTTGAAAGCCGATAACCGATATATTGGCCGATAAATCTAAATTGAAATTTTTAGACAATATTTGAGAGCCTGATTATAAAAAAAGTCTCCTCATTAAAAGTTAAGATACAAACACAATTATGATGTTCTTATTTTAATATTGTGTTGCCGATATGACAGACTTGCTCTGCACATTTTGCACTTTAGTGATTTCAATCATATTTCAAGCAATTTAAAAGCATCATGTTGAACAGTGCACATCTAAAGTGCCTCAGCTGAAGGAAATAATACATTAGTCATCAGCTTTTAGATATCGGCTAAATGTTCTTGTTGGGGTGATAACGATAACATTAAAAATGATCATGTGATCAAACGATACCGATAATGTGGCCGATATATCGTGCATCCCTAATAATTATGTATCTAATCATCAACCAAACCCTATAGTACTGTAAGTAGTTAATTAATATTACACAGTACTTAAATATAATTACACTGTAACAATGAAACCTCCACTGATTACATTAGTAACACACATTCAGTGTTCAGCTGTTCCTTGATGAACGTTTGCATTAGTTTGGCATGGTCACGTTAACGAGATCTCTCGCCCGCAGGTTTGTCTAACACGTCGAGGTCAGGAAGCCACTAATGAAGTTTATCTGTGAGCCGTATAGCAGCGAGTGTCTGCTTACACCTCAGTCCTGTGAACCCTTACGACTGCATGTGTGTGTGTGTGTGTGTTCTTTGTGCTAATGTATGGGTCACATGAGACTTCTGTCCCGGTCCATTAACGGCTAATCCTGGGGGTTTTCGTCCTAGTGACCGCGTTAGTCAACTGGTCATGAAAGCCTCTCAGTGGGACTTTACTCTCATGAATAACATGTGGCCATTTGTGTAATTTAAACTTTAATAGACTTCTAGTTCCAGAGGTGATGTGTGTCTGTGTAGATTGTATTGCTTTTTATTTTAGGTTTATGTATTTCAGTATAACTCAACTAAAAAAATTAGTAGTTTTATAGTTTTTCCGTTAACTATAATAACCTTGGTTTGCAACATCTTATCAAAGACAATAGAAATGAAGGTCTTTTGATTTTGCCTTTATTTATAGTAAGTAAACATAATTTAATATCGGCTAACAATATGTTTTTAGTTTTATTCTAAGTGTTTATGGTGTAAAAAGCCACCATTTTGTGTTATGTCTGAAGAAAATATGTTGGTTTTGATCATTAATAATCTTTGTATGAATCTTTTTGTCTTTGGGTAAAATATATAAAATCAAAACTTAATGATGTATTTTATTTATCATCAGGATACTTACAGTTTGAATAAGTTTGAACCAAACCAAATTTTGAGAACAACTGATACATTTGGCTGTTTTTTCTTTTTAAAAAGTATCATTTGTTTCCAGAATCATTTCAAAACACATGTTCACACATTTAGAAATGTACCATATCTATTGTGCCTGCATCTGATGTGGTTATCTGCTCGGATCGCTCTGCAAGTGTGAGATGTCTAATCAGTCGGCCTTTCGCGCTGAATTGACTGAATCACATTGTGAGGCTCTTATCAGTCGCATCTGATTACAGTCTCTGTTCTCATGCAAATCTGTCCCGGAGCTCTTCTCCCAGACGCTGGGATTCGCAGTCTCTGCTGATCTCGTCACCAATGCATGACTTCAATGCTTTCTTCTAGACATGATTCAGGAGATCAGCTCTTTCTGCCACTTTAAATATTCCCAGATCTAATCTTGCTTTCCAAACACGGCCGAAAGTTGAGCTTTAGGAGTCGTTTGAGTCTGTGGTGTCGTTTAAACTCACACCAAACGAGCCGCCGACGACGGGCTGAGATGCTTGAAAAGCAATTATCCTGTCGTCTTCTTCAGCTAAAATAATTCCTCTGAAGCGTACGTAGAAATCTGAGCCCTGTGTGGAGCTCACTTCACTTCAAAAACTCACTTCAATTTGATTTTTATCCCCAGAAAACAACACATACTCTCTTAAAGGAGTAGTTCACTTTTGAAAAAACTTTTGCTGATAATTTACTCACCCCCATGTCATCCAAGATGTCCATGTCTTTCTTTCCTCAGTCGAAAAGAAATTAAGGTTTTTGATGAAAACATTCCAGGATTTTTCTCCATATAATGGACTTCAATGGGAACCAGACGGTTCAAGGTCCAAAAGACAGTTAAAGGGTTAGTTCACCCAAAAATGAAAATTCTGTCAGTATTTACTCACCCTCATGTTGTTTCAACCCCGTAAGACCTTCGTTCATCTTCGCAACACAAATTAAGATATTTAAGATATTAAGATCGCTCCTGCATACTAGTCCATAGGCTTCTTGAGGTACTGGCTCTTGCTGTCCCCGAAAAGTCATTAAAGACATCGTTAAAATAGTCCAAGTGACTACAGGGGCTCAATCTTAAGTTTATCAAACGACGAGAACACTTTTGTGTGCAAAAAAACAACAAAAATAACGACTTTATTTCAACTATTCACTTCCTTCTCCATGAGCCTGTAGTCAGTTAACGTAGTGTGATTGCGTAAAGCTACGTCACACGTAGGCTCACTATTGGTCGACGCTGGTCATGTGTGTGTGATGCGTGTGACGTACAATAACAGAAGCTTACGCTATTAAACTAGTAACCTGACTCGCGCAGAGGGAGAAATAAACCAATAGTTGAAATAAAGTCGTTATTTTTGTTGTTTATTTGCGCACAAAAGTGTTCTCGTCGTTTGATAAACTTAAGATTGAGCCCCTGTAGTCACTTGGACTATTTTAACGATGTCTTTAATGACTTTTCGAGGACAGCAAGAGTCATTCCCTCAAGAGGCCTATGGACTAGTATGCAGGAGCGATCTTAATATCTTAAATATCTTAATTTATGTTCCGAAGATGAACGAAGGTCTTACGGGGTTGGAACAACATGAGGGTGAGTAAATACTGACAGAATTTTCATTTTTGGGTGAACTAACCCTTTAATAACAGTTTCAGATGCAGCTTCAAATGTCTTTAAACGACACCAGACGATGAATAAGGGTCTTATCACACGAAACGATCGGTCATTTCAAAAATGTAACTTTTCTAAGGACAAATGCTAGCCTTGCTCTATTCTGTGAGGCGCGTTTGTAACGTCACGTAATACGTAATTACGTTCAAAAGGTCACGGGCGACGTAGACGGAAGTACAGAGTCAAAATCGTCCGACATCGTTGTTTTACCTTTTAATTCCTTTTTTTGTAAACGGCGTTTGAGTTAGTTTGCACGTTCAACCTATGCGTTCAACTTGTAAACACTGACTCTGTACTTCCGGCTACGTCGCCCGTGACCTTTTGAATGTAATTACGTATTACGTGACGTTGCAAACGCGCCTCACAGAATAGATCAAGGCTAGCATTTGTCCTTAGAAAAGTTACATTTTTGGAATAAGCGATCGTTTCGCATGATAAGACCCTTATTCATCGTCTGGTGTCGTTTAAAGACATTTGAAGCTGCATCTGAAACTGTTATTAACTGTCTTTTGGACCTTGAACCGTTTGGTTCCCATTGAAGTCCATTATATGGAGAAAAATCCTGGAATGTTTCCATCAAAAAACTTAATTTCTTTTCGACTGAGGAAAGAAAGACATGGACATCTTGGATGACACGGGGGTGAGTAAATTATCAGCTAAAGTTTTTTCAAAAGTGAACTACTCCTTTAAGGCATGTCACTCATCTAGCAAATGCATCTTGATTTAAGAATTTTTAGATATTTGTACTGGAAACAAGACAGAAATACTGAGTAAGTAAAGCATTGTTTGCTGTGTGATGTGATCGTTGAGTTGTGTACAGCAGATGTTGAGGAGTTATCAGCAGACAGATGTGTTTTGGCTCTCAGTGTGTGTGTGTCACATGCAAACACAGGCCAGATGTGCCGTAATGACTTCAGTCGTCAGCGTCTCTTTATCTGCCGAGTGTTTGAAGTGTGTGTGTGTTCAGCACCACTGGGGTCCATTCAAAACCACGACTCCCCCGAGACACACACCGTCTGCCGGGGACTCAACACACACCAGCTGATATCAGCGTCAATGAGATCGTTTGGTGATCCACAGAAATGACCAGCACTGAAGGCCCTAAACCCTTAGCTACGGTTAGCTACGGTTAGCTACGGTCACATCAGTGTACTGTAAAACACCGCCTCGAGGGCTTGTTGCCGGTATAAACCAGTGATTATACACTATATCTTCATCTTCTTGATCTTCCCTCTCATTGAACTCTTTGCTGTCAGGAATGATCGGTCAGCAGAGGATGATGGTTATCTCCTCATGAGAATTGACTGCTTTTGTCTAGTGTCCAGAATGTAGTTATTTGTGTCATGAATGGCGGCACACAGACACGTGGGCAGATGATTGGTCGAGAACGGGAAGGTTGAGCAGTTCTGAGCAATCGCCTCTTTATTAAAAAGCTCTATGATGTTTTTTCCTCATCTTCATCTCTTCAGTGTGTGATCATGGAAAGCTCCAGTTCTCCTCTATATCAGTGTCAGTGTTTCTGAACTCCTGAAACGCCTCCACTGTAGTCTTGAGTTTGAACACGTCACAATATTCCTCATTATAATAATTAATGTGTAGAATAAAGGGGCGGGGCCTGGTTGAGTTAGTTAGTAGTGTGTAAAACTGGCGGTTATGGAAAGGGGCGGGGCATTCCCCAAACACACTCAAACAACACACTGCTCCAGCCGACCAATCAGAGCACAGTGTGCTTTCAGGAGGAGGGGCTTCATAGAGACAGGAAGTAAACAGAGCGTTACTGACAGACTGGGAAGAGAGGAGCCGCAACAATGGAGAATATGAGGAGAATAATCAACATTCAAGCAGGAAAACCTGTTCTAGGAGAGCCTGAAACACATCAAGACTTTGAGTGCATTATAGTTTCTCTTTAAACATTTTCCATTTGTCATTCCAGGTCTGTTTCCTGCTATCCTGAACCTCGCCAGCAATGCGGAGATCTCCACCAACGCGACCTGTGGCGAACCCCTTCCCGAGATGTACTGTAAACTAGTGGAGCACGTTCCCGGAAGACGAATCCGTAACCCTCAGTGTCGGCTGTGTGACGCTAACAGCCAGAATCCCAAAGGTACAGAATCCCAAAGGCTAAACCAGATCAATCAGTAACACTTTACACTCACAGTCCCTTTAGTTTATGCATGAGCTAACAATAAGTAACAAAGAGTAATACATTTGTTGGAGTGTTTATTAATCTTTGTTAAAGGGACAGTTCACCCTTACTCTCTTTCATCCTAGGTGTATATGACTTTCTTCTTTTAGACGAATACAATCAGAGTTATATTAAAAAAATGTCCTGGCTCTTCCAAGCTTTATAATGGCAGTGAATCTGTTTTGAAATTCGTATAAGTGCATCTGTCCATCATAAAAGTGCATCTGTCCGTCATAAAAGTGCATTTATCCATCATAAAAGTGCATCTATCCATCATAAAAGTGCATCTATTCATCATAAAAGTGCATCTATCCATCTTAAAAGTGCATCTGTCCGTCATAAAAGTGCATCTATTCATCATAAAAGTGCATCTATTCATCATAAAAGTGCATCTATCATCATAAAAGTGCATCTATCCATCATAAAAGTGCATCTATCCATCATAAAAGTGCATCTGTCCGTCATAAAAGTGCATCTATTCATCATAAAAGTGCATCTATTCATCATAAAAGTGCATCTGTCCATCATAAAAGTTCATCTATCCATCATAAAAGTGCATCTGTCCACCATAAAAGTGCATAAAAGTGCATCTGTCCATCATAAAAGTGCATCTATCCATCATAAAAGTGCATCTGTCCATCATAAAAGTGCATCTGTCCATCATAAAAGTGCATAAAAGTGCATCTGTCCATCATAAAAGCGCATCTATCCATTATAAAAGTGCATCTATCCATCATAAAAGTGCATCCGTCCATCATAAAAGTGCATCTGTCCATCATATAAGTGCATCTGTCCATCATAAAAGCGCATCTATCCATCATAAAAGTGCATCTATCCATCATAAAAGTGCATCTGTCCATCATAAAAGTGCATCCGTCCATCATAAAAGTGCATCTGTCCATCATAAAAGTGCATCTACCCATCATAAAAGTGCATCTGTCCATCATAAAAGTGCATCTATCCATCATAAAAGTGCATCTATCCATCATAAAAGTGCATCTATCCATCATAAAAGTGCATCTGTCCATCATAAAAGTGCATCCGTCCATCATAAAAGTGCATCTGTCCATCATAAAAGTGCATCTATCCATCATAAAAGTGCATCTATCCATCATAAAAGTGCATCTATCCATCATAAAAGTGCATCTGTCCATCATAAAAGTGCATCTATCCATCATAAAAGTGCATCTATCCATCATAAAAGTGCATCTGTCCATCATAAAAGTGCATCTATCCATCATAAAAGTGCATCTGTCCATCATAAAAGTGCATCTATCCATCATAAAAGTGCATCTATCCATCATAAAAGTGCATCTGTCCATCATAAAAGTGCATCTGTCCATCATAAAAGTGCATCTATCCATCATAAAAGTGCATCTGTCCATCATAAAAGTGCATCTGTCCATCATAAAAGTGCATCTATCATCACAAAAGTGCTTCATTGGCTATTATTCGTTAGTGAACAATCGCTTTAATGTGCCGGGACTAGTTAACTCATGGTGTTTATGTAGTCTTGCACATCCGTGGTGTTTTTTCCTGTTAACCGTAGATCATGTTTATTTCTGTCCACACAGAGCAACATCCCATCACGAACGCCATCGACGGCACTAACCAGTGGTGGCAGAGCCCGAGCATCAAGAACGGGCGTCAGTTCCACTGGGTCACCATCACCCTGGACTTACGACAGGTACACGAGGAAAATAAAATCAAATTTACTCTTCATGCATTTCACCGTCACAGTTTTACTCGTGTAACATTTGCCGTTTTGATTTGGGAGAGATTTTTTTAAGAAACAAAGTAAAATGAAGCTGTTTTTACACCCCTCCTCCCTCAGAGTAGATCAGCCATTACGTCGTGTGTGTGTGTGTGTGTGTGAATGGAGGAGTAGTTGTGGTGTTGTGAAGCGGTTCCAGGCCCCCAGGGGCCGTCGAACACAAGAGTGTTTGTCTAGAGAGGTCGAGAGACACACTAATCCCAAAACTAGAAACAATCCGCAACATTCCAGCGCTGATAATACTCACAACTATCCCATGCAACCCAGAAACCGGGATCTGACACACACATTCCAGCCACAATACCAGTTATGAATGTGATTATGATGGATCTTGTGTTCATGTCTGGTTGACGATCACCCGTTGATCTGATTGGTCACAAGGTGGTTTGTGACGTCAGAAACACCAAAGCGTGTTTTTGAGACTGTCTTTGGTTCACTGCAGATTTAAGGAGGAAATACTCAGCAATGCTGTCCACTTATCAACGCACACATGGTGTGTGTGTTACAGCGGATTAAAAACACCACATACACACATAAACAACATTAAACACTTTAACTTTAAATGATTGAATTATTAACACTCGCTCAGCACTGCAAAAACCTCTTCCTCAGTGTTTCTGACTCAATCATGTAAATATTCTTATATCGAGACGAATGACTGAAGACACCAAGACTTGATTACCGAAACAGGATTGGAATGACGTGAGAAAAATAAACTCGTTATTGGGAGATATTTGCTCTTATTTTATGCATACATTTCCCATCATTTCGCTTCTCCAGTAAGTGTGTCTCGGTTTGACAATGTTCAGGAATTTGTGCTGAAAACTCTTCTCACAGAAATCTGAATCACCACACGCTTCCCCGTCGGAAAAACACCAAAGAGTCCTGTGATGTGGTTCAGTGGAAGCAGACGAGTGTGTGTGTGTGTGTGTGTTTTTCTCTTCGTCTGCAATGAGGATGAGTCAGGCCTTTGTCTGCGTTCAGTGAGGCCATGGGGGAGGGGCGCGACACACACACACTCAGACACTCACTCACTCTCTCTCTCTCTCTCACACACACACACACACACACACCTGAGGGGACGGGTGGGTCCAGGTGAGCTTTAAAGCTTTACAGCCACCATTTGGTGGTCATTCATTAGATGAAAGGAAGAATTTTGACAAAAAAAGAAGTTAAAGGAGTAGAATTAACATCTACTCGCACGTCCTCCATGATGTCAGGAACAGAAATGAAGGATTAGAAATCAGGATTGATCTCCATATAGTGTCTTCAATGGGGTCCAACGGGTCGACGATCAGATGTGAGTTTCAGTGCAGCTTTAAAGTCTCGACACGATCCAGCCGAGGAATAAGAGTCTGATCTAGACAAACCAATCTGACCTTTGACCCGTTGGACCACATTGAAGTCTATATGGAGAAACCACAAAAACCTTCATTTCTGGCCTCTGTGGAAATGCAGAAATGACTGTGTTCAAACAGGTTTCCTGATCATTCTTTATCGCCTGTGATTGGTCAGTTAAACAGATAGCCCCGCCCTAAACTCACGTCATTGGTTGAGGCAGAAGTCGAGTCGCGATGCTCAAACTGGGCGAGTTTATGTTCGTAATAAATGATTTTGCAAAGGTCAGAGTTCAGAGATGTTTACGTTTCTCTGACTCGCAACACAAAGCAAACGCCAGCACACGTTTGATCGAGCAGCAGTGTTTACGACATCTTCACAGCTGTGTGTGTGTGTGTGTGTGATTAAGAGAGTGTGTCCAACACAGCTGTTGAAGATCCTCCAGAGGTGTTTGGACAGCGGACCGTGTGTGTGTGTGTGTGTTTACGGTCTGATAGTGACACTGCCTGGGGGGCCAAACGTCTCCTTGGCTGGTGTTTGTTTGGCCAGATTGTGTTTCGCTGAAGACGAGACGGCAGTGTGTGAATCTGCTGGGATTTATCCAGTTTTGTGGGATTTTACTAATAAGTTCAAGATTCCAGTCGTTATTAACACGAGGAAGTCTTTACTTAAAAATCAAAAAAGATAGTTTGATAAAACTTGATCCAGATTGTTGATAAAAATTAGAGCCAGACCGATATATCGGCCGATATTAGACATTTTCTAAAATATCGGTATCGGCAGTTATAATGGCCGATAAACGAATATTACAAAAATAAATATAAAAACGGACGAATCACACTGACTTCAACCATGTCATGAGTGTTGGAGTTGTATAGTTTGTCCACCAGAGGGCACTCTACACCGTCCCTGTTGGCAACACTCGCATTATGCATTATCATAATATTTTAATTAAAACTCATAATTAACTACAAATAACTAATGTTAGGGAAATCTGTGAATATTTTGTCGCGCGTTTCTGAAATAAAAAAAAATACTAATAATATCGGCCGATATATCGGAATATCGGATTTTAAAACCAACAAATATTTGTATCGTTATCGGCCTTAAAAATCCTTTATCGGTCGGGCTCTAATAAAAATAGCAATGAAAACAAAAAAGTGCACAATAATGTTTGGTTATCTACATGTCGGCCTTGAGTTTGTTCCAGACGACACAGTGTGTTTACATCTTCAGGAAACACTGATTATTGTGTCTAACGTGAAGGTCAGTGAAACTCAACCAGTGAAAAACACTCTCTCTGTACACTCACACTCACAGGTACATTCATTATACATGTTGTCTTCGAGCAGTTGTTGTTTCCCCTAGCAACCATCCCATAATTCTACAGTGAGCAGCCTGTGATTATCATCCCCGCTGAATGAAAGTGGGAAATCACCCTGTAATCCGTGATATCCGGCGTCTTCACAAGCGTTTTATTCTCAAATCTCATGAACGATCAAATGCAGAGACGCTCGAACGCTGTCATTACAGTCGACGAGAGGAAGACGCGCGCTGGTGTTTGTCTTCGTCTTTATATTGCTAAGCATCCAGTAAACACACACACACACACACACATACAAGCTCTCCCTGAGTCTCTCCGTAAAGCTGCTGTCACTCCTGATCCTGGATCAGGCCTGTGCTGTTATTGCCAGAGTCTCTGAAGCTCGTGTGAAGGCCCCGCCCTCTTCTGAACAGAGGCGGAGCTAAAGCTCATTTGCATTTAAAGGGACACACACACATATAATAAATGATCTTGTATTTTGAGCTGATATTTCACACACACATCCTGGGACGCGAGAGAGTTTTACATCTGGTGAAATGAGGCATAATGTCACCTTGCTCTTCCTCCCGCAGGTCTTCCAGGTCGCCTACGTCATCATCAAGGCGGCGAACTCCCCGCGACCCGGGAACTGGGTTCTGGAGCGCTCTCTGGACGGGCGGGACTTCCAGCCGTGGCAATACTACGCCATCAGCGACACCGAGTGTCTGACCCGCTACAACGTCACGCCACGCCTCGGCCCGCCCACGTACAAGAGGGACGACGAGGTCATCTGCACATCTTATTACTCGCGACTGGTGCCGCTGGAGCACGGAGAGGTGAGTGTGTGTGTGTGTTTTACACATTTACTAAACGAGTAAAATAAAGCCTTTCCCCAGATGCGTGTGTGTCTGAGTGTGTGTGGTCTCTCCACAGATCCACACGTCTCTGATTAACGGGCGTCCCAGCGCTGACGATCTGACCCCAGAACTGCTGGACTTCACCTCGGCTCGGTTCATTCGCCTGCGCCTGCAGAGGATCCGGACGCTCAACGCCGACCTCATGACCCTCAGCTACCGCGACCCCCGAGACGTCGACCCCATCGTCACGCGCCGGGTTTGATACTCGTTTTTATACACTCTTAGTGTTTTTTTTAGGTGGACAGATTACAGTTTTTTTCCAGTTGCTAACACACTAAAATGACACGCACAGCACAATTCTTTAAACGGACACACAGAGAGCAAAACTTCTTCTCAAGTTTCCAAAAGTCTAAACACATTTTCTGCTTTACACACATTTTGCATTTCAAATGCCACTTTTTTAAATGCACTGAACACAGTTCTCTGGATAAGACACAACAATCTGACATAAAGTCACATGTTTGCCTTTTCAAAACACTACCATTCAAAATGACACTAAAGAGCTGATTGGCCGATTACATGTGCCATCTGGCCATTGTTAACACTTCAATCAGGATGTAAGCACTATAAAAACTATAAAACTATAAAAAATTATTTTTCTTGCCACTTTTTTTTTTACTGTAATATATTTTCTGGAAGTTTCTTTTTCAGTTTACTGTTTTTTGTAAGTATTTTTTTTCCAGTCTGCTGTGCATACGTTGCACTGACCTGTTTACTGTAGTGAAAAAATACATTACTGTAAAATGAAGTTTCAACAGCATGTGTGTGTCTGCAAATATTTCTGTGCATGTGAACAATCTGATGCATATTTGAGTATTATGGCAAAGCATACTAAAGATAGGAGTGCTTTTCATGATGCCCAACAGTGTGGAGTTGTTTAGGCACAAATCTGGTAATATGAATGAAGTGTGTGCCAGTTCATGCAAAAGTTTGATTTTGAGAATGCTTCAGTGCTTCATTTTGCAGGATATATGAGGTATTTTGTGGTTTTGTGAATTGTGTTAAGTATTTTGATAAAACCAGACTAGTTTGCAAAATTGTGTGTTAGCAATTGGAAAAAACTGTAATACAGTATTATCTGCATTTGGTGGGATTCAGATCAGAGATATCTCTATGAGGACTCTGGTAGGTGTGTGTTCATGCAGTAACAACTGTGTCTCATCTGGTTTTCAGTATTATTACTCCATCAAGGACGTCTCGGTGGGCGGGATGTGCATCTGTTATGGCCACGCCCAGAGCTGCCCATGGGACCCCGTTACCAAGGTAACTGACAACAAACTCCACCCCCTTGAGGAGGAAGCTGTCAATCAAATGATAGTGTGAACTTTGGCTCCGCCTCTCTGAAGTCACTGATTGCAGTTTACACCTCTACAATAAGGTCATTTGTGGGTGTTGAGTGTGTGTGTGTGTACATGTTTATATTACATTGCGGAGACCAGCCAGCGGTTCCCCACGAGGGAAATAGGTTAATAAACACACTAAATTATATATTTTTTGAAAATTTAAAAATTTAAAAAAGTTTTCTGTGATGGGTAGGTTTAGGGGTCGGTTAGTGTGTGTGTGTGTGTGGTCTTTCTGTTGGTCTCAGTGTTTACTGTGGCGTCTCACTTTAGCCTTTCTCTGTCCCTCTGCTGTTTGTTATGCGTGTCTCACTCTCTTTTCTCTCATGTTTCCATAGAAACTGAAGTGTGTGTGTGAGCACAACACTTGTGGTGAGAGCTGTAATGAGTGTTGCCCTGGATACCATCAGGAGCCGTGGCAACCAGGAACGCTTTCTAAAGGAAACACATGCGAGAGTAAGACAATAACTAACGTCACCTATCTGACATACAGTATTTTGTGAGATTCACTCAAACACAAACCTTCGTTTATAAGCGATCGCGCCCCTCCTGATCTGTGTGTTTTCTCTCTCGTTGATCAGAGTGTAATTGTCACAACAAGGCCGACGACTGTTTCTACAACCAGACGGTGGCGGATCTGAGGCTGAGCTTGAACACGCAGGGCCGGTTTGCGGGTGGAGGAGTGTGTGTGAACTGCTCCCAGAACACCGCGGGAGTGAACTGCCAAACCTGTGCCGACGGATACTACAGACCACACCAGGTGTGTGTGTGTGTGTGTGGGTGTATGTGTGTGATTCAGTGAGTGAGTGAGTCAGTGAGTGAGTGAGTCAGTGTGTGAGTGAGTGAGTCAGTGAGTGAGTGAGTGAGTGAGTGAGTCAGTGTGTGAGTGAGTCAGTGAGTGAGTGAGTGAGTGAGTCAGTGTGTGAGTGAGTCAGTGAGTGAGTGAGTGAGTGAGTCAGTCAGTGAGTGAGTGAGTAAGTGAGTGAGTGAGTGTGAGAGTGAGTGAGTCAGTCAGTGAGTGAGTAAGTGAGTGAGTGAGTGAGTGAGTGAGTCAGTGTGTGAGTGAATGAGTGAGTGAGTGAGTCAGTGAGTGAGTGAGTGAGTCAGTAAGTGAGTGAGTGAGTGAGTGAGTGAGTGAGTGAGTCAGTGTGTGAGTGAATGAGTGTGAGAGTGAGTGAGTCAGTCAGTGAGTGAGTGAGTGTGAGAGTGAGTGAGTCAGTCAGTGAGTGAGTGAGTGTGAGAGTGAGTGAGTCAGTCAGTGAGTGAGTGAGTCAGTGAGTAAGTGAGTGAGTCAGTGAGTAAGTGAGTGAGTGAGTGAGTGAGTGAGTCAGTGTGTGAGTGAGTCAGTGAGTGAGTGAATGAGTGTGAGAGTGAGTGAGTCAGTCAGTGAGTGAGTGAGTGTGAGAGTGAGTGAGTCAGTCAGTGAGTGAGTGAGTGTGAGAGTGAGTGAGTCAGTCAGTGAGTGAGTGAGTCAGTGAGTAAGTGAGTGAGTCAGTGAGTAAGTAAGTGAGTGAGTGAGTGAGTGAGTGAGTGAGTGAGTGAGTCAGTGTGTGAGTGAGTCAGTGAGTGAGTGAATGAGTGAGTCAGTGAGTGAGTGAGTGAGTGAGTGAGAGTGAGTGTGAGAGTGAGTCAGTGAGTGAGTGAGTCAGTGTGTGAGTGAGTCAGTGAGTGAGTGAGTCAGTGAGTGAGTCAGTGAGTCAGTGAGTGAGTGAGTGAGTCAGTCAGTGAGTGAGTGAGTCAGTGAGTAAGTGAGTGAGTCAGTGAGTGAGTCAGTGAGTGAGTGAGTGAGTAAGTGAGTGAGTCAGTGAGTGAGTCAGTCAGTGAGTGAGTGAGTGAGTGAGTCAGTGTGTGAGTGAGTGAGTGAGTGAGTGAGTGAGTGAGTCAGTGAGTGAGTCAGTGAGTGAGTGAGTGAGTGAGTGAGTCAGTCAGTGAGTGTGAAACGAAGACCTTGATAGCTAGGACTGTAATTATAGCTTGTTGGGATAAGTGACCACTGTGGTGCATCGGTAAGAATGCAACTGGATGCTCTGACTCTCTTGAAGGGGTTTATTGACAGCCAACAGATGATTGTCTGTCTTCTTAAAATGTACAGTATGTGTGTGGTTCTACAACAACAACAATAAAGAAAAGAAAAATATCAGCATACAAATAACAAAATGCTGTCAGGATACAATTATTAAAGCTAATACTTGTCATTTAGTATAATCTTCACTTCAGGTAACTTTAGCTATTTAAATCAAATAACCAAAATAATATACCAGCACACATTAGCTTATTATTAAATTAAACAGCCTTCTCTCAGTAACAACAACAACCAAAAACACATAGTTCTCGACTACATAATCATTATAAACACTCCATGAATAACTATGCATTAATGTGCTGTTAGCGAACTTTAAGCTAACAATACTACATTTCAACAGAGTACCTCAGATTAAGCAACACTCATAAATACCCTAATACACCAAAATACACATATGTAAAACATTCACCAGGGTACTCACATGTCTCTGAACGCACACATGCACGGATCACAGCACAGATGACTGATTTATTAACTATTCTCCTCAGAAATATCTACGATGGGCTTCCCGGCCACTCTCACCGTTAACTCAAAAACGAAACCTATCAGTTCGCGCAAAAACGGGTGTCCTCTCCGTGACTCCAAAACAAAGACGCTGATTGGCTGATCCCCGTTACCAAGACATTAATAACGAGTCCTTCTTTACAGCCGCCCCCAAATTTGCACAGTCAAATTTGCTGTCCCAGAGAAGGACTATTGGTCTCAGGTGCTGTCTCAGGTATGGCAGGAAGTGGAACAAGACGGGCAACTGGCCGGGTGTAAGTTCTGTTGTTCACCTGAATCTCTGCTGTCCTAATCCTCCCATCTGCACCTGGGATAACCTTAGTGATGCGGCCAATAGGCCAAAGTGCCCTCGGGAGTTGTGGGTCAACGATCATGGCAACAGCCCCAGATTGTAGTGGGGCCACCTCTTTCTGCCACTTGGTGCGCGTCTGCAAGGCAGGAAGATAGTGCCTAATAAATGTCCTCCAGAATTGGTCAGCGAGGACCTGCGTATGCCTCCAGCGGCGGCGGCTCAACAGCTCGGACTCTGGATACAATACTTGAGGCAACGATGGGTCGGGCCGCCCCATCACAAGCAGATTGGGGGTTACTGGGTCAGGGTCTGCAACGTCACTGGATACATACCCCAAGGGCTTAGAGTTTAGGATGCCCTCTATCTCGATCAGAACCGTACGCAGGACTTCTTCTGTCACCGTCTGCATCTGGATCGTAGCATACAGGGCAGCTTTGATAGATTTGATTTCCCTCTCCCATGCACCACCAAAGTGAGGCGCACTTGGAGGGTTGAATCTGAACTCAATCTGATGTTTGGCCAGTTCTGCTTGTAGAGTGGGGTGCAGTGCCTTGAAAGACTCGTGGATTTCCCTCTCTCCCCCTCTGAAATTTGTGCCCTGGTCCGACAGAAGCTCCGCTGGTTTTCCTCTGCGTGAGATGAATCTGCGGAGGGCCATCAGAAAGGAATCCTGGTCTAGACTAGTCAGGACGTCTATGTAGACAGCTCGGGTAGTAAGGCACTTAAATAATATACCCCAACGCTTCTCATTACGCCGTCCGATTTTGACCATGAAGGGCCCGAAACAATCCGTTCCTGTAGAGAAGAAAGGTGGTTTCATTAACCGCAGGCGGGCAAGAGGTAAGTCTGCCATTTGTGGCACTGCAGGCTTTGCTCTCCATCTCTGACAATCAGGGCAGGAGTGCTGATGCCGCTTCACAGCTTCTCTTCCCCGAAGGATCCAGTACCGTCGGCGAAGCTCTGCAAAGAGTCGCTCTGAGCCTGGATGACGAAGATCACGGTCAGCATCTTGTATGATGAGTTTAGTCACCTGGTGAGCTGGGTCCAGAACTATCGGATGAATGGTTTCTGTGTCCAGAAAGTCACTGCGACGCAATCTGCCTCCAACCCGGATCAGCTGCAGTCGATCATCATATTCAGGGGCTAATGTAATCAACCGGCTGGTGGAAGGGACAGGTTTTCCTTCTGAGAGGAGTTGAAAGTCCTCCCCGAAGCAGTCTAACTGGACTTGCCTCAGTAAATCTCTCTCAGAATCCCGATAGTCTTGTGCAGTTGGCGTTGACTTGCTACCTGCCGCCCCATGGCGAGACCTCACAACCGCCTCTAACATGTCCCTGAAACCATTGAATTGGCTGGCATCAAGTAAGGGCGGAAGAGGGGTGGTGGTGATAGAGCCGCAGAATGTGGCCTTGCGAAGCTCTGTGGCGTCCAACTGCTCAGCCTTTGGCTTAGTAGGCCAATACTCAGATGACATGCGCAGAAATGCTGGGCCGTGCTTCCACCGGCTCTCCCCCCCCAGCTCCGTTAGGGTCTTCCCGCGCGTAATGTCATCTGCGGGATTATTTCCAGAATCCACGTACCTCCATGCTTGGGCCTCAGTCAGCTCCTGGATCTCGGAGACCCTGGTTCCCACAAACACCTTAAACCTGCATGAGTCTGACTGAAGCCATGTAAGAACTGTGGTGGAGTCTGTCCAGAGTACCACTTCATGAAGTACCAGGGTGAGTTCACGCTGCAACAACCTTGCCAACTGAGCTCCAGTCAACGCCGCACATAGCTCTAATCGTGGTATCGACTGCTGGCGCTTAGGGGCCACTCTAGAACGTGCAGTCAGAAAGGCCACCTCCACTTTACCACCTGAACCCTCCGTACGAAGATACGCAACTGATCCGTAAGCTTTCTCAGATGCGTCACAGAATATGTGGAGGCTCCTGACGGAACTTGGGTGATCCAGAGGGGGGCTTGAATAGCATCGTGGCAAGACAATCTCTGAAAGGTGCTGCAGCTCATTCTCCCAAGTTAACCAGGCCCTGAGGGCGTCATCTGGCAGTGACGGGTCATCCCACTCTCTCTCTTTGTTCCATAATTGCTGGACAATGATTTTGGCCCGCGTGGCGAAGGGAACGAGAAAGCCAAGTGGATCGAAAAGACGTGCCAGTGTACTATAGATATTCCTCATAGTAGGTGTGGGACGGTTAGTGAGGCTGCACTTGTATGCCAGAGTGTCAGAGGCACAAAGCCATCGGAGTCCAAGTGCGAGCTCCTGTGGATCCTCCATTGATTCTGTGAACCATAACTCACTGCTCTCGGATCTCGCCCCTTTTGGAAGGTGACTGATAACTTCTGGAACGTTACTAGTCCACTGACGCAGCTCGAAACCCCCTGAGGCTAACAACATCTTCAATTTGTCAACCAGCTGTCTTGCTGCTGTAGGGGATGAGAGGCTCTGTAAGTGGTTATCCACATAAAAATAACGCTCAACGGCCACCCTGACGTCCTCCTCTGGCTGGCTATGGTCGGTCACATGTTTCTGTAGTGCAAACGTTGCACAGCAGGGGCTGCATGTCGTTCCGAAGGGGAGGACCAGCCACTCATAAGTGCAGGGTGGCGCCTCTTTGTTCAGGTCCCTCCAAACAAAACGAAGCAGGGATCTGTCTTCTGGCAGCAGCCTGATTTGGTGGAACATGCCTTTTATGTCACTACTTATAGCGATAGAATGCTCCCGAAATCTTAGCAGGACACCTAACAGGCTGGAGGTCAATGTGGGGCCTGGTAGCAGAAGCTCATTCAGGTTATAGCCCTTGTATGCAAAGGAGCAGTTGAATACGAGTCGGTTTTTTCCATTATGACTCACCATGTGGTGAGGTATGAACCAGGACTCTGTAGACAAACTCAGCTCTTCTTCTGTTACCTTCTTCACATACCCTGCCTGTTCCAATTTCAGGATCTCTGCTGCATAGGCTGATGCTCGTATTGGGTCTTTCATCAGACGTCTTTCGGTGCTCCGCAGACTCGCCAGTACAGCATCCTTGGAGGTGCGGAGACAGGGCATGTTCTTTACACGAAGCAAAGGGGTGGCGTAGCGATTGACTCCGTCGACTTCCACCCTCACTGTCCTGGTTTCCAGCATGCGAACTGCCTCTTGATCGAGCTTTGAGCGAATCACCATCTTCTCACTCCTATAAGGCAATACGTCCATTTGCCATAGCTTCTCAACATGATGAAGGAGCTCTGCAGAGGGTGACTGTGTGGCGATATGCAGACACTGCTGTGGCTGGAGATATTGCCTGAGGATTTTGGTTGGGCCCTGAATAGTCCAGCCCAACTTGGTCTTTACAGCGGCTGGTCCTCCAGGCGGACCCATACGAACCGGTTCCACTGGCGTGATCAGGTGCGTGTAGTCTGACCCAATCAGGACCATGGGATGAACACATTCCAATGTTTGCAAAGGGAGTCCTTTCAGGTGTTTATATTTGCGCTGGAGTGTCTTCACCGGTTGTGAGTGCTCTGCCAGCCCCAGCTGATCGGCAGTAAAGGCTCTCCTGATCTTGTAGGATTTTTGGGGGTGACTGGCAGGAGAAATAGAGAAGGAGACAGACATACCCTGCAGAATTCTAAGATCCTGGCGCACAGTCCTTAAAGCGAGGCTCTCTGGTTCCCCTTTAAGTTTAAGCTCTTTAGCAGCGGCTGGAAGTAACATAGTCCGCTCTGACCCGTCATCCAGTATCGCGTAGGTCTCCAGGGCCTGCTCTCCATTATGTAGCACAACCTTTGTTACCTTCAGGAGCACCTGACTACAGCCAGACTGCCTATCCAAGTAGAGAACTTCATTGGCGGTACTCACTAAACAGGAGGTGTTCTCTGTGGCTGGTGTCACTATGGCTGACCTAATGTTAAGGTCGTGGAGAGCTTCCAGATGTCTGCCATTACAATTCTTGCACCTGGCCTTTAGTTTGCACTGTGCGGCCTGATGACAGCGACCACAACGCCAGCACCGCCTGTTTCTCTTGATCCAATCTCTCCGCTGCTCAGTTGTTAGCTGGCTAAATTTACTGCACTGGTTCAAGTAATGCAGGGCATCGGTACAGTATGGGCAGGGCAGAGTGACTTTGCCTTGTGGATTGGCACTGGTGGATGGGAATACTGGGACAGTCAGGCCACTTGAAGACTGTTCCGCTCCATGGAGGACTGTGGTTGGCCTGCCATACTTTGAGTCCTTCCGTCTCTCCCTTTTACCTTCCGGGTTCTCTCTGGGTCGGGATTCATATCCATACTCCTGAATCTGCAGCTCAAACTCCAGCCAGCTAGCGAAGTCTAACAGCGTAGGGACACGGATGCCGAGGGGTTGTAGGTGTCTCAGAAATCCAGACCGCATGTCTTGCGGGAGCTTGGACATAAGCCTAGTGACATGGGACCCACACTGAAGCTCAATATGGCCTTTCTCTCCAAGCTGATCGAGCATGCCAACCAGGGCTCTCACTCTGAGGGCAAATCCTTTAAAGGCAGCAATGTCCTGACTACGGATGTTAGGCGCCTCCATCAGATCGGCAATCCGCCTTAATGCTAGCTGGTGAGGTTGCCCATAGTGCTCTGTTAAGGAGGCCATAGTGTCGGTGTAGGGTTGGGTAGAGTTGGTGTATGAGTCAGCAATGAGGAGTGCTTCCTCAAATTTTAGATGGTCAACTAGAATCTGATATTTAAACCTCTCCGTAGCATCCTTGGGGAGGAGATTCTCCAGGGAGGTCTTCAGCCTAGCAAACTCACGTGGGTCCCCTCTACTAAAATCTGGGATGGTGGGTTGAGGACCCCGATATATGTACTCTGTTGCTTGGCGGGAGTGAACGTTTTCAGGTCTCTGTCCATCAGCTGCGCCTGGCTCAAGAGGAATCACATGAGGTAAAATATGTGGACGGTCTTGCGGCTCTGTCGGCTGGTGTGACCTCACCATCCGACCAGATGCAACCAGCTTACTGTTCTCTGATGCTGACATTTCAGGAAGCTGCTCCTGAGTACTCCCCATCTTCTTAAGGCATGTCATCAACTCTACCACTAACTCTGTGGGCAGTGTGGTAGTGGATAGCTGTGGTTCCTCCTCATCATCTGCCACTGGAGGGGGGGGAAGGGGCCAGTCTTCATCGTCCACTTCTATTTTACTGGATACCTGCACAGGTGCTAATGTAGTATGGGCCGTAACCTGTGGTGTGGGTCTTAGTGAGCTAGTGGCGGCAGTGTGCACTGAGGGTTGAGCGTGCGGGCTGTACTCCGGGGGGGAGAATGCAATGTGTTGTGATGGATCTGGACCTTTACTTAGATTAAGCTGTGTTTGCATCTCCATTACGATGAGTTGAAGCCTTTGGTTCTCCTCTCTTATCCTTTGCAGCTCATCTAATATTTCAGGTGAAGCCCCTGGGGTTACTCTGTGAGACAGTGGTCTAGCTGGGGTGCTCTCATAATGGGGTCCCCAGAACACTGACTCTCTGGAATACTTAGAGCGAGCACCAGTCCGGTTCCACTGATCAAGTAGCTGTGAAGTGCTTGACATCTGGTCAATCCTCTCACTACTGTAATAGGGCTCCTGCATCTGATAGGAGGGCTGTGAGGAGAGTGATGCAGCCTGGGGGGGTCCCTCCACAACAGGCAGGGAGACTTCATAATCAGCAAACCAGGTTGGCGGACGTGTCTGACGTCTCGGACGGGTATTAGGAAGTGGCGTCGCCTCACCTCTACCATATGGAAACATCCTCCTTCACAGCAGTCACACAACCTCCGGCTCGAAGGACCAATTTGAAACGAAGACCTTGATAGCTAGGACTGTAATTATAGCTTGTTGGGATAAGTGACCACTGTGGTGCATCGGTAAGAATGCAACTGGATGCTCTGACTCTCTTGAAGGGGTTTATTGACAGCCAACAGATGATTGTCTGTCTTCTTAAAATGTACAGTATGTGTGTGGTTCTACAACAACAACAATAAAGAAAAGAAAAATATCAGCATACAAATAACAAAATGCTGTCAGGATACAATTATTAAAGCTAATACTTGTCATTTAGTATAATCTTCACTTCAGGTAACTTTAGCTATTTAAATCAAATAACCAAAATAATATACCAGCACACATTAGCTTATTATTAAATTAAACAGCCTTCTCTCAGTAACAACAACAACCAAAAACACATAGTTCTCGACTACATAATCATTATAAACACTCCATGAATAACTATGCATTAATGTGCTGTTAGCGAACTTTAAGCTAACAATACTACATTTCAACGGAGTACCTCAGATTAAGCAACACTCATAAATACCCTAATACACCAAAATACACATATGTAAAACATTCACCAGGGTACTCACATGTCTCTGAACGCACACATGCACGGATCACAGCACAGATGACTGATTTATTAACTATTCTCCTCAGAAATATCTACGATGGGCTTCCCGGCCACTCTCACCGTTAACTCAAAAACGAAACCTATCAGTTCGCGCAAAAACGGGTGTCCTCTCCGTGACTCCAAAACAAAGACGCTGATTGGCTGATCCCCGTTACCAAGACATTAATAACGAGTCCTTCTTTACAGAGTGAGTCAGTGAGTAAGTGAGTGAGTCAGTGAGTGAGTCAGTGAGTCAGTGAGTAAGTGAGTGAGTCAGTGAGTGAGTCAGTGAGTGAGTGAGTGAGTGAGTGAGTCAGTGTGTGAGTGAGTCAGTGAGTAAGTGAGTGAGTCAGTGAGTGAGTGAGTCAGTGTGTGAGTGAGTGAGTGAGTGAGTGAGTCAGTGAGTGAGTGAGTGAGTGAGTGAGTGTTATCTGTGTTATGCATTAGAGCTCCAGAAGAGTTTCTGAAAGTCTGTGAATGTTAAACCCTTTGACGTCTGTGTGTGTTTCAGGTGTCTCCGTACTCCGACAGCCCGTGCGTTGAGTGTGAGTGTGACGCGAGAGGTTCAGCGACCCCCGTGTGCATCAGAGACGATGATCACGCGACCCTCGACACAGGTGAAACATCTTCAGTTTGCCATGAAATATCTCTGAATCACAATCTCTCAAGCGTGTCTGAGCTGCTGGTGTGTGTCGTGTAGGTCTGTCTGCAGGTCAGTGTGTGTGTAAGGAGGGTTTTGCGGGCGAGAAGTGTGACCGCTGTGCGTTCGGCTTCAGAGATTTCCCACAATGCACTCGCTGCGAGTGTAACCTGGATGGAAGCCACAACAGCGACCCCTGCAAGGAGTGTGTGTGCAAGGTACCGCTACACACACACATACACAAACATTAAATATGATACTCAACAAAATGTCACTTTTTTAAATATAATGATTTTGTATTATTTTATATGTCAGGCTTTATATTGTTTTATCGAATTACACTTGCGTAACCCCCCCCCCCCCCTCTCTCTCTCTGCAGGATAACGTGATGGGCTCGAACTGTGATCTGTGTAAGCAGGGTTTCTATAACCTGCAGGCCAGTAATCCCGAGGGCTGCACCGAGTGTTTCTGTTTCGGCGTGTCAGACGTGTGCGAGAGCTCGACCTGGTTCACCAGCTCGGTATGTTTAACATCACACCAAAAACAACAAAACTACATCATCGTAACAGCTTGACTGAGGTAAAGACTTAGAACTAATCTGAGGGCTTAAACAGGGTAAAATAAACTAAACAAGAAACAGGTGTGCAAAGCAATCAGTAACCATAGCAACTAATGAGGGTATGATCAGTGGGGAAATTGTGAAAAACAGAAGCAGTTACAGAACACAGGGAAACAATGAAATACAAAATATAAAATCCCATAAAACAGAACATGAATCATTCACTCACACTGTCGGTTTAAATAATTCATTCAAATTAATTAAACATTTGTAAATAGACGGCAGCAAATGACGGCCTCGACTCGACTGTGGTTTGAAACAGAGCTTGTGTTGTTGATTGTCAGGTGGTTCACCGAGACGCGCTCCTCCTTCGGTCTCCTCAGAGCTCCAGCATCTTCACATCTCAGATCTCAGACGAGAACATGATCGTGTCCAACGGCTCGGTGTCCGCAGGCGTCCCGTCGCTGTGGTCGTGGGCCGCGCCGGAGCCGTTCCTCAACAACAAGGTGACTCTCTCTCTCCCTCTCCTCTGTGTGTGTGTTTCTCGCTGGCCTGTCATATCACTCACTCTCATTAACACATGTACAGCTAATTAGCTTACACTCGTCCACAGCGTCTGTCCGCAGGGGATTCATGAAATTAAAACATCTAATAATAGCATTCATTTCCAACAGCTCCGATCTCCATTAAACATGATGGATATTAACACTGTTATTTTTACTAATTTTAATACACTTATTGTTTGCACTTGACATAGCATTTTAAAGTCCCCCCTGTAGTCCATAACTTTATCCCTTAAAACTCATCTTTGATCACCAAAATGACATAATATCTTATATATATATAATATCTTGAGTGTAACTCGACACCCTTGCCTCATTTAGTATGCGCGGTTCTATGAATATGCAAATGAGCCCCGCCCCCACTCACTCAGAGATCCACTGGTTGACGATCACACGTTGATCTGATTGGTTACAAGGTGGTTTGTGACGTCAGAAACACCAAAGCGTGTTTTTGAGACTGTCTTTGGTTCACTGCAGTTTTAAGGAGGAAATACTCAGCAATGCTGTCCACTTATCAACGCACACATGGTGTGTGTGTTAAAGCGGATTAAACACACCACATACACACATAAACAACATTAAACGCACCACAGGGGAATAGTAATATTGTCAACTTATCTAAGATCGAATACTGTCAGATGAGAGCTAAACTTGAGCTAAATAATCTTCCTCATTTCTCTGTACAGCTGACGTCGTACGGCGGCTTCTTGAACTACAGCGTTGCGTACGACACATCTGAGGAGAACGTGGTCAAAACGCTGAGCTCAGATTTCAGTGTAATAATTGAGGTAAGATGATGTGTACAGTATATATCAGATGTGTAATTGTTTATTCTCCTCCCTCCCCAGCTCCTCCTGTCTCAGGCGGGATTTGGCTTCCTGAATCCCCTTTGAATCAGACTAAATTCTCCAATTGTGTTGTACATTAAAATCTTGAATTAAAGGATTAGTTCACTTTTAAAAAAACGTTTGCTGATAATTTACTCACCTCCGTGTCATCCAAGATGTCCATGTCTTTCTTTCTTCAGTAGAAAAGAAATTAAGGTTTTTAATGAAAACATTCCAGGATTTTTCTCCATATAATGGACTTCAATGGGAACCAAACGGTTCAAGGTCCAAAAGACAGTTTCAGTGCAAACTGTTCAAAAGCTTTAAACAATTCCAGACGATGAATAAGGGTCTTATCAAGTGAAACGATCGCTCATTTAATAAATAAATAACAAAGTTTAAGTTTTATAAGCACAAATTCTCGCCTTGCTCTGTTCTGTGATGCGCGTTCGTGACTCTCCTGTTCGAACTCGTTCATCAAAATGAACGAATCTTTTTTCGAGTCATTTGGTTCATTCAACGAACGAAATGAACGAGTTGACTCTTGAAAAGGTTTGTTCATTTTGATGAACAAGTTCGAACAGGAGGGCCACGAACGGGCATCACAGAACAGAGCAAGGCGAGCATTTGTGCTTATAAAACTTAAACTTTGTTTTTTTTTTTATTAAATGAGCGATCGTTTCACTTGATAAGACCCTTATTCATCGCCTGAAATCGTTTAAAGCCCTTTGAACAGTTTGTAGTTTGCACTGAAACTGTCTTTTGGACCTTGAACCGTTTGGTTCCCATTGAAGTCCATTATATGGAGAAAAATACTGGAATGTTTTCATCAAAAACCTTAATTTCTTTTCGACTGAAGAAAGAAAGACATGGACATCTTGGATGACATGGGGGCGAGTAAATTATCGGCAAATGTTTTTAAAAGTGAACTACTCCTTTAATGAAATCTGCAATAGATTCATGTTGGTTCAGTTAACCCTGAGGCTGCCCAGAACAGAACCTAACGATAGTGGTCCTGACAGAAATGTGAACGCAGCAGTAGCGCGTGTGATGAGTGTGTGTGTGTGTGTGTCAGGGTAACGGGCGAACGCTGAGACAGACGCCGTCCTCTCGCCTGCTTCTGAACGCTCACACCGAGCAGCTGGTCTCGATGCGCATTCTCCCGCACGCGTTCACCGACGCCCACAGCGGCAGGAGCGTTCAGCGGGACGAGCTAATGACGCTGCTAGCGGATGTCGCCGCGCTACGGGTTCAAGCTCAGCTGGAGGCTAGCGCTGAGGGAACGCTACGGTCAGAACACAAACAAGACGAAATTAACCTAATTAATGAATGAATTCATTAAAAAGTATATATTTATTTTGTATGTTATATTTATTTTATATTTTATATTTTTATATTTATTATTTATATAAATATATATAAAGTATATATTTATTTTGTATTTTATATTTATTTATTTATACATAAACACATATACATACTTTTGTTAGATGTAATTAATTGCAATTATACTATATACAGATATATATATATATTAGTTAGTAATTTTAGTGCTCACTATAAGTTATTTCAGTTTAGTTTATTTCCGAGACAACATTTCTAGAGTTTTTCTGTAGAGTTTTTCAAGTGATATTATTTTATCTTTATTATTTTATTATTATGTATATATAGGCCCTGTCAAATCGATTAATTGCATCTAACAAAACTATGTATATATGTGTGTATGTGTTTATATAAATACACACATTTATATTTGTAAACTTTTTACGTTTGTGATTCATCACGATTAATTGATTTGACAGTGCTTATATATAAATATATATTAGGGCTGTGCAAAAATTAATTGCGATTAATCTCATCCAAAAAAAAAGTCTGTGTTTACAATACATAATATATTTGTGTGTGCTGTATATAATTATTTTGTATATATAAATACACACACATGCATGTATAAATTTAAGAAAATGTGTTATTCATATATAAAATATTAATATTTATATAATATAGATTATGTATTTATATATATATACAGAATTTAAGCGCAAATAATTCTTAAATATATACATGCATGCATAGGTATTTATATATACAAAATAATTATACACAACACACACAAATATATTATGTAAACACAGACTTTTATTTTGGATGCGATTAATCGCAATACATTTTTGCACAGCCCTAATATATATATATATAAAATTCTAAAATCAAAATTCTAAAATGCACATTTGTGTGTCTCTCTGTGTGTGTGTCTGTGTGTGTGTGTATGTCATGAATCGGCCTGTCTAATATTTTGCTTCTTGTGTAATTGAATGGTTTACTCTGAACATGTGTGTGTGTGTGTGTGGTGCGCAGGTTGAGTGGCGTGTCTCTAGGAGTTGCGGACACACACTCCGGTCCGGCTAAACTCCCTCTGGATGTGGAGCAGTGCGAGTGTCCGTGGGGATATTCAGGATCTTCCTGCGAGGTGACGAACACACATGCGTTACACATGAGCTGAACATGCACATATCCACCAGTTTCTCACAGCAGTGTGTGTGTGTGTGTGTGTGTGTCCAGTACTGTATTCCCGGGTTTTATCGGGTCGGTGGGATTCTGTTCGGAGGAAACTGTCTTCAGTGTGAGTGTAACGATCACGCCAGCGAGTGCGACATCAACGGAGAGTGTCTGGTAGGTGTTTTATATAAAGTGTTTTATTTATTAGGGTTAGGGTTAGCCGCGCCCGACTGTAACGGTGCCGGTGTGTGTGTGTGTGTGGTGTTCTCAGGACTGCAAACACAACACCCGCGGGCCGCACTGCGATCTCTGCGATCCGGGCTTCTATGGAGACGCCAGTGAGGGAACGCCAGACGACTGCCGGAGATGCTCCTGTCCACTCACACTGGAGTCTAACAAGTGAGTGTGTGTGTGTGTGCCGGAGATGCTCCTGTCAACTCACACTGTGGTCTTAACAAGTGTGTGTGTGTGCCAGAGATGCTCCTGCCCACTGACTCTGGCGTCTAACTATGTTAGTGACTGTGTGTGTGTGTGTGTGTGTGTGTGAGTGAGTGACTGTGCCGAATCCGCCCGGATCCTTCCCGAGGGAGGGGGGCTTTTGTGTGTCTGGATGTCTGAGCGTTTCTCACAGTAACACAAACTGTGTCTTTATTCATGATCACACACTTACAATGAAAGTGGCTTTAACACTCTGAGTTAGCATTAGCACACGGAAGAGATGTTCACAAGTCATTTTTTGGAAGCTCAAGTCAAGTCTCAAGTCTTAAATTATTAGGCATTGCCTAATTAAATATGTGCGAATTTGCATATATATATATTAAAAAAAAACGAAGTCTCAGGAGCCTATTAGATAAAGCCAGGTTTAAAATATTTTTTTCATTGTGTTCACATACAGTAATAGATAAGGTTGGGTATCGTTTGAATTTGAACAATTCTGATTCCGATTCCGATTCCTTGTTTCGATTCCGGTTCCTAACGATTCTTGATTCTGATTCTTTTAAGAGGCAGGGTCAAAAAAGTTTAGCTAACCTTGCTAACCAACGGTCTTTCTGAAGGAAATACTCCTTCTGTCACAAATTTTGCATTTTGCCGAGATTTCGTTATTTTTAGAAAAGTGAAGCCACACTTTGGACCGCCGACGTAAGGTAATCATGTTCGACTCGCGCGGTTATGCCAGCACTTCCGGTAGACGCTTCTTCGTTGGTGTTGTTCAGCGGTTTCTTCTTCCGCTCGGTGGACTGTGAATATCGAAACTAGGAATCGAAATTTTAACTTTTGAACGATTCCGGGAAAAAACGAAAAGTTAGTCCCGGTTCCAATCGATACTCGATTCTCGATACCCAACCCTAGTAATAGATGGGGGAAAATAGATATTTATGGATATCTACTTTTGTTATCCTGTCATCAGATAGCCTTAAATAGATTTTCGCCATGTTTTTAGAAAAACAATGTTATATAAATCAAGCTAGGAATAATATATTTACAAATCCATCTGTAATAGTGTTCATAATAAAACTAGGTACAAGACTGGACAGTTTGGTGTATTAGGTTTGGTATATCGGTGCAACTGTAGTGGAGATTTCAGACTTGGAGTTTGAGAGAAAAGTCATTTGAGAAAACGCAAAACGGATTTCCATCAGGCCAATGAGATTGCTCATTTAGAGTTAAATCCCCCTTTTACTTTCGCGATTGGTTGCTGATTAAAAGGAAATGACCATATTTGGATCCGACAACATTGAACTGGAGAGAGAGAGCGAGAGAGAGCGCTTTCTAGCGATGTCTGTGATGACGGTGCAGATCGGGATGATTTACAATGCCAACTTTTGTTGAATTTATGAGAAATCTACAGACGCAAAGTCAATGGAGACGGTTGGATTGTTTCCCCCGCTGTGGGCGTGGCCTAAATACGCTCTGTCTCATGCACAGTATGACAAAGGGTGGGGGACATGCAGCTTATCATACGCTTCCCCAACATATGCGCCAATAAAAGAAAATAGAAATACATTAAAATTAATTTAGATTTAAAAAGCAATAATTGCGAAAAGTGGGTCGAGTCACGAGTGTTTGTGTGACTCAAGTGCGACTCGAGTCCCCATCTCGGCTACACTTCATGTGGTGATTAGATAGTTTTAGTGATAAATGTGTTGAGTGGATGTTTACTTGTGATTGTAAACTGTGATAATTGTGTGTGTGTGTAATGAAATGTAGATTCTGTTGAATATCCTGTAATATCTTGCAGTTTCAGCCCCACGTGTGTGCTTCAGCGTCCCGGAGAGGTCGTGTGTGATCAGTGTCCGCTGGGATACGCCGGACACAAGTGTGAGAGGTACGAGATCCCTGATATTCCTCACGGTTAAACACTTCAGGGTCTGAGAGAATGTTTCACACACACACACTTCTCTCTCATGGTCAGGTGTGCGGACGGTTACTACGGCGACCCGACGGTCCCGGGCCAGCGCTGCTCGGTGTGTGAGTGCAACGGGAACGTGGACCGGTCTGAAGCGGGCCACTGCGACGGGCTCACGGGCGAGTGTGTGAAGTGTGTGTTCAACACGGCGGGCCGGCACTGCGAGCGCTGCCAGGACGGGTTCTACGGGGACGCCGTCACACACAAAAACTGCCAGGGTGAGACGCTCGTTTGTTCAATATCTTGTGTGTGTGTGTGTGAGTGAGCTTATTTGTTCATTTATAATCAGTGTGTAATGGATTATGAGCATGCACACTGAAAAAGCTAATGCACGACTTATGAGTAATTATTAGGGCTGTGCAAAAATTAATTGCGATTAATCGCATCCAAAATAAAAGTCTGTGTTTACATAATATTATTAATTATTTTGTATATATAAATACCTATGCATGCATGTATATATTTAAGAATTATTTGCGCTTAAATTCTGTATATATATAAATACATAATCTATATTATATAAATATAAATATTTTATATATGAATAACACATTTTCTTAAATATATAGATGCATGTGTGTGTATTTATATATACAAAATAATTATATACAGCACACGCAAATATATCATGTAAACACAGACTTTTATTTTGGATGCGATTAATCACTAATTTTTGCACAGCCCTAGTAATTATAAACATAATATAAATGCAAATGCAAATATTAATGTATTTATTGATTGATTGATTTACTTTATTAATCCCCGGGGGGAAATTTATATGTCCCAGCAGCACAAAAATACAATAAAAATAACAACATACACAACAACAACAAGTCTTGTACTCAAATATCAATTTTTCAAAGCATTATGACTATGATTATATATATGACCATCATCTTATATAGCACTGATTGTAAAATCTAATTGCAGTTGGAAAAAAAGATTTTCTAAAACGCTTTTTGTAACAACGTGGATTAATTAATCTTGAGCTGTGGAGCTGTTTATAAAATAGTAATACTTCCTTATAAATTAGTATAAAAGGAGCTGTAATTCATCATAATGGTCTTTATAGAAAGTGTTACCAAAATGTTTTTTAACCACTGAAGCTCTAGTGACGCCCAGTGGACAAACACGGTACTGATCGTCAGTTTTACTGTAGTGTGTGTGTCTGAAATCACGTTCTCTCTCTGCATGTGTGTGTGTAGCCTGCGGTTGCTATGGTAACGGGTCTCTGTCCGCCGTCTGTAACGTCATCACGGGTCAGTGTGAGTGTAAAGCCAACGTCGTCGGACAAACGTGTGACCGCTGTCTGGTACGTCTGCTGTGTTTTTGATTATTTATTTACCATAATGTTTCATTGCTTCATTCGCTCATGAACGAGCAGAGTTTCACACTGCAAAACTGATTTCTTGCTCAGTATTTTTGTGTTGTTTCCAGTCCAAACATCAAATAATTCTTAAATCGAGATGCATTTACTCACACATAAATCAATGAGATTTGTAAATAAATAAATTTTTAATAAATAAATAAATTTGTAAATTTTAAATAAATTTGTAAATAAAACAAAGACTTGTAAATAAATAAATAAATAAATAAATATCTTAAAAGTAAGATATTATTATTTTATTTTCTGGGGAAATAAATAAAAATTAAGAAAATATAAAACAAGACAATGATATCTTATGGCATTTTAGTAAATGTAAAAGTAAATGCATCTCGATTTAAGAATTATTTGATATTTGGACTGGAAACAACACAAAAATACTGATTAAGAAAAGCATTTTTGCAGTGTGATGATTGGCAGCTGTTCATATAATATGTGTGTGTGTGTGTTTCAGGCTGGTTATTATGGTATTAACAGTGGCGATGGCTGCAGACTGTGTGAATGTAACCAATCGGGCTCTGTGTCTGGGTCATGTGACGAGGAGGGGCGGTGCCGATGCATCACTGGAGTGACAGGTGACAAATGTGATCGATGTCAGCGCGGATATTACAACTTTAGAGAGAACGGATGCACACGTAAGAACTCACATTATTCTCATTGATTTATGTGTGTGTGTGAGTGTGTGTGTGTGTGTGTGTTTTGCAGTGTGATGGGCTCATGTAATCTCGACTGTTTTGTGTCTCTAGCGTGTGACTGCGCACACACACACGGGAACTGTAACGCAGAGACGGGCGAGTGTATCTGCCCTCCACACACACACGGGCCGAAGTGTGAAGAGTGTGAGGAAGGTCACTGGGGTCACGACGGCGTGTCCGGCTGTAAGGTGCGACACATCACTCCCCAACTGACGATAGCACCACGGTATTGTGATAAGCGTTTAATACGGTATGTGTGTGTGTGTGTGTGTGTGTGCAGGCGTGTGACTGCAGTCCTGTCGGCTCGAACTCGTCTCAGTGTGATCTGCTGTCGGCTCAGTGTCGCTGCAACACACACTTCTCCGGCCTCAAGTGTGACCGCTGCGCTTTGGGCTTCAGAAACTTCCCAGAATGCACCGCCTGCGACTGCGACCCGGCCGGCACGCGCGAGGACTTCTGCGACGGCTCGCTGGGAGTGTGTGGGTGTGAGGATCACGGACGGTGTTCCTGCAAGGTGACGATAGCGCCGTATCCATACACTGTTAGAAGTTTTTAATATTTAATATGTTTTAAATGCAATTAATACGGTATTAGAGCACACTGTGCTCTGATTGGTCGGCTGGAGCAGTGTGTTGTGATTGGTCGAGTACTTCGAGTGTGTTTGGGAAATGCCCCGCCCCTTTCCATAACCGCCAGTTTAACACACTCCTAACTAACTCAACCAGGCCCCGCCCCTTTATTCTACACATTAATTATTATAATGAGGAATATTGTGACGTGTTCAAACTCGAGACTACAATGGAGGCGTTTCAGGAGTTCAGACACACTGACACTGATATAGAGGAGAACTGGAGCTTTCCATGATCACACACGTGGAGTAACTCTTGATAACTGTGTGTTCAGGAGAATGTGGGCGGCAGGGGATGTGACGAGTGCAAGAGCGGGACGTTCGGTCTGACGGCGGAGAACCCGTCCGGCTGCAGTCCGTGCTTCTGCTTCGGGGTGTCCAGTGTGTGTGAGGAGCTGAGCGGCCTGATCCGAGTGCCGGTGAGTAGGGACCACACACACACATCTTCATGAATCCTGCATGTATTTAACTAGGGCTGGGTATTGACACAAATTTCACAATTCGATTCGATTTCAATTCACAAGCGATTCAATTCGACTTGATTCAATATTGATTATTTTGGATATCAGTTCCAATAAATGGCAAATTTTCTCAAGGAAATCAAATCTCTGAACTAATGCTGTAAACTATGGGAGTCTAGTTGGGCTTCATTAGCCTAATATGAAGGTAATAATCAACTGTTTTGTAGCTATACAAACACTTAAATTACACTTTTATTTATTTTTATAATAAGAAGATCATATGAAATATAAACATTTAAATGGTGGCTGTCATAAAAACTTTCCAGATTTATTCAAATATGCATTAAATATTGAAGAACATTAAGATTATAATGCATATGTAATATGGTGTATATATTTAGCAAAATGCTCCTCTCTAGAGTTATTTTTTCTAGCTGACTAACGAGTTTATGTGGGTTTTCTGAGGTAAATATGACGATGACATTGATTACAAGCTGTTTAACTGACGTCTTTCCACGGTTGAAACGCTGATTGAGTGAATCAATGTGACATGATCCGGATTTGGATAAGTTGTACTGTATCTTTAACACACTTTCAGATGCTCATTCATGTTTATTTGGCGCTGTGACTGGTATTATTAAGCCGGAAGAGAGATCAGCGCTGCTGCTTCTCCAGAGCGATCTCACGCCACAGCGACAAAACGCTATTTATGTTTTTGAACTTCTAAGGAAAATGGACGTAATTTGAAAATTGAGACTTTGTTTCATATCAATAGTAACAAAGGACAAAGATTATTGCGATGTTTTGGATGCGCGCAGCCGCTATACAATGTCCCATTCATTCAAATGAAACAGGATGACTAATCGATTCTTGAGATTTAAGAATCGATATCGGTTTGTAAAAATGAGAATTGATAAATATCGAGAAATCGATATTTATTACCCAGCCCTATATTTAACCCATTGCTCTGTCTGTGTGTGTATGTGTGTTTTAGGTGGCGCTGGGTCCTGCCCCGCCGCTGCTGCGTGTCGTGTCTCAGAGTGACCAGCAGGGGACGCTGGAGGGCGTTTATTACTCGCAGGAGGAGATGCTGTTGGACGCGGCTCACCTGCACAGTCTGTCTGTGCTCACCGGACCCTTCTACTGGAGACTGCCGCCCAAATACCACGGTAACAAGGTACAAACCCCGCCCAAATACCACGGTAACAAGGTACAAACCCCGCCCAAATACCACGGTAACAATGTACAAACAGAGAATGTCTAATTGAAGAGAGACACTGGCTGGTTACTTCCGGGTTGTGGACTGGCTGCAGTAACGCGTCTCTGTCCATGCGGGGGCGCTCGCGGTCGAGTGCAGAATGAATGGGAGTCAATGGGGTTTCACCCCCAGAAATCCACTTTTCTCAGGATGTAATTTTTTGTCAAGTAATTTGAAAGTTGCTTTCAAAATGGAGGGCTAAGATAATACACTCAGCTGAATATTGCATTTTTAAGTTCACTTATCTGTTCTAAAAATGTGATGACGTCACACAATAGCAGAATGCTAGCGTGTTCGGGCCAACAACGGCCTAACCTGTAAGAAATCAAACGGACATAAGTACTCGTTCATTCCACTTTTGGCCTATAATCTATATTGAACTTGTGGAATCAACAATAAAATCGATGTTAATTTAACGACAAGCAGGTGAAAGAGACACATTTAGCCGTTTAGCCCCATAGACTCCCATTCATTCTGCACTCGCTCGTGATCACCCCCAGTGGAATTATAATGGAACTGCAACCAAGATGATACACAACGGGGCTAATAGGCTCTCCGTTAGACGGGCTCTGGTACAAACCCCGCCCAAATACCACGGTAACAAGGTACAAACCCCACGGATTCTTTGCATACCATCTATGCAATATATGTGTTACAGTATTTCTTAATCTTTTTAAAAAATAAAACTGTTTATTGTTAGTTTATGTTAGTTAACAGGTCTTAATAATGCATTAGTAAATGTTGAAATGAACTGGGATTAAAGTCAGCTGAGTGTGTGTGTCCTCGTGTCTCGCAGCTGCTGTCGTACGGAGGAAGACTCTCCTTCACCATCGCCTTCTTCGCTCTCGATGGCGTCGGGCTGGCCAATCACGAGCCTCAGGTTCTGATGAGGGGCGGACACCTGCGCAAGTTAGTCATCTACACCGACGCTCCCGCGCCGCAGAACGGCGTCCGCACCGAACAGGAAGTTCCTCTGACCGAGGTGAGTCTGATCACATGACTTCTGTGTCGTAAAGCCCAGGGTGGAAAACTCTTGAAAACGGCCATTTTTATGAAGCAGAACTTGAATTATTGAAAGGAAAATATTAATGGGAATTTTGATTTTGATGAAATAATCTTTTCACACTATTTAATCTGCAGCTCGTCCGATATAGAGGCGTTTCTCATGTCTATGAGTGTGATTTTACTCATATAAATATGTCAATCATAAATTCACGGCAGAAAAAACTCATATTTAATAAAGAAAGTGATATTTTTGTGATAGTATTCTTTCAGTGGTTAAAGTTACCAGTCATTGCGTCTGCTGCACTTTTATTTCTGCCATTTTGTTTTATGTTTATATTTATTTATTTAACTATTTTTGAATTTAAAAGACTATAAAGATTGATGAATGAGTTGTAGTGCTGTGTGTGACCCTGTGTGAGCGTGTCTCGGTGTGTGTGCAGCACAAGTGGAAGTATTTCAACTCCGTGTCGGATGAAGCCGTGAGCCGCGCCGACTTCATGTCTGTGCTGAGTAACGTGGAGTACGTCCTCATCAAAGCCTCGTACGGATCCGGACTGCAGCAGAGCCGGTCAGTGTGTGTGCAATTATACTTAAAGGGATAGTTGACTTTGAAATTAATTTTTGATATGTTTTATCTTTCCTCAAGGCCATCCGAGATGTAGGTGTCTTTGTTTTTTGTATTTTTTTTGTATTTTCAATTTTGACATTTTTCAGTCAAACCGTTGTTGTCTATCAGTCATACACTGGAGGCTAAGGGGGTCCACCAAAGAGCAGCACAGAGAAGTCCAAATTAAACATGATTTAATGACTCGTAAATGTAAGTACACACTGATGGCCTAAGACACGAAACGAGCGGTTTGTGTGAGAAAACCAACAGTGTTTATATCGTTTTTACCTCGTGTAATCATAGTGATCTGAATCAGTTGAACTGAACCGAACTGAATCAGTTCAATGTTACGCCGGAAGTGATCGCTTGCGTGTGACGTCACTCAATATTTACACGGAGATTTCGTGAGTTTTACCTTTTACTAAACATATTTAGATATACCGAAATCGTCTTCCATTGCGGTTTCCCGTATATCTAAATATGTTTAGGGAAAGGTAAAACTTCCCAAATCTCTGTATAAACAAAGAGTGACGTCGGCGCGCGAGCGATCACTTCCAGACCGAAGCGCCCGTGCCGTCAGATCATTTTGTCGTGGCTGTGATTACAAGAGGTAAAACGATATAAACACTGTTGGTTTTCTCACACAAACCGCTCGTTTCGTGTCTTAGGCCACCAATGTGTACTTACATTTACGAGTCATTAAATCATGTTTAATTTGGACTTCTCTGTGCTGCTCTTTGGTGGACCCCCTTAGCCTCCAGTGTATGACTGATAGACAACAACGGTTTGACTGAAAAATGTCAAAATTGAAAATACTGCGGAAACAAAGACACCTACATCTCGGATGCCCTTGAGGTAAAATTAATTTCAAAGTGAGCTATCCCTTTAAACATTTTTTTTTATCCAGAAATCTTATTTTATTTAATTTTGATGATATTTAAAAACATTTCAAAAACATATTTTCCTTTTAATTACTATATTTGATCAATAAATATAGTCATTTAAGCACATTCCTCACATTCTTTCAACTTAAATTCAAAATTTCTCACAATTTCATGCCTAACACTTTTAATTCAGCTCTAAATATAATACACTTTGTGTCTTTGCTGATCCTCTTGTGGAAAATAATAATAACACATGATATTTGATGACTCTAGATGGGCTTATATCTCTATATGAAGAGTTCAGATGCAAAAGCCTCTAAGTGCCATTTGAAATTTTCTTCTAAAATGACAATTTTTATCAAGCTTGTATATTTAAGTTCAGTAATTTCACTTAAATGGCAATGAAGATTACCTATTAATTGTCATTTAAGTGAAATTACTGAACTTAAATATACAAGCTTGATAAAAACGGTCATTTTAGAAGAAAATTTCAAATGGCATTTAGAGGCTTTTGCATCTGAACTCTTCATATGGAGTAAATGAGTCAGTTCGGTTCAGTGTACATTCAGACACGCATGTAGACGTTATAAAAATAATTTTTGGGTAAAGTTTTAGCATTTTTACTTTGAATTTTGAGCAGTTTTAGGTTTTTCTACGTGTTCATTCCTATGGGGGTCACACTGATGAAGGATTTATTACTTTTCAAAATTTCAACCTCAAAACTCCTCGAATCCATAACAAAAATGTTGTGTGTGTTTGTGGTTCAAGTGCGACGAAAGTCTTGAACACTTACAAATTTTCACAAATGAAAATGACCCGATGAACTCGGAGAGAGTAACGGCGTCTCCGCTCTGTTCTCTCCAGGATCTCCAACATCTCGCTGGAAGTGTCTCTGGATGCGGATGACGTCCCCGAGGGAGGAGCCGGAGGAGTGGCTCGACTGGTGGAGGCGTGCGAGTGTCCGCTGGGATACGCCGGGCTCTCGTGTCAGGTCCGGGACACACTCCTCACACACACACACACACACTTCTGGAACACGTCTGACTGAACTGAACGCTCTTGTTGCAGGAGTGCTCTCCGGGTTATTACCGGCAGGCCGTGTCCGAGCTCAACATGAAGGGCCGAGACCGGCCGCTCATCCGGCCCTGCGTCCCGTGCCGGTGCAACAACCACAGTGTGTCATGTGACCTGGAGACGGGCCAATGTCTGGTGAGCAAACCCACATCGATAAACCCGCTTTATCCACATCAGACTGATGATGAAGGCTCAATCCGTGTATCTGTGTCGTGTGTTCAGGGATGCCAGCACAACACCGCAGGAGAGCACTGTCACCTGTGCGCCGCAGGGCATTATGGGAAGGTTCAGGGTTCGGTCAGCGACTGCTCGCTGTGTGCCTGTCCACTGCGAGGTCAAAGGTGAGGTCACAGCTGTGTGTATGTCATGGAAAGCAGTGGTTCTCAGACTTCAGCGTGATGTGTGTGTTTTGCGTGTGTTTAGCTTCAGCACCACGTGTGTGTTAGAGGGCGCTGGAGATTTCCGCTGCGACCGCTGTGAGGAGGGATACGAGGGCCGCTACTGTGAGAGGTGAGGTCATGTGACGTTACGGCACACACACTCGTAATATTAGTGCTGTCCCTTTAAGAGCTGCACGGCTCTGATACACATTATACACTGCAGCTCTTAAAGGGACAGCGCTAATATTCCTCCGTCTCTATAATAACACTAATCACACACCAGAGACTGAGAACATCCACTGAATAACTTTTGTAAATATATTTGTAATGTATATTTTATTTATAAACTGTAGTGTTATTGTACATTTGATTACAGTTTCTGAACCTGAACATCTTAAAACACTGTTTATTTCAATCGTATTTCAATCAATCGAGATTGCAAATGTTTTATTTGTTCTCTTGCTGTGTTTACTGGTCTTTAATAAAGCTTGACATGTATATTAGTTTGGCTGGTTGTTCTTCAACTGTGTTTTCGAAACACAGGCAAACGCGTCCTGTGTAAGAGTTGTTCAGCTTCATGATATTCAGATGACATGTTTAAATGTGAATGATATTTAAGTTTTTTTCCCTTACTGGAATCGTTAAAACTCTAGCTAACGCTCTCTCCGCATCTCAGGTGTTCGGTGGGTTACCATGGCGACCCGTCGGAGCCGGGCGGCCGGTGTCAGGTGTGCCGGTGTAACGGGACCGGGTCGGTGCACGGTGTGTGTGACGGACGCACGGGCCGGTGCGAGTGCAAGCCTGGGGTCAGAGGTCATCTGTGTGACCAGTGTGAGGAGAGACACGTGCTGGTCAGCGAGCAGTGTGTGTGTAAGGCTGCGCTAATTCTACTGATGTTTCAATGCAGCTTCACCGTGACAAATCGGAAAATAAGTTATAACCTTTGATGATGCAAACTTCATCAATTATTTGGTTGAGTTCAGTAACAGTGTCAATGTCAGTATCAATTATGATATTGTTGGATATTGTGATCAATTATCAGCTTGTTTTTCAGTTCAGTTCAGAGTTATTTCAGTTCAGTTGAGTTTAAATTAATTTCAGGTGAGTTTAGTGTTGATTCAGTTCAGTTTTATAATAGTTACAGAATTTATCAATTATGAATCAAATTAAATTTCAGTTGACTTGTTTTTCAGCTCAGTTGAGTTCAGTGTTGATTCAGTTGAGTTCAGTGTTGATTCAGCTCAGTTGAGTTCAGAGTTGATTCAGTTGAGTTCAGTGTTGATTCAGTTGAGTTCAGTGTTGATTCAGTTAAGTTCAGTGTTGATTCAGCTCAGCTCAGTTGAGTTCAGTGTTGATTCAGTTGAGTTCAGAGTTGATTCAGTTAAGTTCAGTGTTGATTCAGCTCAGCTCAGTTAAGTTCAGTGTTGATTCAGCTCAGCTCAGTTGAGTTCAGTGTTGATTCAGTTGAGTTCAGTGTTGATTCAGTTGAGTTCAGTATTGATTCAGCTCAGCTCAGTTGAGTTCAGAGTTGATTCAGTTGAGTTCAGTGTTGATTCAGTTGAGTTCAGTGTTGATTCAGCTCAGCTCAGTTGAGTTCAGTGTTGATTCAGTTGAGTTCAGTGTTGATTCAGTTGAGTTCAGTGTTGATTCAGCTCAGCTCAGTTGAGTTCAGTGTTGATTCAGTTGAGTTCAGAGTTGATTCAGTTGAGTTCAGTGTTGATTCAGTGGAGTTCAGTTGAGTTCAGAGTTGATTCAGTTGAGTTCAGAGTTGATTCAGTGGAGTTCAGTGTTGAGTGGAGTGTGCATGTTGCGGTGTCGGTGTGATGACGAGCTCGTGTCTCCTCAGCGTGTGATGACGGATGCACAGGACTGCTGTTGGACGATCTGGACTCTCTAGACGGGTCAGTCGCGTCCCTAAACCTGTCGGGTGTCATCATCGCCCCCTACAGCCAGCTCTTGACGCTCGAGAACCAGACCCGAGAGGTCAAGGTCAGTCATGTGACCCAGCCTGCATAAACCATCACTCATGTAACACCGCATGCATGAACACTTCATAAGTAAACCTCCTTTGCAGAGTTTGATGTCGTGGGATCAGAGCCCAGATCATCACCTGACCGCAGGAGAGCGAAGCTTGAGACGCCTGAGCGATGGCATCACTGACCTGCAGCAACAGGTGCGCTCGCATCCCTCCTCACGGTAACCATGGCGACGAGAGGCTGATGCTGATGCTCAGTGTGTGTGTGTGCAGGTCCAGAGTGTGTTGGATGGCAGTGAAGCGGTGCTGCTGAAGGCTGAGGAGAAGCTCTCGCTGGGCAAACAGCTGCTGGAGCTCATCAGGAACACTCACTCCGCCATCACCGGTAGACAAATAAAGCTATTTGAGTATTATTTGTGTTATTTTATGGCTACTGTGCTCAGCTCTGCTGGTCTGTGATTGGTCCAGGCCTGACGGAGCAGGTTCGCTCTGTGAACGTGACGACGGACGCTGATCTCGACGGCACGAACGACACGTTCCTGATGGAGGAGATGAACGCGACGCTGGAGAGGATCAGGACCGTCAGTCTGACACACTGCAGTGCGACTGCGCAGCGCCAACTCAGGTACCACACACACACACACACACACACATTTTACAATCAGCTTCATTAGCTAACATCAGTAACTATCAAAAACTAGCAATGAGCAGTAGATTTGTTGATGTTAGTTCCCAGTGCATTAACTGTCAACTTGATAAAGTATTAGTAAATGTTGAAATTAGAGCCCGACCGATAAAGGATTTTGAAGGCCGATACCAATACAAATATTTTGGGGTTTTAAAATCCGATATTCCGATATATCGGCCGATATTTTTTTTTTTTTTAATGTTTACAAAACATTAACAGATTTCCCTAACGTTAGTTATTTGTAGTTATTTATGAGTTTAACTAAAATAATATGATAATGCATTTTAAAAACAAACTTGTTTCTTTTATTGTCACGACAGAACAGACTGATGATAGTGGCATTAGCTATAGCTTTATGGTTAGCTAGTCTATGATGAGCCATAATTTAGCAATGGATAACGTCATACTGCAAATTTTAATACATTTTCAATATAACAGGCCGAGGAGAGATGATGCGTCTCATTGCTATAACTGTCACGCGCTATTAAAGAAATACTTCAGTCACATTGTCAAAAGTTAAAAGGACAGTCAACTACACGTAACTATTACTAGCTAATTCCGCTTCACTCTCGGCAGCAAAACTGGACATGATAGTCACAAATTTTGTCATGCTTATTAAAGTTAAATCTATCTTTTAATTGTTATTCAAGCAATGTATGTCTCATTACCAACTCAACGTGTGTTGCCAACAGTGACGGTGTAGAGCGCCCTCTGGTGGACAAACTATACAACTCCAACACTCATGACATGGTTCAAGCTTCATTTTTTAAATATTCAGTTATCGGCCATTATAACTGCCGATACCGATAGTTGCCTAATATCGGCCGATAATATCGGTCTGGCTCTAGTTGAAATTAATATTAACTAATATTAACAAATGCTGTAGAAGTGTTGTTCATGTTAACTAAGGTAGTTACTCACTACTTTAGTTAGTTGACATGGAACAGTTCCTTATAGGCAACAGTGTTCAAAAGTGTGTGTGTGTGTGTTTAGTTCTGCAGTGTCTGTTCTGCGGAGGGTTCAGGAGGAGATTGCACATCCGCTCGTACAGAACCAGTTCAGACTGGAGAACATCTCCTCCACCCTCGGGAGACTCGAGCGTCAGATCCTGCAGATCCAGGAGATCATCAACACGAGCGAGAGCCACAATAACCAGAGCCGTCGCCTGACGGAGCAGATCCAGACCAGCCTGAGCCGGCTCGCGGTGAGTCCAGCACACACACACACACTGCGCTTACTTCAGAAAAATACTGTAACAACAGCGAAATATTATTATAAAAATTGTGCAATTTAAAAGAAGGTTTAAAATGTCTATGTTAGAAAAGTAGACTGGGACAAATGTCCAATTTTCCATACAGTCTGTTTCTTGCCATTCCATTAATATTTATATTATTGTCAGTATTACATTTTGTGTTTTTTTTATTTATTTATTATTTTTCTTTTCCACTTTATAATTGTATTGTGTGACTTATTTTTAGATAAAATGTACTGCAAATGATTAAGTTTTTTCTTTTTTTGTTTCTCAAAAAGGATAAATAATGATATTTTGTAAAGAGAAAACAGTAGCCGTTTCAAAGCTAGATTTGTAAAAGGGGAAGGCAAATATAATGGGAATGGGAATCTTTAGATAGCTCATGATCCGATCTACTTTTTTTCTTATTAATTAATCTTAATAACTCTTAAAATATGTATTTAATTACATGTGTAAAAACACATAAAAAATAAATATAAAAAACATTTAATTAAACCAATTATTTAAATAGGCTATATAAAATAATATAGCTTCAAAATATAAAAGCTAGTAAATAAGAAGAAACAAAAAAAATATATAAGTTAGCTTCTTCCTTCTCCTTTTTTTTTCTATATTCCTTTTCTTCTCTTTTGAACATGCTGAGATTTTGTTTTTATTATTTTTTGTTAAAATATGTTCTGTTGCTAATGATCATGTTCTGAAGAGGAAAAGGAAATGAAAAGAAATAAATTATTCATTCAAATATTGTTATAATGTAAATCATCTGTTTTCTATGTGAATATATAGTAAAGCGTAATGTATTCCTGTGATCTTCAGCATCATTACTCCATAATAATCATAAATATTTCTTAAGCATCAGACCCTCATATTAGAGTGATTTCTGAAGGATCATGTGACACTGAAGACTGGAGTAATGATGATAAATTACACTTTACTGTATATTCACATAAAAAAACAAATGATTAATATTTCACAATTTTTACTTTAGTTTTGAGCAGAGAGACATTTAAAAAATATTTTTCTCCAGATCTCCAGCAACAATGTCAACAATCTGAACCAGGAAGTAGAAACACAAGTACAGGAAGCTCAAGACCTGCTGAGTGATGCCCTCAATATAGCAGAAAACATGGACAACGGGACGGATGTAAGTGACGTTTCTACCTCATATAACACATACGTATATGAGACGGTGAATGTGATCCCAGATGATGCGTTTGTCGTTCCAGACTCTGGATGAGATGAAGAACCATCTTGAAGGCTGGAGTGTGAATCTCAGGAAGCATGTGGACACTTTAGTGATGGATTTGACCAAAAGAGACGCCCTGCAGATGGTGTACCGGGCCGAGGATCACGCGCAAGCCCTCAGCAAACAGGCACAAGCCCTTAACAGGTGCGTCACGCTAAAAATCCAACAAAACGCATCTTGTATACATTGTTGGTATTGTAAATAACTCGATATCTTTCTTTTTTGCGGTCAGTTCTCTATCCGAGGTCAGATCTGCATCAGTGAACGCGACCAGCGTCAGTCAGACCAACAGCAACATCAGAGAAAACATTCAGATGGCGGGAGATCTGGCTCACGCCGCCAATCACAGCGCAAGCTCCGCCCTCAATCTGGTACGTCCACCAATCAAAGCCTACAGGGAGGTTTCACAAAATAAGCTAATTGGATGTAACAATAAAATAAATTATACAAGTTTTTATTATAAATTAATTCATATAAAATAATGAGTAATGCTCATAAAACCAGGGGTATTATTACCTAAAACTAATAAATATTTTATTAATTGAACTAAAACCGAAATTATTTATTTATTTATTTATAAATATATATATATATATATATTATTCTCAGAGTAATTTAATTAAACAAAATCTACTTTCATGAATTTAAATATATAATATATTATACAATACATTTTTGGCCTGTATACATTATTTGAATCTAAAAAAGATGAGATATTATATCTGTTTGCTTTTAATTTGTTGTTAAATTATTAAAATATTTACTTTAAAATGGTGAATATTTTACGTCCAAGCGATTGGACTGGGAAAGGTTTGGGAGTCGCTGCTAGTGTTGGGTGAGTTACTCTAAAAAAGTAATGAATTACTAGTTACTAATTACCTCTTCAACTGTGTAATTAGATTACTGTACTAATTACTCTCTCTAAAAAGCATTTAATTACTTTTAATTACTAATTACTTTCAAAATCCCATATCAATCTCAACCAGCTGAATAATACAAGGATAGACATGAATCTGCTTTAATTATTTCAAATAAATACTATAAAATTGCATGAATTATCCTTAAACTGACCAAGGTGGAGAAGGTTACATTATAAAAATATACTTTTTAGCATCAGACAATACATTTTGGTGTTAAACCCACTATTGTTTTATGTCTGATCTCATGACATTTCACACTTTTATCATATTTTACACGAATTTGTGCGTAATATTTAGACACCTCATAAAATGCATACGAATCGCTGTGAGATCGGATTGATCTGTACACAGTATTTACCTCAATTACATCAGAAGTAACTGTAATTAAATTACAGATAAATGAAGAGTAATCCCTTACTTTACATTTTCAAGGGAAAAGTATTTAAATTACATTAATTAGTCACACCCAACACTGACTCGCTGCTATACATCATCCAGTGCTGTTGTTGATATTGTGAAGTCTGCAGTGTGTGATGCTGATCGTCCTGTTTTCTGTTAGACGTCGGAGCACTCGCTCACTGCGCAGGGGACGAGGGCGCTCCGGGCGAGCGGGGAGATTCGGGACGCCAGCGGAGCCCTGGACACACTCACTGCAGGTGAACACACGAAAGAGACGAGACGGAGTGACTGAAGTGTAAAGCTGTTGACTTGCACACTGATTGTGTATTGGTGTGTGTGTGTGTGTGTGTTCCAGGGCTGGTGTTTAACGTCACTGAAGTAACTAGCAGGTTGAGTCGAGTTAGAGCGAATGTTCAGAACTTCACTCATTTGCTCCCAGAAGCCATCAGTGTCCTGAGAAACCTGCCGAACGGTACGTGACACGGATCAGTGTGTGTGTGTGTGTGTAATCCCAGATGAAAAAAATCTGCATTGAGAACTAGGGCTGGGTATTGACACAAATTTCACAATTCGATTCGATTTCGATTCACAAGCTTGCAATTCGATTCGATTCCAATTCGACTTGATTCAATATTGATTATTTTGGACATCAGTTCCAATAAATGGCAAATTTTCTCAAGGGAATCAAATCTCTGAACTAATGCTGTAAACTATGGGAGTCTAGTTGTAGCCTATAGGCTTCATTAGCCTAATATGAAGGTAATAATGAACTGTTTTGTAGCTATACAAACACTTAAATTACACTTTTATTTATTTTTATAATAAGAAGATTATATGAAATATAAACATTTAAATGGTGGCTGTCATAAAAACTTGCCAGATTTATTCAAATATGCATTAAATATTGAAGAACATTAAGATTATAATGCATATGTAATATGGTGTATATATTTAGCAAAATGCTCCTCTCTAGAGTTATTTTTTCTAGCTGACTAACGAGTTTATGTGGGTTTTCTGAGGTAAATATGATGATGACATTGATTACAAGCTGTTTAACTGACGTCTTTCCACGGTTGAAACGCTGATTGAGTGAATCAATGTGACATGATCCGGATTTGGATAAGTTGTACTCTATCTTTAACACACTTTCAGACGCTCATTCATGTTTATTTGGTATTATTAAGCCGGAAGAGAGATCAGCGCTGCTGCTTCTCCAGAGCGATCTCACGCCACAGCGACGTTTTTGAATTTCCAAAGAAAATGGACGTAATTTGAAAATTGAGACTTTGTTTCATATCAATAGTAACAAAGGACAAAGATTATTGCGATTTTTTGGATGCGCGCAGCCGCGATACAATGTCCCATTCATTCAAATGAAACAGGATGACTAATCGATTCTTGAGATTTAAGAATCGATATCGGTTCGTAAAAATGAGAATCGATTAATATCGAGAAATCGATATTTATTACCCAGCCCTAATGAGAACTTCTTTCACTCTCTCTCTCTCAGGCAGCAGAGACGAGGTCCTGGAGGCGCGGCGACGGGCGGAAGCGGTGAACGCGACGCTACAGAGAGCGCTGCGGCGGCTGGAGGATTACCGCGTGAAGCTAGACGCGTCGTTCTCCGCGGTCGAGTCGGTGAACACCAGCAGCCGGAGCAACAGCCGCCTCATCCGAGACTCAGAGGAGGCCGGTGTGTTTCACCACACACACACACACACACATTACTGAGGGTCACTGTGGTGGACAGTGGGGAGATATTACACATTACACACTCTCTCTCTCTCTCTCTCTCTCTCTCTCTGTGTCCTGATGATCTCTCGTGTCGTCCTCAGCCAGCGCGGCGTCCTCTCGGCTGACCGAGGCCCATCTGAAGGCGGAGCGGCTGTTCGAGCGGCTGAAGCCTCTGCAGACTCTGGGAGAAACCCTGAGCAGGAACCTGTCGGACATCCGAGAACTGATCAACCAGGCCCGCAAACAGGCGGCTTCGGTGGGTCTCGCGCCATGTGACCTCTCACACACACACTTACACTCCCATCACACACACTCACGCTCTGATCTCTGCAGATTAAAGTGGCGGTCTCGGCCGAGCGGGAGTGTGTGAGAGCGTACAGACCCGAGGTGACGTCCAGCAACTTCAACACACTCACGCTGACCGTGAAGACCTCGGACCCGGACAACCTGCTCTTCTACATGGGCGGCGGCGCCGGCGTACGTCACGCTACTTATTCTTACTGATATCATTTTAGTTTAAGGTTTAGGACGTTTCCCTTTTTTATATTCCTATTTATGTTTAATTTATTATTATTTCCAGTTTATAATTTAGTCATTCAAACTAAACTTTAGTATAATTTATATACTATTTTAGTTTTTATAAATTATCTTTGATTTTATATATTTAATTTTAGTACTGTTGTTATTTGCTTTTCTCATTTTTTTACATTTATTTTTTTAGTAATGTTGTCATTTGCTTTTCTCATTTTTTTAAATTTAATTTTAATTTTTAATTATTTAATTAAAATTAATAATGTATTATTAATTAATAATAACAATTATTATTATAATAAAATAATAAAAAATAATTTTAAATTATTAAAAATTATTAATTCTTAATAAATTATTGATTCCCAAAAATTAATTAATTGATTTAATTAAAATTAATAATTTAATTATTTTAATTTTTATTTAATTTTTATTAACGTTTTAGTTTAAGCTTTTGTAAATGTGATATTTTTTATATTACTATTTAGGTTTCATTTATCTTAATTTCAGTTTTATTCATTTCTGGTATATAATTGAAAGACTTCTCTTATGTCAGCTGGATGCCATGATAACATTTCCTCTGATCTTGGTTTTATTTCATTAACAATTTTTGTAATAATTTGAGTTAATGATAATAATCCAGCTGGGAAACTGGCCAAATATGACATATGCGTGATTTGGTGTTCCTTTAAGCGGCCCATCAAAGACAAAACACTTATTTATAGCGAACAACATTTATGGTTTCTGAGTTATTGATGTGTGTGTGTGTGTGTGTGTATGAATATGTCTATGTTTAAAGTCTCATCGGTGTTTGAACCCCATCAGGAGGATTTCCTGGCGTTGGAGACGCGTGACGGGAAGGTATCGTTCCTCTGGGACACGGGATCAGGACACACCCGACTGGAGTATCCCGCCGTTCAGATCAACAACGACAAGTGGCACCGGATCAATGCAACGCGGTGTGTGTGTGACTCAGCGCTGGTCTGAGGTGTTTTAGCTCTTCCTTTGAGTGAGGAACACTGATGTGTGTGTGTGTGTGTGTGTGTGTGTGTGTGTATGTGTGATGCAGGTTCGGGAGACACGGGACCCTCAGCGTCCAGCAGACGGACTCGGACCCTCTCCCCGCAGTGAAGATCTCTGCGTCCGGTCTCTCCACCGTCATGGACGTCAGCGGATCCACACGCGTGTTCGTTGGGGGACTCGGTGCTCAGGTCAAGGTGAGACGCTTCACACACACACACGTGCACATTTATGATTTGTTTTGTAAAGACTATAGGTAATCTCACTGAACATTAAAATAACCCCCTTCTGACCCCATGAACATGTGTTGTGTTTCCCAGAAACCCCCAGCGGTGAGAGCGACCCAGTTCAGAGGCTGTATGGGCGAAGCGTCGCTCAACGAGAACAACATCGGCTTGTGGAACTACGCGGAGAGACAGGGCGAGTGTGGCGGCTGCTTCATGAGGTGAAACACACACACACTCACTCACAAACTCACTCACTCACTGACTCACAAACACACTCATTCACTGACTGACTCACTCACTCACAAACTCACTGACTCACTCATTCACTGACTGACTCACTCACTCACTGACTCACTCACTGACTCACTCACAAACTCACTCACTCACAAACTCACTCACTGACTGACTGACTGACTGACTCACTCACAAACTCACTCACTCACTGACTCACTCATTCACTGACTGACTCACTCACTCACTGACTCACTCACTCACTGACTCACTCACTCACTGACTCACTCACAAACTCACTCACTCACAAACTCACTCACTGACTGACTGACTGACTCACTCACTCACAAACTCACTCACTCACTGACTCACTCATTCACTGACTGACTCACTCACTCACTGACTCACTCACTCACTGACTCACTCACAAACTCACTCACTGACTGACTGACTGACTGACTCACTCACAAACTCACTCACTCACTGACTCACTCACTCACTCACTGACTCACTGACTCACTCATTCACTGACTGACTCACTCACTCACTCACTCACTCACTCACTCATTCACTGACTGACTCACTCACAAACTCACTCACTGACTGACTCACTCACTCACTCACTCACTCACTCACTGACTCACTCATTCACTGACTGACTCACTCACAAACTCACTCACTGACTGACTGACTCACTCACTCACTCACAAACTCACTCACTCACTCACTGACTCACTCATTCACTGACTGACTCACTCACTCACTGACTCACTCACTCACAAACTCACTCACTGACTGACTCACTCACAAACTCACTCACTGACTGACTCACTCACTCACTCACTGACTGACTCACTCACTCACTCACAAACTCACTCACTGACTCACTCATTCACTGACTGACTCACTCACTCACAAACTCACTCACTGACTGACTCACTCACTCACAAACTCACTCACTGACTGACTGACTCACTCACTCACTGACTCACTCACTCACTCACAAACTCACTCACTGACTGACTGACTCACTCACTCACAAACTCACTCACTGACTCACTCACTCACTCACAAACTCACTCACTCACTGACTCACTCATTCACTGACTGACTCACTCACTCACAAACTCACTGACTCACTCATTCACTGACTGACTCACTCACAAACTCACTCACTGACTGACTCACTCACTCACTCACTCACTCACTCACTGACTCACTCATTCACTGACTGACTCACTCACAAACTCACTCACTGACTGACTGACTCACTCACTCACTCACAAACTCACTCACTCACTCACTGACTCACTCATTCACTGACTGACTCACTCACTCACTGACTCACTCACTCACAAACTCACTCACTGACTGACTCACTCACAAACTCACTCACTGACTGACTCACTCACTCACTCACTGACTGACTCACTCACTCACTCACAAACTCACTCACTGACTCACTCATTCACTGACTGACTCACTCACTCACAAACTCACTCACTGACTGACTCACTCACTCACAAACTCACTCACTGACTGACTGACTCACTCACTCACTGACTCACTCACTCACTCACAAACTCACTCACTGACTGACTGACTCACTCACTCACAAACTCACTCACTGACTCACTCACTCACTCACAAACTCACTCACTCACTGACTCACTCATTCACTGACTGACTCACTCACTCACAAACTCACTCACTGACTGACTCACTCACTCACAAACTCACTCACTGACTGACTGACTCACTCACTCACAAACTCACTCACTGACTGACTCACTCACTCACAAACTCACTCACTGACTGACTGACTCACTCACTCACAAACTCACTCACTGACTCACTCACTCACTCACAAACTCACTCACTCACTGACTGACTCACTCACTGACTCACTCACTCACTCACAAACTCACTCACTGACTGACTCACTCACTCACAAACTCACTCACTGACTGACTCACTCACTCACTCACTGACTGACTCACTCACTCACTCACAAACTCACTCACTGACTCACTCATTCACTGACTGACTCACTCACTCACAAACTCACTCACTGACTGACTCACTCACTCACAAACTTACTGACTCACTCACTGACTCACTCACTCACTCACTCACTGACTCACTCACTCACAAACTTACTGACTCACTCACACACACACACACACACACACTCATTGAACTCTGAACTCATGCCCTGTTCCAGTCCCCGCACTGAGGACACTTCGTTCCACTTGGACGGCAGCGGCTTCTCTGTGGTCCAGAAGTCTCTGCGCTCGATGTCCACCAGCGTCGTCATGTTCTTCAGGACTCTCTCTCCCAACGGCCTGATGCTGTACCTCGCCTCCAACGGCACGGTACGTCCCGCCAGCGCGGCCTCCCCGCCTCCAGGGTCGGGGAAAGGTCACTCTGAAAAGTGATATCAAACAAAGAAGTTATATTTGAAATAATAATAATCCTCAGGCTGAAGGAAATGCAGATTGACTAGATTACAATAGAGTAAAATTATATTAAACCTTAAAGTTCTGCATAATTTAGGGCGGGGCTAGTTGAGTGACAGCTGGGTTGACGCTGATGTCACTGCTAGCGTTAGCGTCACGTCACCTCAGCTAATCCGTCCTCTGTGCTTGTAGAGAGACTTTCTATCCGTCGAGCTGGTGGAAGGCAAGGTTCACCTGACCTTTGAACTGGGCTCAGGCGCACTCACCATGACCTCGAACAGGACATACAACACCGGATCCTGGTACAGAATCGCCCTGCAGAGGAACAAGCGCAAAGGTGCCGTTTATTCTCCATTCTGACTGATTAGTTGTTGAACCCTCTTGATCATTCTGACTATAAAAATATTTTAGTGTTCATCAGAGCGGTCCGAGACTTGAACCGGGAATACACACGCTAAAAATGTAATGGATTTTTGTGTTAAAAAAACACAAACCCTCACGGGTCAGTGTGACCCCCATAGGAATGCTGCAGTACACATAGAGAAACCTAAAACTGCTCAAAATTCAAACTAAAAATGCTAAAACTTTACAAAATATTATTTTATAACTGTCCCAGCGGAACAGCTCATTTACTCCATATAGAGATATACGCCCATCTAGAGTCATGAAATATCATCTTATATTATTATTTTCCACAAGAGGTCAAAGGCACACAGTGTAAGATATTTAGAGCTGAATTAAAAGGGTCAAGCATGAAATTGTGAGATATTTTGACTTTAAGCAGAAAGAATGTGAGGAATGTGCTTAAATTACTATTATTTATTGATAAAAATTAGTAATTTAAAGGTTAACATTAAAAAAAATGCATTAATCAAAAAAATATTATCAATATGTAATAAAATTAGCGTTCTGACGAAAACAAATAAATGAGGTATAATTGTAGTGCTTGACACGAGACACGTCTGCTCTGTCCGCAGGTCATCTATCGGTGATGGCCGCGGATAACCCGTCCGAGAGAGAGGTCATGGAGGCGGAGTCACCGGGTTTGGCCTCTGACCTCAATCGCTCCGACCTCGACCCCATTTACATCGGTGGATTGCCAGCCTCTCGACCAATCAGGTGAGACATGCTGGAGTTGCATCATTTGTTTAAATGTTTCAAATCATTCCTCTTTGGTTTTAAACGCAACTCTTGTGTGGATGTCCGCAGGCGGCAGGTCGTCGCTCGCTCTTTTGTCGGCTGTATGAAGAACGTTGAAATCGCTCGTACAAACTTCGACCTGCTCAGGGAGGCGTACGGAGTGAAGAAAGGCTGTGTCCTCAAGGTACACTTGTTATAGTCAAGGAGAACTGTTAAAAACATTTTCATTCATTTTTTCAACGTTACGTGAAAAAAAAAAAATAATTATTACAGCTAGTTGCTAAAGCAAGGTTTTACATAATATCAGAGAATTGAATATTATATTAGCATGAAACTCACCAAATCCGGGGATTTTAATACACAATTAATCAGTCACATCGGAAACATTTTTTTGTTTCACTTCAACTAAAATAACGAAAAAGTTATAAAAAATATACTGACATATTTAGGGCGCCATAAGGGGGGGGGTTATTTCATAGAGCCCTAAATATGCAATTTTTTTAAAACTTTTAATAAATTGTTGTTAAAGTCCCTGTGAAATCAAAATTGAACCTATTTACTTTGTTAGCGCATATTACTAGTCTTGTGGTGAACAATTAATCCTGCAAGTAAAAATATATTAAAAAAATGTTTTACCTTGGTAATCTTTAATCAAAATCTGAAAAGTTACTTCCGGTCTGGAACGGTTTCTTTTTTCTGATGACGTAGGTTTCACAGTTTGGGTGGGGAAACGCTTAACCACTCCCCTCAAACCGTTAGTTTACAATGAGCGAGAGATGGAGAGGAGGAGCGCTAGAGTAAAACCCTGCCCTCTGTTCAATATTCCGTTTCACTTGGAAATACGTCACAGCACTGGAGAAAAATCGTTTGCGACTTCCGGTTCACGGGGACTTTAAATTTTATGCTTCATGATTTCAGTTAATTACACATGCAAAATTAAATTTAAAACATAAAATACAAAAATATATTTATTTTTTTAAATTCCATCTCCCTTCGTTTTTGTGATAAATAAAGTTATTAAAAGTTTAATTTGTAGTTGAATTTGGGGAAATCACGTGAAACATTTGTTGTGTTTAGTTGAGCTATTTCAGTTCAGTTGTTTGATTTGTTCATTGCAAACGGCTGAAAGTCTGTAGACCCGATTTGCACTGGGGGGTGAATAATTTTGATTTATTAGTATTATTTAGTTATTGTTAGTTTTGGATATTGTAAAAGTTGTGTGTGTGTGTGTGTGTTTCCAGCCCATCCGCAGCGTGTCTGTGTTCGGCAGTGGTTTTCTGGAGATGCCCGGTGTTCTGCTGGGTTCCCACACGGAGATCATGAGCAGCTTCTCCAGCACACGGGATCACGGGATCATCCTGGCGGGATTCAGCCGATCCGCGGGACGCTCGCGCCGACAGACGCCACAGGTTAGGGCTCGACCCTGCGAACCTGTCCGATCGCGGCTAGGCTCGGCAATTGTTTGAATTTAAACAATTCAGATTTCGATTCTGCTTATTGATTTCGATTCTTATCGATTCCTTATTTCAATTCCAAAATAAAAAAGTTGAACAAAGATACTATTGAAATAAGTGTTTTAAGATGTTCAGGTATGCATTACAGTTTATAAATAAAATATACATTATAAATGTATTTACAAATGGAGGAATCGTCACAAGGAATCGATATTTTAATTTTGTATCTGATTTCTGACAAAGTATTCAATTTTCGATTTCCAACACAAATCGTGTGTGTTTAATCTTTCGCTCTGCTCTCAGCCGTTCCTGCTCGTGATGCTCGTGTCCGGATTGGTGGAGGTCCATGTGGGCGTGGCAGAGGGTGGAGCCGTGCACAAAGCCGTCGTCCAATCACAGAACAGCTCCTTCAGTGACGGAAAGGAGCATTCGCTCGTACTGCAGAGGAACAAAAGGTGTGTAGCAGCAGTGTTACTAGAGGGAACATGCTGGAGCTTTGGGTTCTCCATCTCCATGTTTCTCCATCTCCATGTTTTTTTCTCCATCTCCATGTATCTCCATGTTTCTGCATGTTTCTCAATCTCCATGTTTCTCCATCTGCATGTTTCTCCATCTCCATGTTTCTCAATCTCCATGTTTCTCCATCTCCATGTTTCTCCATGTTTCTCCATCTCCATGTTTCTCCATCTCCATGTTTCTCCATCTCCATGTTTCTCCATGTTTCTCCATGTTTCTCCATGTTTCTCCATGTTTCTGCATGTTTCTCCATCTCCATGTTTCTCCATCTCCATGTTTCTCCATGTTTCTGCATCTCTATGTTTCTCCATCTCCATGTTTCTCCATGTTTCTCCATGTTTCTCCATGTTTCTCCATGTTTCTCCATCTCCATGTTTCTCCATCTCCATGTTTCTCCATCTCCATGTTTCTCCATGTTTCTCCATGTTTCTCCATGTTTCTCCATCTCCATGTTTCTCCATCTCCATGTTTCTCCATGTTTCTCCATGTTTCTCCATGTTTCTCCATGTTTCTCCATGTTTCTGCATGTTTCTCCATCTCCATGTTTCTCCATCTCCATGTTTCTCCATGTTTCTGCATCTCTATGTTTCTCCATCTCCATGTTTCTCCATCTCCATGTTTCTCCATGTTTCTCCATGTTTCTCCATGTTTCTCCATCTCCATGTTTCTCCATCTCCATGTTTCTCCATCTCCATGTTTCTCCATGTTTCTCCATGTTTCTGCATGTTTCTCCATCTCCATGTTTCTCCATCTCCATGTTTCTCCATGTTTCTGCATCTCTATGTTTCTCCATCTCCATGTTTCTCCATGTTTCTCCATGTTTCTCCATGTTTCTCCATCTCCATGTTTCTCCATCTCCATGTTTCTCCATCTCCATGTTTCTCCATGTTTCTCCATGTTTCTCCATCTCCATGTTTCTCCATCTCCATGTTTCTCCATGTTTCTCCATGTTTCTCCATGTTTCTCCATGTTTCTCCATGTTTCTGCATGTTTCTCCATCTCCATGTTTCTCCATCTCCATGTTTCTCCATGTTTCTGCATCTCTATGTTTCTCCATCTCCATGTTTCTCCATCTCCATGTTTCTCCATGTTTCTCCATCTCCATGTTTCTCCATCTCCATGTTTCTCCATGTTTCTCCATGTTTCTCCATGTTTCTCCATGTTTCTCCATCTCCATGTTTCTCCATCTCCATGTTTCTCCATCTCCATGTTTCTCCATGTTTCTCCATGTTTCTCCATGTTTCTCCATGTTTCTGCATGTTTCTCCATCTCCATGTTTCTCCATCTCCATGTTTCTCCATGTTTCTGCATCTCTATGTTTCTCCATCTCCATGTTTCTCCATCTCCATGTTTCTCCATCTTTCTCCATGTTTCTCCATGTTTCTCCATGTTTCTGCATGTTTCTCCATCTCCATGTTTCTCCATCTCCATGTTTCTCCATCTCCATGTTTCTCCATCTCCCTGCATGTTTCTCCATCTCCATGTTTCTCCATCTCCATGTTTCTCCATCTCCATGTTTCTCCATCTCCATGTATCTCCATGTTTCTGCATGTTTCTCCATCTCCATGTTTCTCCATCTCCATGTATCTCCATGTTTCTGCATGTTTCTCCATCTCCATGTTTCTCCATCTCCATGTTTCTCCATGTTTCTCCATGTTTCTCCATGTTTCTGCATGTTTCTCCATCTCCATGTTTCTCCATCTCCATGTTTCTCCATCTCCATGTTTCTCCATGTTTCTCCATGTTTCTGCATGTTTCTCCATCTCCATGTTTCTCCATCTCCATGTTTCTCCATCTCCATGTTTCTCCATGTTTCTCCATGTTTCTGCATGTTTCTCCATCTCCATGTTTCTCCATGTCCAGGTCGATCTCAGTGCTGGTGGACGAGCAGAACCCGGTGGTTCTGAAGCTGGGCTCGTCTGCAGAGAAAGCTCTGGCTCTGGGCCGGCTCTTCTTCGGTGGTGTTCCTCCAGGAGAACGAGCTGTTGCTCCGGGATCCTCCGACTCCTTCTATGGCTGCATCAGGAACGCAGCAGTGGACGGCACGTGAGTGACACACACACTCACTCACACACAAATAATATTTGCATTTACATGTGTTTATATATTTATGCATCATGTATATAATACATATTTTATGTATAAATAACATATTTTTCATAAATATACACATGCATATCAGGTTGCTGGATCTGTCCGGCGCACTGCACTACGAGCACGTGGACATGAACAGCTGTTTACTGGAGGAGAGACCCAAACGTATGCTTCTACCTGACGACCTGGAGGCGGAGCCGACCTCTGACCCCTCCACACGACCCCTGACCCCCGCGGCAGAGCTGAGCGCACTCACACCGGGCAGCAGCAGCGTGAGTCTCACACACACACACACACACACACCTGGGAAGTACACAGGAATGTTTATAAATATTTAGTGCAGTGCAATTATATTTATGTGCATACATCATCTCCTGGATGCTGTTGATCTGTTTGCACGGTGAACTTCATAAAGGTCATGTGAAAGCTTGGTTGTAATTCATCTTATTTCAAGTAATGAAGGTGTTTTTATTGTTTTAGTACCAAAATATGTCTTAGTAACTCACTATGACAGGCATGTTGTGTGACATTCTTCAGATAGCGCTGAGTTTCTGTAAACACTGAACATCTGTCGGATCATAAGAACGTCACGCCCTTATAAAGGCACCAGCCGAACTCCAACATTCACACCAGCGTTACACGGTTATTATTATGAACGTCTCTTTACAAACTGAGCTTTACCTGAACCGCCCTTCCTCAGTGTGCGGCCCCGGACCAAACAAACACCATCCCAGAATCCCGCCAGTTCGGACTGTCCCGACACAGTCACATGATCATGGGCTTCAAGAATAAGACCGTCAGAACCAGGTAAACCAATCAACCCGACCCGTTCATAATCACATTATTAACGCTGCATAAACTGCGTATTAAACTGTCTTTAAACCAGCATTCTGTGTTCAATATGACTCCATGTTGATATTATTATTTAACAATAAATCACATGTTCATGAGCTCACGATGGAAGAGCATCACAATAAACATTAAAATAAACAATGATTGGACACTTGAAATCAGAAAGCACAAAATACACTTTTTGTTACTAATTCAATACAACAATAAAATAACCTTTACAGTCACATGATTCTGAGCAACAAAATAAGAAAAAAAAAAAAACATTTTAATGAAAGAAAATTATAGACACATCAATATTATATCATATTTATATATGTAATAAAATAAAGTACATATATAATATATTGTATTATTTAAATATATATACAATTTTATATATATATATATATATATATATAATAAAAAGTTTATATTATTGTATCAGAATATTATTATAATATTATTACTAACTGGGGCAAAATATATACAATTAAATATTTAAAAGTATTATACAATAATATAACATTTATTTAAATAATATAAAATATTTAAAATAAATACAATGTATTATTTCATACCCATGACATGATTGATTTACCTTTCCGAAGTGATGTCTGGAGTGGAAATTGTTTTTATATTTATATGATGTTGTAATTTTTTACAAACACTAAACTTGGTGAGGGATTATCTGACAAACAAAGTCACAGAAAAACGAAAAGCAAATGCTGACAACAACATAATCAGTTTTTAATATTTAGTTGCTTGTCTTTTATTTTTGCATGTTTATAAATTCTTTTGTTGCATTTACTTGTTTTATTTTTTATTCTGTGGCAGAAACAAGCTTCCATAATTTTGACCCACTACTCTATATCCAGTCTTTTCACAGATTGTAACAGGTAATGATGTATGCTTCACTGTGTGTGTGTGTGTGTGTGTTGTCTCAGTTTCGTGGTGAAGCTCTCTGTGCGGACGTTCGCTCACAACGGGCTTCTGTTCTACATGGCTAATGCTAACCAGCAGGATTACGCGGTTCTGCAGCTTCAGACGGGCCGTCTGGTTCTGTCATGTGACCTGGGTCGAGGTCCCGCCAGCGCCACGATCCCTGCTGGCATCAGCGACGGCCTCTGGCACACCGTGAGTTAAACCACCTCCACCCTGACTAGCCGTCCACTAAAGTGATAGTTCACACAAAAATTAAAACTGTTATATAAAAAACGTCCTGGCTCTTCTAAGCTTTATAATGGCAGTGAATGGCTGTTTCTGTTCTGAAGTTCATAAAAGTGTATCTATCATAAAACAGTCAGACAGTCCTTGAATAACGTGTGTGTGTGTGTGTGTTGCAGGTGAAGGCCGAGTTCAGTAAGAAGTCAGTGATGGTCAGTGTGGACAGCAGTGACTCCGACCGCATCTCCACTAAAGGACACACACTCGACGTCGAGGGGAAGTTGTACCTCGGAGGAATTCCTTCCACATACACAGCCAAGAGGATCGGAAACGTAACTGATGCTGTTCACTTCTAAACCAGTCTGAAATGTTTTCATATAGTCTTGATGTGTTTCAGGCTCTCCTAGAACAGGTTTCTCTGCTTGAATGTTGATTATTCTCCTCATATTCTCCATTGTTGCGGCTCCTCTCTTCCCAGTCTGTCAGTAACGCTCTATTTACTTCCTGTCTTTATGAAGCCCCTCCTCCTGAAAGCACACTGTGCTCTGATTGGTCGAGCGCTTTGAGTGTGTTTGGGAAATGTCCCGCCCCTTTCCATAACCGCCAGTTTAACACACTACTAACTAACTCCACCAGGCCCCGCCCCTTTATTCTGCCCATTAATTATTATAATGAGGAATATTGTGACGTGTTCAAACTCAAGACTACAATGGAGGCGTTTCAGGAGTTCAGGAACACTGACACTGATATAGAGGAGAACTGGAGCTTTCCATGATCACACACTGAAGAGATGAAGATGTCTTTATAGTGAGTTAAAAGTATAAAAAGCACAGGAATGTCCTTTGTTAATCCGAGGTGTGTGTGTGGTTCTGCAGGTCACACACAGTCTGGCAGCGTGTCTTCAGGACGTGACTCTGAACGGTGTGCGTATGGACCTGAACGGGCCACTGGTGGCGGATGGGACGAGCTCCTGCTTTAGTGGCGCTCAGGACGGGACCTTCTTCAGTGGAGGCGGATACGCAGCTTTCAGTGAGCAGAACCTCCTCTAGAACTCTCTCTCACACATCTCAGAGAACAGAACCTCCTCTAGAACTCTCTCTCACACATCTCAAAGAACAGAACCTCATCTAGAACTCTCTCTCACACATCTCAAAGAACAGAACCTCATCTAGAACTCTCTCTCACACATCTCAAAGAACAGAACCTCATCTAGAACTCTCTCACACACATCTCAAAGAACAGAACCTCCTCTAGAACTCTCTCTCACACATCTCAAAGAAAAGAACATCCTCTAGAACTCTCTCTCACACATCTCAGAGAACAGAACCTCATCTAGAACTCTCTCTCACACATCTCAAAGAAAAGAACATCCTCTAGAACTCTCTCTCACACATCTCAGAGAACAGAACCTCATCTAGAACTCTCTCTCACACATCTCAAAGAAAAGAACATCCTCTAGAACTCTCTCTCACTCATCTCAGAGAACAGAACCTCCTCTAGAACTCTCTCTCACACATCTCAAAGAACAGAACCTCCTCTAGAACTCTCTCTCACACATCTCAGAGAACAGAACCTCCTCTAGAACTCTCTCTCACACATCTCAGAGAACCTCCTCTAGAACTCTCTCTCACACATCTCAGAGAACAGAACCTCCTCTAGAACTCTCTCTCACACATCTCAGAGAACCTCCTCTAGAACTCTCTCACACACATCTCAGAGAACAGAACCTCCTCTAGAACTCTCTCTCTCACACATCTCAGAGAACAGAACCTCCTCTAGAACTCTCTCTCACTCATCTCAGAGAACAGAACCTCTAGAACTCTCTCTCACACATCTCAGAGAACCTCCTCTAGAACTCTCTCACACACATCTCAGAGAACAGAACCTCATCTAGAACTCTCTCACACATCTCAGAGAACAGAACCTCATCTAGAACTCTCTCTCACACATCTCAGAGAACAGAACCTCAGAACTCTCTCTCACACATCTCAGAGAACAGAACCTCCTCTAGAACTCTCTCTCACACATCTCAGAGAACCTCCTCTAGAACTCTCTCTCACTCATCTCAGAGAACAGAACCTCCTCTAGAACTCTCTCTCACACATCTCAGAGAACAGAACCTCCTCTAGAACTCTCTCTCACTCATCTCAGAGAACAGAACCTCCTCTAGAACTCTCTCTCACACATCTCAGAGAACCTCCTCTAGAACTCTCTCTCACACATCTCAGAGAACCTCCTCTAGAACTCTCTCTCACACATCTCAGAGAACAGAACCTCCTCTAGAACTCTCTCTCACACATCTCAGAGAACCTCCTCTAGAACTCTCTCTCACACATCTCAGAGAACAGAACCTCCTCTAGAACTCTCTCACACATCTCAGAGAACAGAACCTCCTCTAGAACTCTCTCACACACATCTCAGAGAACAGAACCTCCTCTAGAACTCTCTCACACATCTCAGAGAACAGAACTCTCTCACACACATCTCAGAGAACAGAACCTCCTCTAGAACTCTCTCTCACACATCTCAGAGAACAGAACCTCCTCTAGAACTCTCTCACACATCTCAGAGAACCTCCTCTAGAACTCTCTCTCACACATCTCAGAGAACAGAACCTCCTCTAGAACTCTCTCACACATCTCAGAGAACAGAACCTCCTCTAGAACTCTCTCACACATCTCAGAGAACAGAACCTCCTCTAGAACTCTCTCACACACATCTCAAAGAACAGAACCTCCTCTAGAACTCTCTCTCACACATCTCAGAGAACAGAACCTCCTCTAGAACTCTCTCTCACACATCTCAGAGAACAGAACCTCCTCTAGAACTCTCTCTCACACATCTCAGAGAACAGAACCTCCTCTAGAACTCTCTCACACACATCTCAGAGAACAGAACCTCCTCTAGAACTCTCTCACACACATCTCAGAGAACAGAACCTCCTCTAGAACTCTCTCACACATCTCAAAGAACAGAACCTCCTCTAGAACTCTCTCACACACATCTCAAAGAACAGAACCTCCTCTAGAACTCTCTCACACACATCTCAGAGAACAGAACCTCCTCTAGAACTCTCTCTCACACATCTCAGAGAACAGAACCTCCTCTAGAACTCTCTCACACACATCTCAGAGAACAGAACCTCCTCTAGAACTCTCTCACACACATCTCAGAGAACAGAACCTCCTCTAGAACTCTCTCTCACACATCTCAGAGAACAGAACCTCCTCTAGAACTCTCTCACACACATCTCAGAGAACAGAACCTCCTCTAGAACTCTCTCACACACATCTCAGAGAACAGAACCTCCTCTAGAACTCTCTCTCACACATCTCAGAGAACAGAACCTCCTCTAGAACTCTCTCTCACACATCTCAGAGAACAGAACCTCCTTTAGAACTCTCTCTCTCACACATCTCAGAGAACAGAACTCTCTCACACACATCTTCAGTATTGTTGGACTTTTTTCCTCATAATTGACTTTTTGTCATATTTTCATATTGTCATAAATTCGTCTGTTTTGTGTGCTGTTCATTTTTCGAATGCCTTGATTGCACGTGTCTGCTCCTGCAGTGAAGGAGGGCTATAACGTGGGCTCGGACGTGACGGTGAGTCTGGACTTCCGCTCCACGGCTCCCGACGGAATTCTGTTGGGTATCAGCAGCACGAAAGTGGATGCCATCGGCCTGGAGCTGATCAACGGACAGGTCAGTATGGGTAGCCTCCTGTATGGTTAGCCTGCAGTGACCCGTGTTACGGTGCCCGTGACTGACGCTTGACCCGTCACAGGTGGTATTCAGCGTGAATAATGGCGCGGGCCGTATCTCGGCGACCAGCAGGAACAGCGGGTCCATGTGTGACGGGCGCTGGCGGACCCTGGTGGCCAACAAGCAGAAGCACAGCTTGAGTCTGACCGTCGACGGCGTGACGGTGACCGTGGAGAACCCGTACTCATCATCCACATCGGCCGAGACAAAAAACCCCATCTATGTGGGCGGACATCCAGGTACTGACTTCAGCATCGGCCCGTTTCTATGGGAACGGTCAATTTGTCAATTTTATGACTTAATATGTCAGGATTTTGACTTTTGGTCATAATTTTACATTTCTGTTATAATCGTAACTTTTTGTCACAATTCTGACTTTCTATAATTATGACATTTATTCTAGTTATGACTTTCTATAATTATAATAACGTCATAATTTTGAATTTTTGTGATGAATCATGATCGTCATGATAGGACTTTGTCATAAATCTTTTTTTATCTATAAGTGTGACTTAGTATGTCATGATTTTGAATTTTTGTCATAATTTAAAATTTTCTCATTATTTTTACTTTTATCTCATAATTATGAGGTATAATTATCATTATTGATTAAATTGACTCTCCTAATAGGCTGTCAATCATGTATCTGTGGTAAGGTCCCAGTAGTTGTTGACGGTGTGTGTGTGTGTGTGTGTGTCACAGCTGAGGTGAAGCAGAACTGTCTTCGCACCAGAGAGTCGTTCCGCGGTTGCATGAAGAACCTGCGCGTCTTCAAGGGTCACGTGACTGACGTCCTGGACTTCAGCGCCGCGTTCACACACACGCATGTGTTTCCTCATTCCTGCCCTGCATAAAACCGTAATTAATCTTGTCCTGAGAATAATCCTAGAGATTTTACCCAAAAGGTAAAATTTTACAATAAGGTCTCATTTGTTAACAACTTTTATTTTTGAATAGTAAAATCAAATTGTTAATTTTTATGTTAGTTCACAGTGCATCCATTTGATTTTAAAAACGTTTAACATTTAAGAGTTTTACATTGTTCAAGTTAACTGAAACCTTATTGTGACGGTTTACCAGGTTTGATACTTGTTAATAAAATGCAACTCATTTCTTAGTCGAGCGTGTCGCTTGTGTTACTGATGATGAAACCAACATTCCTTCACTATCTGGAACATTCCAGAACGCTGATACTGACACGGACCCAAACAAAGAGCTTTAGAGACACAAACTTGTTCAGATCTCATGCAACAATGACACACACACTGATGAGGTTTCATGTGTTTTAATTGGATTAGTTTCATAATGACCTGTAGTTTCACCCAAATATTACAGCAACTTCATTACATATTTAACATCGTGATATGGCTACATCTTCTTCGTAATACTCACTTATTAACATGGTTTCGATGAAACGAGGCTACAGAAAATATTCCCATGGCTTTGCTGTAAAACGGTCACTATGATAAACACATTCACAACTCAAAAGGATTCGATGCACAAACTCGATTGGCAACGTCAAGAATGTGTTGCTATAAAAAAATCAAATAAAAAAAAATCCAAATCAACAAGTGCACATGTACATCATACATAAAAAACAGCTTTAAGATGAAAAAACAAACATATTCAGAGCATCAAAAGTATTGGCAGGCACTGAAGTAAATCATCAGGGGTCAAAGGTCATCTGTCCTCGGAATGATCGTCTACGTTTCATCGTTCAGTTTTTCCACTGGAGTCCTTCATAAGTCCGGTTAGTGTTTGATAACGTTGGCATTAATATTCATCTGGTTTATTTGAGGTCATATTTCCCCGTGCAGCTCATATCTCAAACCCAAATCTGTGACATTATTTCAACATTCAAACACAAATTCACATTACTGTAAAATTATTGTAATACATCAGGGCACATTATTATGTGTTTGATTAATGGTCATTCTTATTATTGTAACAGTAATGCATTAATTAAAGGCACTACATCAACTATTAATTAGTGCTGTGAAACGAGTAATCGCATCAAAAAATAAAAGTTTCTTTACGTCATGGACTGTACTGTGTATAATTATTTAGTGTATATATAATTACACACACATGCATGTATAGACTTCAGGAAAATGTGTTATTTATATATTATATAAATGAACGTATTTATTTAATATATACATGCATAATTATGCACAGCTCATTATGTAAACAAACTTTTATTTTGGATGCGATTAATCATTGCCCAGCGCTAATATTAATGTAAACATTTCCCCATTTTAGTAATTCATAAACAATGAGAATTTGATATAAAATGGATTTTGGGGTGAATACGAGCCGCTCGCAGGTTCAGTTCACATGGCTTCATCACAAACATGCAGCTTATAGAAACAATACAAAATAATTATCATACAGCAGGATAAATTAGTGTATAAATATTTTATGTACATGCTCTTTTTTTACACTGGCTAGTGGTAAGAAGTAATGAAACATGCTTCTGTCCGGGACGTCACACAGTTTTGGCACCAGGCACACTCAACGACCAGCATTGAACCACGCCACAAAGGTCAACCTCAGGGTTTGACCTCTGACCTCTGGAGCACCTTTGCAGAACACACGCGTGTCCAACTGTTCTCAGGTCAGCGTGACTTTAACACCCATTCGCAGTGAGGATTCGCGTGGTAAACATCTAGTAAATGTGCGTCTGGATCCAGGCAGCGCTCGCCTAGAGACAACAGACCGTTCCTCAGATTAATGCTTGTTATTCATTAATATTACTAATGATATATCATATAATTACTAGGGGTGTGTAATCAATATCTTCTGAAACCCAAAGCACAGGACACCAGAATAACAATATTCATGATTCTGAAGCTGAAACACAGATTATTGTAGATGAATATGATGATCTCTGTCACTGACTAGATATATTTAGAATAATGTCGGACACTTTTACTGGAAACGTCAGATATTTGTTATTATCAGGAGCCACAAATATTCACATTATTATACAATATATTATATTAATATTTTATATTCATTTTTTCGATACATATTGTTGCGATATACTGTTACACCCCTAATAATTACTATTTATTATTCACTAATATAATGGCACTGATGATGTTGGACTCACCGATGTTTCCTCCCACCTCGAACAGACACTGTCTCTGTCGCCGACTAGCGCTTCGCGACCCGCGCCTGCAAGCGACAGTGATTGGTTAACAACATGGGTTGGTTGGGTCATGTGACCGGTGTGTGTGTGTTGAAGTGGTTCACTGACCCGTTCTCTATGTCGAAGCGTGCCGTGATGTCTCTGGCCTTCATCTCGCAGCTCAGCTGAATCGCCATCGAAACCTTAGCGTGAAGCGGCGCGTGAACTCTGATGACTCCGTCGCGAAGGTCCGTGACCTGAGGAACACACACACACAGACTTTATTATCCTATTATTACTAGTAGGGGTGTAACAATGCAACAAAAGTTCAAAAATGCAACAATATGTTTCTCGGATAGATAAAAATGACTGTGTGATAAAAAAGTTTTCAGAGTTTTAGTGACATTATTATAAATATATCTAGTCAGTGACAGAGATCATCATATTCATCTACAATAATCTGTTTCAGCTTCAGAATCATGAATATTGTTATTCTGGTGTCTCTATTGTTCTGTCCAAGATATTCATTTACACACACAATGTACTGAATTTAGCTTTTTAATCAATAGTAACCTTTTATCATGTATTGGAGTATTGCAGTAATATCATAGTGAGTTCAGTATAGGGATATGTATGAATCGTGACATGAGGATATCGTTACACCCCTAATCTATTCATATTTTAGTGATTGGAGGAGCATTTTTGTTTACAGAGTCAGTGCAAGTTACATGTTTTGCGCCAGTAGGTGGCGCCCAATCTTTGTGAGTCAGTCAACTCGTTCAAAAACTCTTGATTAATTTAGAAACTAAAGCTATTGAAATTATTTTAGTAATTACTTTATGGATACATTTTGCGGAATTTTTTTATTTTTATTATTGAACATCACCTTACAAGGCTCAGCTGTCGAGCAACGCGTCACCGAGGAAATTACGCGCCGTTTCAAATCGACCAGCCGTCCTCTCAGCGGTCTTGATGTAATATTTCACGACTTTATGGCTGGACCTGGAGAATAAAAGCTCCTCTAACAGATGAAGGTAAGCGCACACGCTCAGTGTATCTCTCTCTTTCTCTCAGGATACTACAGTGCTAGCCCACGACGTCGTGGTTAGTTCTGAATGACTTAACGTAACGGAGAAAAGTGATTAGTAACGGATCTCAGCTGCACATTTGAATCTGTGGCGAGGACGTAGTAATCCATCTGAACAGATTTATATATCATATGTTTGTGGCGCTAAATTTAAAATATGTAACTTTTATTTATTCATTCGTTCATGCCGTTTTAACCTAATGTTTCATATAGCCTATTATAAGTCAAATACAACACCTTATGCCCTCAGGATACGTCAGCAGCGCGTCTGCCATCTTGGAACGGTCAACCTTTCAGAAGCCGTCCCGTCACAGTACAAATCATAAAATCGCGTTCTGATAAACGGCGACATCATGCATTTTAATATTAGGAGACACCAGAAATTCCCGAATATTTTCATCAGCACATGACCTCAAATATCTACTTGACATCCCTGTGAGATTTAAAGTTAATAATTAAATAATTTAACAACACATTCACGCTGTGTTATTTTAGCATACTGTTTTAGATTCTGATTGTATAATTATTTTGAATAAATTTTTTTTTTATTAGTGTTGTCAAACCGATTAATCACATCTAACAAAAGTTTGTTTATATATGTGTGTGTGTCACACATACACATGTATATTTATATAAACAAACTATAATGTTAGATGCAATTAATCGATTTGACAGCACACATTTTTATATTTTCCATTTTGATTTTTAATTTTGTTGAGTGCATTTTTGTGCAATTGTGTTTTTCATTGTCTATATCTTTTTTTTCCTTTTATTTACATTTTTGTTTGTTATTTTAGTACTTAAAGTGAAGCTAAATGAAAATTCAAAATGTTGGCAAATTATAATTTTTACTCTATATTTAAAATGTTACTCTCATTTAATTCCAAATGTTTATTATGGTTTTAGTTAGCTGTAATAACCCTGGTTCACGGCTCCACCGTGTCCTGAAGTTTCAGTCCCATGAGCACTCACTTCGCTGCGGTCTCGGTCCTTCTCCGTGTTCCATCTTCTCAATAGTCTGCGTTTGGTTTTCTCCGAGGTTGGCGTTTTCTTGCCCATGGCGGCTTCGTTCATTTTTCTGACGTGGGAGATCAGGAAACAAGGGACCTGCGGATACGAATATCAGTCCAGCTCATTTCTGAATATCAAGCGAAAACATGGTTAATATAGCTTTTCAGATGCTCACTGTCCACACCATGTCCTGATGGCTAATGTTTTTAGGATTTTACTACAGTTACACCATGATTTCTGGACTTCTACTACAGTAACACCATGATTTCCGGCCTGTTACTACAGTAACACTGTGTTTTCAGGCCTTTTACTACAGTAACACCATGATTTCCGGCCTGTTACTACAGTAACACTGTGTTTTCAGGCCTTTTACTACAGTAACACCGTGTTTTCTGGACTTTTACTACAGTAACACCGTGTTTTCTGGACTTTTACTATAGTAACACCGTGTTTTCTGGACTTTTACTACAGTAACACCGTGTTTTCAGGCCTTTTACTACAGTAACACCGTGTTTTCAGGCCTTTTACTACAGTAACACCGTGTTTTCTGGACTTTTACTATAGTAACACCGTGTTTTCTGGACTTTTACTACAGTAACACTGTGTTTTCAGGCCTTTTACTACAGTAACACCGTGTTTTCAGGCCTTTTACTACAGTAACACCGTGTTTTCTGGACTTTTACTATAGTAACACCGTGTTTTCAGGCCTTTTACTACAGTAACACCGTGTTTTCTGGACTTTTACTACAGTAACACCGTGTTTTCTGGACTTTTACTACAGTAACACTGTGTTTTCTGGACGTTTACCGTGTTTTAAGACCATGTTTTCCGGGCTTTTTTTGAATATTTCTGTATATGAAGCGATCACATGGCTAATGCAACTGCAGATGCTCACCGTCCACAGCAGGTCCTGATGGGTAATGAGGAGACGCACGAGTTGGGCGGCAGAGACGGCGATCTGCATCTCCTCTTGTTTGGCGTTCTTCCCGCGGAAAGTGAAGAGATTTGGCGCTACGATCATAGAGACGTTCCACAGACTCATGCGGTTCTTCTCCTCGTACGCCACCACCTTTCTCAGGAACTCCAGGAGAGCCTGAGAACAAACACCGCAGACGTCAGCATGTTTACTAGAGGATTTTAACAAACTCCAAACAGGAATTTTCTCTGGAAACATGCATAAATCTGACTCGCGCTGCATCGAAGCTTCAGTCGAACCCGTGACCTCTGCTTCTGAGCTCCTGGGTAAATAACGTCCACTGCATCTGTGCTGCGTTTTCAGCAGATTTCAGCAGTGTGTGTGTGTGTGTGTGTGTGTGTTTGAGAGAGTTCAGCAGGAACAGAATCAGTGCTGAATCTCCACATGAGAATATGGGCACAAAACATGACGTCAAACAGGACTGATTCTCTCTCTCGTCTGTGTACGTGTGTGTGTGTGTGTGTGTGTGTGTGTGTGTGAGAGAGTGTGCGTGTGTAATCACAAATTCATGCCGCTCGTCCGACCGGTTCATCAACTTCACCTGAGAACATGTTTATTTAAATACTTCACACACACTCAGTTCTCTACATAGGGACATTCCATAGACTCATACGGTTTTATTTACACTAATAAACACAGAACATTTTTTAACTTCTATAGATCTGTTTTTTATAAATGGCAGATTTTGTCCGATTCAGCTCATTTCTGGGGAGAAATCGGACCTTAAAGCAGCTGTTTAAAATAAGTTAAAAATGAAGATTAAGTCTGAAATCATATTTCTCATTTTAACAGTCATTTTTTGTATTTTTTGCTTGGTTCTCCTGATCCTGCATATAATTATTTTTTTGCATTTCAAGCTCCATAATAAGTGTTTGGCTGTTGTGAGTAAAAACTAATACTAAAAACCATAAACTAATGTATCATTGCGTAAACCATGACCAAGTGTTATTTGATTTTAGTATCGAGATACTATTATATTTTTTTTTTATATTTTAATTTTTGAAAAAAAAAAAAAGAATTTGTTGTATTTTTATTAGTTATTGGGGTTTTTTGTTGTTAAATATGTCCATTTTGTTTTATTGGTTTTAGTTATTTTAATATATAAAGTTAAACTAAATGAAAATAAAAAATGTTGCTTTTGGTTTTATTTATTTTATTTTATTTCAGTTAAACATGAAATTTCAAGTAACAGAATTTTTTTTTTTATGGTTTTAGCTACTATAATAATAGAATTTCATCATTTATAATTATATTATTTAAAAATACCGCCAGTCATAGTTTCAGTAAATAAACGGTTTGAAAATGTCATTATAGCAGAAGTTTGATAAATACATGGAGGGCCTTTAATTGTCTTTGAAAATGAGTGATATCGGAGTCAAAAAGCCTTTATTTAGTAGGCGTTTCACAATATATCGCAAAACAAAAATGCAACAATATGTATTGTGGATAGTTCACCCAAAATAAAAAGGTTTAGTCTCAGTACTATATTAAACTATGTATTGCATCGTGACATGAGGGTTTCGTCACACCCGTAATATTGAGCTGCTGATCCTTATAAACAGTGTGTGGAGATGAACAGACCTTCAGCGTGTCTCTGTTGGCTTCGGGAAGCAGCATGATGAGAAGATGAAGAGCCTGAATCTGGTGTTTGGGGGACGAGATACCTGACACACGGACAGAGAGAGAGAGAGAGAGAGATGAGTGACTCTGAACAGACACTCGCCGCGTTCACATTACCCAGCAACTGCGCAAATTGAAAATCCGCCAAATGGAAACGTGTCAATTTCGCAAATTTCCATATATCACAAAATGGTTTTTACGCTCGCATGAGGAGGTTTTTCAGGCAATTCGAGAAAAAAAATGAATATTTCACCGAACTGCAATGGAAACAGTTTTTGCGCATGTACAGGTCATCTGTATCTGTACGAAAAATATATCATTCTTTAGAGGAGGCGCGGTGTGTTTGGACAGGAGACGAGACAGAGTTCTTTATTAAACTCAAAAAAGACAAAATTATTACAGGAATACTGGATTCTAAACAACAAAGAAATGCCACGATCAAGAGCTGAAAGCAGAAATGAGAAGAAACTCCCAGGAACTCCTCAAGTATAAGCGTCTCTCCTGGCTTTTGCGCTTTTAAAGGTCATCTGGCCAACGAGAAATATGCCTACGTCACCTTCGGTTAAAAATGAAACTGCGGTGGCTGGGATATATGTAAATCTACCAACATCCATTGCTATAATTGTTGAAATCACTAATTACAAGAGGAAAAAAATTATGTTTTAGTCACATAACATCGGTTAATGCAAACGCGGCCATTTCGCAATTGTTTTTTTAGAAAATAATGCAAAAGTTTTGCGGAAATCTGTAATGGAAACGTGGCTACTGGTGGACTCGTGTGTGTGTGTGTGTTCAGACTCACTCTGAGCCGCTGTGAACGCTGGCAGATGCTGTTGGGTTAGCAAAGGATACGGCAGCTCGCGGATGAACATCTTCAACAAACCCGCCGCGTCGTTCTGACGCACCTGATCCCAGTCGAAGCGATCCTCGTAAAACTTCAACTCCAGCTCTTGACGCAGGTGCTGTGGAGGACAAACACACGAGTTTAGGAATATTAGGAATTTTAAAATTTTAAACTAAAGCTGGGATCAGTGGGAGAAATCCAGGTCAGATGCTTTATGGATGTTTTACTGAGCAAAACAGCACCAGCACTGGACCAGGCCGTGTTCCTCTGCAGGGATGATGCATTATTCACCTTTACTCTGGATGCTGATCCCGGGACCCTGAGGATTCCCTCCGTCTGTAACCCCGTCTGCTCCAGTTTAGACAACAACTGAAAACAGAAACACAATAATCACGAGACACACAAACACGAATGCTGGGTATTAACGTAGCTTTCTGGACTTTTACTACAGTAACACCATGTTTTCCGGCCTTTTTCTTCAGTAACACCATGTTTTCCGGCCTTTTACTACAGTAACACCATGTTTTCCGGGTTTTTACTACAGTAACACCATGTTTTCCGGCCTTTTACTACAGTAACACCATGTTTTCCGGCCTTTTACTACAGTAACACCATGTTTTCCGGCCTTTTGCTACAGTAACACCATGTTTTACGGCCTTTTACTACAGTAACACCATGTTTTCCGGCCTTTTTCTACAGTAACACCATGTTTACCGTACTTTTTCTACAGTAACACCATGTTTTCCGGCCTTTTTCTACAGTAACACCATGTTTTCCGGCCTTTTACTACAGTAACACCATGTTTTCCGGCCTTTTTCTACAGTAACACCATGTTTTCCGGCCTTTTTCTACAGTAACACCATATTTTCCGGCCTTTTTCTACAGTAACACCATGTTTTCCGGCCTTTATCTACAGTATCACCATGTTTTCCGGCCTTTTTCTATAGTAACACCATGTTTACAGTACTTTTTCTACAGTAACACCATGTTTTCCGGCCTTTTACTTCAGTAACACCATGTTTTCCCGCCTTTTTCTACTGTAACACCATGTTTTCCGGCATTTTACTACAGTAACACCATGTTTTCCCGCCTTTTTCTACAGTAACACCATGTTTTCTACAATAACGCCATGTTTCTACTGATAACACCATATGGTTTGGATTTCTACCATGGTAACAACACAGTCTTGTTGGAAGAAGCTGTGCTGTTGTTTTCTGACAGATGATTGAGATTCCAGCTGATTCAGACACACAGAGAGTCTTTATCAGTGTCTGATAAGAGTTCAGGACTCATCAGCTGTCAGCGCTGGATCTCTACCCTCCAGGAGTCTCCGTATCTTCCCGTCAGGTCTCCAGTTTCCCAACACAAATACTGACAGCGTTGCGGATCGAGCTGATTCACTCCTGAGCATTTATTTTAATCCTGTTCCTAAGCGTTCCCTCAGTAAACCTTCAAGCGCCTGAAAGGGTGCAACAGTGAAACAATAAACGGCCTCCCTCATTCCACTTAAAAACATGAACATCGAGGTCAAGACAGCCGTGTAAAACAAACCAGAGCACTTCTGGCCACCGCCTTTGTTTTTTGGAAAAGCGAGAGGAGCGTGGGCCGCCAGGTCAGGATAGTGTGAGATAGCGAGAAGTGCTGACTAGGAACTTTCCGGAAAAGCCTGCGCTCACAATCTTGATCACAACATTCCAGTGTTTCAACCGAAGAGGGAAAGAAGAGCCACGTACCTTCCTGAACACCAGAGGAACTCTGGAGCCGGGATATTTCTTCTGGTCGTTCTCCAGCAGCGTAGCAAGAGGAACACCGAATATCCCGCTGTCTGTGGGAAACCAACCACAGCGGTAAAGACGTTTCTAGTCGACCAGTAGTCGTTTATTTAAGACATTAGTCGACTAATCGCACGTTTATATTAAGTCAAAAACTGGCAAACATAATGATTATGAATAACAGAATGAGACTGTCTAAACAATTTAAAGGGATAGTTCACCCAAAAAAGAAAATTAAGTCATTAATTACTCACCCCCATGCTGTACCAACCCCGTAAGACCTTCGTTCATCTTTGGAACACAAATGAAGATATTTTTGATTAAATTTGAGAGGTGGATCACTCTTCCATAGGCTCCTAAGGGACTGAAACTTGACGGCCCAAAAAAGTCATTGAAGAAAATGTTTAAATATTCCATTTGACTACAGCGGCTCAACTATAAGTTTATCAAGCGACGAGAATACTTTTTGTGCGAAAAACAAAAAATAACGACTTTATTCGACTATTCCTTTTCTTCCTTGTGGGCCTGAGACGAGAGTTCAAGAGATTGCCACGACACATGCGCAAGAACTGAAAAGAGAATGTTCTTTTTCTACTACTTCTTTTTACTAGCTGCTCACTGCTTAGGAGTATTATGGACAGATGCACTTTTATGATGGACAGATGCACTTTTATGATGGACAGATGCACTTTTATGATGGACAGATGCACTTTTATGATGGACAGATGCACTTTTATAATGGATAGATGCACTTTTATGGTGGACAGATGCACTTTTATAATGGATAGATGCACTTTTATGATGGATAGATGCACTTTTATGATGACAGATGCACTTTTATGATGGACAGATGCACTTTTATGATGGATAGATGCACTTTTATGATGGATAGATGCACTTTTATAATGGATAGATGCACTTTTATGATGGATAGATGCACTTTTATGGTGGATAGATGCACTTTTATGATGGATAGATGCACTTTTATGATGGACAGATGCACTTTTATGATGGATAGATGCACTTTTATGATGGACAGATGCACTTTATGATGGATAGATGCACTTTTATGATGGACAGATGCACTTTTATAATGGATAGATGCACTTTTATGGTGGATAGATGCACTTTTATGGTGGATAGATGCACTTTTATGATGAATAGATGCACTTTTATGATGGATAGATGCACTTTTATGATGGACAGATGCACTTTTATGATGGATAGATGCACTTTTATGATGGATAGATGCACTTTTATGATGGATAGATGCACTTTTATGATGGACAGATGCACTTTATGATGGATAGATGCACTTTTATGATGGACAGATGCACTTTTATAATGGATAGATGCACTTTTATGGTGGATAGATGCACTTTTGTCATGGATAGATGCACTTTTATGATGGACAGATGCACTTTTATGATGGAACTCCATTTATAAAGCTTGGAAGAGACAGGACATTTTTATATAACTGATTGCATTCGTCTGAAAGTAGAATGTCATAAACACCTAGGATGACTTCAGAGAGAGTAAATCATTGGCTAATTTTTGGGTGAACTATCCCTTTAACAGCCAGTTTCTCGTGGTTCTGGATGATTGAGACGCACCTCGAGCTTTGCTGCGCTCCACGCGGTTCCTCTTCATCTCGATGCCCATGAAGTCGTAGAATGTGGTCAGTTCGATCAGAGAGATGTATCCGATCTTCCTGATGTCCTCCGACGACAGATCGTTCACTCGCGTCACACCCTGTCTGGGTTTCACTGTCTGAAAAGCCTGGAGAAGACACCACAAACCTCATTACACCACAGCATCTGATACGACCTCACTATCAAAATGCTTTCAGCAAGCTGCGTTTTTCAGCGTTCAGCAGAAGGGTAAACACTGCCGGTAAATGCGCGTTTCTTTCCCGTTTTCCTTCCTGTGATGACATGGTTAGGGTTTAGTTTGTTTTATTTGGAGCTGATATGCACACGTTTGGGCTCAGTAAGAAATTAATACTTTTATTGAGGAAGGGCGCATTAAAATTGGTCAAGAGTGACAGTAAAGACATTCATAACGTTGTTCTTTTTACTTGAAAGTTGACTTTTTTAAACATTTTCGAAAAGAGATCAAACTTAAATCTGTGCTTTAAAGCATTCCAGATTTGGAAATACATTTTTTAAGGTTTATGCTCAAAAAGTGAATAAATGGATTATAAATACAGCATAATATAATTTAGTATAAAAAAAATTCCCTAAAAAAAACATTATTAGACTAAATTATACTACATTTCATTGACAAAAAAAATGGTCACTTTAGACCGACATGGTCCTCTTCTCAGGATCCTCTCACACTGTTTTTAAATGTGCTAAACAAATAAACGAAAGGATCTTATACACACCGGTAAATCCTTGTCGTCTTTACGGATCCTCCTGCAGTCGTGGCATTCGCGGCCCTTCCGGTGAGCGCGAGCTCCTTCTGAATACGGCACGTCAAACGCTAACAGGATGGGCTCGGATCCGCTGCTGGAGCTCTTGCTGTCCGGCGGAGTGAAGAGCGAACACGGCGGAGCAACTGGACACACACCACACAACATTAGGCTTCACTAAAACCATAAACACAGGCACTAAAATAATTAGCTTCTGCTTCTCATCATGTACTGTTCCTCTTTTGTTAATCACTTTGGATAAAAGCATCTGCTAAATTAATACATGTAAATATATACAGCCAAACAAAAATGTACTCAGACTCCTTCAACATCCTACGGAGGCGTATTGCATTCACTTGAAGAAAAAATCTACTGTTTTTCTGAATTAACGAGTTAATTGTTCATGAGAAAAAAAAAATTTGCTCTGTTTTTCTGAATTAATGAGTTAATTTTTCACGAGAAAAAAATATTGCTCTGTTTTTCTGAATAAATGAGTTAATTTTTCGTGAGAAAAAAAGTTTTTGCTCTGTTTTTATGAATTAACGAGTAAATTCAGAAAAACAGAGCAAAAAAAAAAATCCATTAAAAATTAACTTGTTAATTCAGAAAAACAGCGCAAAAAAAAAACCATGAAAAATTAACTCGTTAATTCAGAAAAACAGAGCAAAATATTTATTTTTCTCACGAAAAATTAACTCATTAATTAAGGAAAACACAGCAAAAAAAAAAATCCATGAAAAATTTAACTCGTTAATTCAGAAAAACAGAGCAAAAACTTTTTTTCTCATGAAAAATTAACTCATTAATTCAGAAAAACAGAGCAATTTTTTTTTCTCATGAAAAATTAACTTGTTAATTCAGAAAAACAGAGTAGATTTTTTTTCTTCAAGTGAAAGAGTTTGGTTCCTTGCCACTGTCGCCTTGCTTTTGGCTTGCTTTGAGCTTGCTCAGTTGGGGTTATTTATTTAGTGTTTAGCAATGTTGTTGATCTGTGTTGTGCTACTTACATGTTATCACTGTGAAGCTGCTTTGATACAATCTGTATTGTGAAAAGCGCTATATAAATAAATGTGACTTGACTTGACTTGACTTGAAAGCAATAACGCCTCCGTAACATCCCTCACATTATCAGTTTATTTGCTATAGTTTAGACACATGAGCAGAACTCAGGTCTCAGATCAGTGGATATTTGACTGGTTTCATCCGTCCTTCTGTTGGACTCTCACACATTAATTATGTTGAATATCTGTCAGCTGTTTAATTGAACTACACACTTAGATAATACCAGTTTAGCGCAAGCAATGCTTCATGTTGTTCAGTGTGTGTGTAAAAGAGCATTAGCAATTACAGAAAACACACTTCAGCAGAACATCATCAGATCAAAGTGTCAAATTTTTATATTTTTTTCTATATATATATATATATATATATATATATATATATATTTATTTATATCTTTGTATGAAGAATATTTGGGTGTAATATGTCACACTTCACTTTATTTTGCTCTGATCTAACGTGTCCTGATCACACTAGTAATGTCTGAGTAATGTATGATCTGAAGAGGCTCAAACGTTGTCCAACCTTTAGGAGGATTCCACTGGGGGAGTTTGGGAGCGATCTGTCCGTTTGGAGAAATGGGAGGAGTCAGTTCCGACTGTAAGAGAACACAATGACATCATCACACCCACGGATCCCCAAAGAGCGCTCAAGAGGTAAACGTTCTGATTCGATCAAATAACCCATAATCAATAATTGCGACAGGCCTTTCTCAAGCACTTTTTGCAAGTGAAAAGAACGCACTTTAGAAAGGGCATGGATCCCACGTGTCAGAGATACATCATTTCAGCATGTGTTAATGACTTAACATGAGTTAGCATGTGTTGTGTATATAATGTCTGGATAGTGGATGTCCTGCTGAACACTGCACTTTTGTTGGACTATTTCGGTCTGATGAATCTCTCATGCACGTCCAATCACATTATGAGATATTTCAGCTGTCAGAACAGCTGACCATTCCTCACGACTAAATCACCCTCAACACCATGTGCTGTCTGACTGTCTCTGTCTATCTATCTGTCTGTCTGTCTGTCTATCAATCTGTCTGTCTCTCTGACTGTTTATCTGTCTCTATCTGTCTATCTATCTGACTGTATGTCGGTCTGACTGTCTATCTGTCTTTCTGTCTGTCTATCTATCTATCTATCTGTCTGTCTGTCTGTCTGTCTGTCTATCTATCTATCTGTCTGTCTGTATCTGTTTGTCTATCTATCTGTCTGTCTATCTGTCTGTCTGTCTATCTGTTTGTCTGTCTATCTATCTATCTATCTGTCTATCTGACTGTATGTCCGACTGTCTGTCTGACTGTCTATCTGTCTGTCTATCTGTCTGTCTATCCATCTATCTATCTGTCTATCTATCTGTCTGTCTGTGTCTGTCTGTCTATCTATCTGACTGTATGTCCGACTGTCTGTCTGACTGTCTATCTGTCTGTCTGTCTGTCTATCTATCTGTCTGTCTATCTATCTGCCTATCTGTCTATCTATCTATATGTCTATCTATCTGTCTGTCTGTCTATCTGTCTATCTATCTATATGTCTATCTATCTGTCTGTCTGTCTATCTGTCTATCTATCTGACTGTATGTCCGACTGTCTGTCTGACTGTCTATCTGTCTGTCTGTCTGTCTGTCTGTCTGTCTCTCTGTCTGACTGTCTATCTGTCTGTCTATCTGTCTATCTAGCTGTCTATCTATCTATCTATCTATCTATCTATCTATCTATCTATCTGTCTGTCTATCTGTTTGTCTATCTATCTATCTGTCTATCTATCTGTCTATCTATCTATCTATCTATCTATCTATCTATCTATCTATCTATCTATCTATCTATCTATCTATCTATCTATCTATCTATCTATCTATCTATCTATCTGTCTGTCTATCTGAGAGTCGATCTGTCTTACCATTTACTGACCACACTTCCTCTATATCTAACCGATTAATTAATTGATACAATCTTTATTTGATCGTCAAGCGTGATGTATGCAGGGTAAACCAGCACATGCCCCGCCTCCAGTTTTAAAAACTCTGCCCACATCTCAACATCCAATCAACAACCAATTCACAGAACCAAGTCCCGCCCTACATTTCCCGATAAACTAACACTCGAATGTACATCACAATAGGAAAGAACTTGTTTCATCTTGCCCTCAGCTCCTCCAGCACGCGTCACTCCAGCAGGAACGTGGAAGGTTTGTTGTCTCCTGCTGTCATGAGGCTAATTTAAACACGTCTGGGGTTTCCTCATGCGTCTCATTCCAGTCTCTGTTATTTTAAGACACATTCACACGCCGAACAAACGGCCACAACAGCTGCGGCAGCAAAGGATCATGGGGAATTATCCCATCCGTATACTGAGTGGATGGAAGCTCCTACTGAACGTTAGGAAGTATTTCCTCAAATGGATTCCTATGAAGGTAAAAGAGGAGCTATACACGAGGGTACGTAGATGTGAATTTGAGAACTTTTGACAATATTTCAACTCGTACACTAAAATCACACTCACAGCTCCAATGTGAAAACCTGTATGGTTGAATGTTGAGATGTGCAATCGCAGACAACAGTCACAATCCTGTATTCTGAATTTGAAGCTGCAGAGAAGTAGACAAACTTCTTGCGCTCACCGAGGCGTCCGGCGTGGAAAAGACGTCCCGCACGTGTCTCGTGGGTTGCCGGTTCCTCTTGCGCAGTGTTTGTGTGTAGTTATCGACCCGCTTCTTCACCATAGCGGCCTGTGATCGCGTGAGCGTGGAGAGAAGAGCCTCGGCCGGGCCGTCGCTCTGAGTCCCCGTCACCAGCGTGCTAAGCCCCGCCTCCTGGAGCCACGCCTCCTCAAGCTCCGCCTCTGAACCAATCACACACATTAATTAGACTGCAGAATCACATGATGTCAAAGTGATGATGTCAAGCATTAAGTTAAGGTGAAATGACATTGTTAGCAGACTGTGCAACATTAGGGGGTTTCGCACCGGGTGTTTATAGGATCTCGCCACCAGGGTGTTTCCGGAACGTTCTCCTGGTGTCACAGCTGCTGTTGGGACTTTTATTTTGACGGCGATGAGAACGTCTATCAAAAAAGCGGCGCATGCTGGTGTTTCGCGTGCGTTCGGCCAATCAGCGCACACTACCGTCACTGTGGTTCCTCGAGCGCTGGTTTAGAGTGACTCTGAAGGAGGAGTAAATTAGTTCCTCCATAAGGAGTTTCTGGAACTGAAATCGTTCCCAGTTCCTGCGGTGCGAACACGCCAAACTCCGGGAACTCCCGCCGATAGATCTAGGAACGATGAAACGGCTGCGTACTGAATTTGCAGACTGATCCCATGAAATGGCATTTGGATTACACGGCAATTCGTATTTCCATTTTTGACGTGCTATCAACACGCATAAATCAGTGTGTTTATGAACGCCGTTGACTTAACGTTACATTATATGAGCTACCCCAACCCCGTCCCTAACCCCATCACTGGGGTTAATGGCATTTATGAGTCTTCCCCTACCATCCTAGGAAAAAATATCGCTCCCCAGATGTAGATCTACATTTTGCTTTGTTTCGCGTGGACATTTAACGGCATAGACATACACGCGGATAGCTCAAAATACGTATAGATAATTCAAGTGGCGTGTATGTTTACGCAAAAGTCATGATGCCATGTTGGAATTTGAAATTCTCGTCAGAAATTTTCGTACGTTAAAAAATAAATACGACCTCACGTTGTGAAAACTTTCGTCCGTCATAAAAAAAATTCAGATCGGGTTTGATTTTCTGTGTTTTTCGCAGTTTCGACCAACAGCTTAACCTTGTGTTCTTGGCGCACTGGGGTGGCCAGCGGGGGTAAACTGAGCCGAGTGGGGGCAAACTAAGCCGGGCGGGGGTAAACTGAGCTAAGTGGGGGTAAACTGAGCCGGGCGGGGGTAAATTGAGCCACGCGTGTTGATACGCACCGTCTGAGCTGACCCGCTCCACCAGATAATTCAAGTGGCGTGTATGTTTACGCAAAAGTCATGATGCCATGTTGGAATTTGAAATTTTCGCACGTTAAAAAATAAATACGACCTCACGTTGTGTCAATCGCATCTATACACTGACCGCAAAACTTTCGTCTGTCATAAAAAAATTCGGATCGGGTTTGATTTTCTGTGTTTTTCGCAGTTTCGACAGTCCAGAGCCACCGAACGACCAACAGCTTAACCCTGTGTTCTTGGCGCACTGGGGTGGCCAGCGGGGGTAAACTGAGCCAAGTGGGGGTAAACTGAGCCGAGTGGGGTTAAACTGAGCCGGATGGGGGTAAACTGAGCCAAGCGTGTTGATACGCACCGTCTGAGCTGACCCGCTCCACCAGATCCTCGTGCCGGTCCTGCCGGTCCTCCTGGATGTTCTTCATCTCGCTCCAGTAATCCTCCATGGAGTCCCGGGACACGGAGCGATCCGGAGCGAGAGGAGACCCGGAGCCGGGGGAACTCATGCCTGTCCTCGGACACTGAGCTTTCCTGACACACAGAGACAGAACAGCCAAGTCAAGTCACGTTTATTTATACGCAGAGTGTTTCAGAGCCGCTTTACAGAGATAACAGGAACATGATGACACAAAGTGTGTTTCCAGAAGAGAATACGTCGTACATCTTAAGTCACTTCAGTGATGCTTCGTTTAGGTCATTTATATATACAGCGGCTCTGGAATAAACTGTGATGTCATCGTGCAATTCTCATATTTCAGTTCAAAATTTGAATATCGTGCAAAAATGTGTGCATTTCAGTAATTCAAATTAAAAGGTGAAACTAATATATAAGAATAAAACTATAAACATATGCATGATTATACTTTTCAGAGGGCTGACATTTCTGTATTTAAAATCCTTTTTTTATGATTTCATTTAATATTCTAATTATCTGTTATTTTGAATTTGAGGTTTTCATAAGCTGTAAACCATAATCATCAATATTATAACTTTTGCACGATATTCTAATTTTTTAACTAATCGTGTCAATGCAGGAGATCAATAATATTGATTAATATTAAATGTCCCCAACGCAGCAAGGCAAAAGCGACAAAGCTGTTCATGTAACTGCGCTATTACATAACGGCATGTCCAGCATTTCCATAAACCACTGAAGAGAAAACCAGCTTCATCTCTGGGTTTCCATCAAATATTGATAAGGCTTCAGGAGCTGATGATGAGGATGATGAAGATGAAGGTTTCTCTCAGCGTTAGTAAGTGAACCGAACACTTAGAGCAAGTGATCGATCCGCGTGATGGAGCCGAAATCGCGTTACATGAAGAACTTAATTGCCTTCAAAAGTTCTGGCCTGTTTACACACATCAAGCCTTCGACAGAAACGCAATCTGCAGTCATCACTCGAAAACACAGGAGTGTGTGGATCTGACTTGTTTATGTCATGAAAACATGAGTGTGTGTGTGTTTCGATTCAGTTTTGATCTGAACACGTTTCTGAAGAACACTTTAATGCATAAACAAATTTATGATCTGATTATTGCTGATTAGTCCTGACATTAGAGCAATATTCAGGTGAAATTAGTCTTTTCTGCTCAAAAAGTTGATCAAAAATACAGTAAAAATGTGAAAACTTATTCTAATTTAAATCATCAGTATTTTATTTTAATATATAGTAAAGTGTAATTTATTCCTGTGATTTTCAGCATCATAACTCACATGATCCTCCAGAAATCACGATGCTGATTTATGATTATTATCAGCGCTGGAATAATTCATATTTTAGTGGAAACTGTGATACATTTAATTTCTCAGGATTCTTTGATGAATAGAAAGTTCAAAAGAACAGCTTTTATGTGCAACATTATAAATGTCTTTACTGTCACTTTTAATCAGTTTAATGTTTCCTTGATGAATAAAAGTATCAATTTCTGTCACACAAAAAAAAAAAAAATCTCAGTGACCCCAAACTTTTGAATGATATATAGAAAGTATACTTGACCAAATAAAACTATATCTAGAGTTTTGTTCTCAACAGCCTTAATAGTGCCAATAAACATGAGAAATTCTACACAGAGACTTTAAAACATGGTCTAGATTTACTACTTTCGCTTGTCAATTCGAATAAACACAGAAATCAATGTGTTCAAATAATTCCACTTCACTCTTAAAAATAAAGCTTCTTTATTGGCATTGATGGATTTACATCCATCGCACAAAAGGTTTTTAATGCAGAAAAAGAAGTTCTTCAAACTTTTATTTTAGGATCTGATCACCGAAACCTTTATCTTTAAGAGTGCAAAATAAAACTCAATTTCTACAAACAACACGCTCTATTACTAGACACAACATGCGAAGAGAGCAACTCAACATGTTCAGACTCACGGTGTGTGTGTTCACAGGATCGAGAAGCCGTGACCCTCCGCAACTAAAGCCAACACAAACCAATCCAGCGCACGGTGTCAATCAGGTCCTGTATAAACTCCATAAATGCGCCGCGTTTGAGCTCGTTCATAAACGCAGCAGCGACTCGAGGATCTGGAGCTTCAGGAGCATGTGGCTGTTCTCAATCAGGTCCTGTTCACAATCAACACAGGCAGAGAGAGAGAGAGACACGGCGAGGGTTTCCTCTGGTAGTGTGTGTGTGTGTGTCACCACCCACCTCTCTCTCTCTCTCTCTCATGTCATTATCTGTCCATTGTGTTCTCCGTTTACAACTCTTGCTAAAGCTCATCTCATTCAGACACACAGAAACGAGTGATTTAGGAAAACCGCTTCCAGATGTGGATAATGACCACAACAACATTCCCAACACCAACATTCTCCAGTTTAAACACACATTCCCTCCATCAGCGCCTGGCTGTTCATGTTCCTCCACGGGATTGAAAAAAGTCATAATTCCCACTGTTTTTTTACATATAACTTTGGCTATATCTAAAAAAAAGTCGGAATTATGAGACACAAGTTTTTATATATTTATTGGACCTTTTTCTCTGATTGTGAGATATAAACTCCCAATTGCAAGTTATATGCAACTCAAAATTGTGGGAAAAAATGTGATTTTTTTTATTCAAACAATCTGAGGATCGGCATAAGAACACCACTCGTCTTTCTGATCGCTTTAATCATCTCATAAACCACCGTTTTTTAAGGTTTGAAGCTCAAAATCACTTTTACTGCAGGGACTATTTATATTCCTACTTCACATTAGGGTCCTCATAAATACTGTATATCCAGACAATCACTTGGCATAGAATTCAACATGCCAGATTAAATCCGTTTCTGTCAGTCAGACAAACTCTATTGTGAAGATTTTCATTATTAAACCCAGAACAAGCTCTCAGGATCCAGATTTGAACAGATGATCTTCATGACGTCTGTGTCCCGAAGCCCCCCGTGATGAATGTAGGTCAGACCAAACTCAGAACACATGTCAGAACACAGAACACTTCCTCATTCCTACGGGAACGCAAACGGCGGAACCAGAGACTCGCGAACGAGATTTACCGAAGGGTCGTTCATTTAATCAAATAAAATCTGAAGAAAACAGGCGCCCGTTCCATCAGAGTCCTGCAATACTGGCTCTCAGGTTTGTTTTCACTCTCCGGGCAGCATAAACTATCATCAATCCATCAGGAACGCAAGCGTCGTTCCTCCCGAAGTCTTAACGAGAAACATCTGCCGTCTAGAAATACCTTTAGAGTCGGTTTCCAACATCACCAACCCTGAGGAACACTCAAACTGAGAAACACAACCAGACTAATGAAGCGGCTTTCCTGCTAATAATAAATGCTGGATTAACCAGTCCAATATTCACAGCGCTACTGTAAAAAAAATCCAGGCCGATTTACAGTAAAAAACCTGGCAGCCAGAAATTTACCATAAAAATACGGTAGCAACATTTTATGTTCTACAGACTTAAATTTACAGTGAAAACAATTCATTATCTGATATAATATTTATTTATCGATCCATTGAAGTACTACGGTAATATTGGTTTTGGTACGATTGTAAAACACTGAGAACCACCAATCACAGCAGAGATGAGAGTCACACTGAGAAAGATAATAGTAATATACAGAAGCTGCTAGGGTCACTCTCACACACACTAATGGTAACACACATGAGGTTTTAAAAAAGCAATACACATTAATTTACAACATTAAATATAACATAAAACCCTATACATAACTGATAAGAAAAAAACTATGAATAAACAGTTATTTCAACAAAAATACATCAAATGTGAAGTGGGAGTATCAACTGTAAATTATAGAATTATAGAGGGTTTTTTTTTACTTCCAAAAACTAAATTTAACAGTATTTTAAAATTACATTAAATGTACATTTAGATCTATCACAGTTTTTCACCATTTAAATAACAATAATTCATTACTGCATTTCTTTGATTGGGTTTAAAGCATACAGCCCGCCGCTGGAATCTGACCCATAACACCACACACACTATATTTAATCAGCCCGGCCCAACTTACCCCAAGCACTTCACCAGCGTCAGCAGATCACAGCACTTCAGCCGGGTAAAAGCCGGAGCATTAGCTTGACAACAGATCAATACAGCGGCTCGGGACTGTAAAGACTCACATCAGCGCTGGAGACGTTTGCACCAGTGAATTATAGGCCGCTACATGAGCTAATGGAGCAATAATGACTGAGAGTGAAGCTGAAGAGCGCTAGCGTCCAGACGTCTTCGCCACTCATGCTGACTAGCCGACACTAGACCAGAACAAACCGCAAACAATCGTTCATCATCCGCGCGACACTTTCAAGAGCACCCAGATCCACATTACAAGATCAGATCATGAGATATATGAGGAGTTACTGTGGCTTTACTGCGGTGTGATTATACTATATCGTAAAACTATACCGTAAAACTACACCGTAAAACTATACTGTAAACCAATACCGTAAAACTACACTGTAAAACTACACTGTAAAACTATACTGTAAACCAATACCGTAAAACTACACTGTAAAACTACACTGTAAAACTACACTGTAAAACTATACCGTAAAACTATATTCTAAAACTACACTGTAAAACTAACTATATTCTAAAACTACACTGTAAAACTATACTGTAAAACTACACCGTAAACTACACTGTAAAACTACACCGTAAAACTACTGTAAACTACACTGTAAAACTATACTGTAAAACTATACCGTAAAACTACACTGTAAAACTGCACTGTAAAACTACTGTAAACTACACTGTAAAACTACACTCTAAAACTATACCGTAAAACTACACTGTAAAACTACACTGTAAAACTACACTGTAAAACTACTGTAAACTACACTGTAAAACTATACTGTAAAACTATACTGTAAAACTACACCGTAAAACTACACTGTAAAACTACACTGTAAATCTACACTGTAAAACTATACTGTAAAACTACACCGTAAAACTACACTGTAAAACTATATCGTAAAACTAAACTGTAAAACTACACTGTAAATCTACACTGTAAAACTATACCATAAAACTACACTGTAAAACTACAATGTAAATCTACACTGTAAAACTATACCGTAAAACTACACTGTAAATCTACACTGTAAAACCATACCGTAAAACTACACTGTAAATCTACACTGTAAAACTATACCGTAAAACTACACTGTAAATCTACACTGTAAAACTATACCGTAAAACTACACTGTAAATCTACACTGTAAAACTATACCGTAAATCTACAACGTAAAACTACACCTTAAAACTACACCGTAAAACTACACTGTAAAACAACTTTTCAAAGTGTTTAGAAGAAAACACCAAACTTTTTTTCCCAGTGTAGAAAACTATTTGTTTTGGTTTCGAGGTGAAATATGATCCTGATGTGTTTGAGAGATTATTACCATATTCAAATACCTTGGAATTTACACAATAGAACTAGGGTTATTATTATTATAACTTAAACTAAACAGTTACAAACATTACATTTCCCGAAATGAAATAAACATTAACTAAAATAAAAAGGGAACATGTCCTTGATCTTCTAAAACTGAAACAAAAAATGTATAAAAATGATATAGACATTTGCTAAATGACTGAAATTACTTTAACTGGAATTAATTAAATCATAAAAAGTGTGCTAGAAATATCAGTTATATTCCTATAACAAACAATATGATGTAATTTTTCATCTACTGTTAAAAAGTTTACGGTCTGTAAGATTTTTTTCATATTTTTTGAAAGAATCTCATTTATTTGAGCAAAAATACAGTAAAACAGTGCAATATTACTCCAGTGTAAATCATCTGTTCTCTATGTGAATATACAGTAAAGTGACATTTATTCCTGATCAAAGCTGAATTATCATCATTACTCCAGTCTTTAAATGAAATATAATCTTTTGACAAACTGAATGCAATCCTTTCCCAATAAAAGTATTATTTTCTTCCAAACAAACAAAAAAAAATCATAATGACCCCCAAACTGTAAGTGTTTATTCCTCATGAACGTGAGACGGAGTGTGTCCGCTAGCGAGGGGTAATGTGCTTTCAGGACGCAGACAGGAAGTGCACTAACACTGAGACTTCCTGTTTTGGCTAAAGCGATTGTAAAGTCAGAGCTATATAATGCTGTATATTACCCTAAACACACACACACACACACACACACACACACACACACAAATCAATAATACAACATTAACTTCCTATTAGCCTCTCAGAGACAGCGGAAGAACACGAGAGGACATGATGAGCTGTCAGACGCTGACTCTTATCATCATCCTCTCCGTACTCCGCGTCCGATCACATGATTCGTTCCTGAACTCTGACTGGAGGATCGAGAGCTTTATAATCCGGGATGAAGATTAAACACGAATCCCAAAACACACACCGTTCAGGAGGAGAAACCGTTTCCAGAGCCAACAGTCCCCATTTACCATTCAAATACTGGGATCAGCGTCATGCAAATCTGCACACACACACACACACACACATCATCATCATCATCATGACCAACACACATTCAGCAGTGTTTCTGCAGGTACAGCCAACACACACATCATGACCAACACACACATTCATAAATGTTTCTGCAGGTACAGCCACACACACACACACACACACACACACAGGCTCGTTGTTTGTCCTCACTGTGTGAAGAACAGCTTCTCAATTAAACTCTTTTTCTTTTTCTCTCGCTTTGCTTTTACTCTCTAACTCTCTTTGCTCTGATACACACTGTTAACACAATACACACTGTTAACACAATACACACTCTTAACACAACGCTTCCGAAGGGGTTTGTCGCCATAAATCAGTTCTTCATGGACCAACCAAAGCCGTTCTCGTGAAACTGCTCGTGTTTTCCTCGTTATAAAGTAGTTTTGGATGAAAACACATTTCCATGAACAAACACCCCCGAGAAATGAAGGAGAGAGAGACTTTTACAACTCTTTATTAAAACATGTCCTAAAACACTAAAGAACGATGCATTTCACTCATTACAATAATAACCCAATTATTATTGTAACTCTCTGCTTTGTGGTGCTTCACGGAAAATGATTCACAAACTTCAGATGGTTCAAAACTCAGCGGCGTCGGATCATTACACGAACATCACTGA